CTTGCCTATTTAACCGCCTAACAGCTTGTTTTGTAAGCTGCGAGGCTTGGGGTGCGATTAGGCAGTGCAGGATAAGAGCATGACATCTTAGTCCTCTGGATTAATAACATAGTGATATTACGTAATATTCTCTTATTTGTGCTGGTATCACGGGCATCACATGATATCGTGATGTCCGTCGTGTTGTATATAGGCAACGGTATCCTCTTACCATATGGTGGGTCGTAGGCTTATTCGCCAAGCCAATTACATAATACAATCCTCATTAATCCTGCACCTGTAACGCCTTTGCCTTATAAGATACTGTAGGTACCGTACCGTATCCGTATACCAATAGATACCGTATTCGGATTCTATAGGTGCCGGCGTTAAGGATTGTGTAAGTGAAATTTAATACAATTATTTATATGCTGTGTGTATACAACAGGTTACACCACGCACGACGTACGTCGTCGTACTCTATCTTTACCTGGATCAATGATTCTTGCGTATATGATATTGTTGCATGCAATAGTAGGTAACTATAAGATATAGCTAAGATAACAAGAAACAGGGACGGGATATTGTTTTATTTGTTGCATAAGTCGTAAGCAAGGCCTCACTACACATATCTTCATGAATATTTTATCCAGAACAATGAGAAAAAAAAAAGGAGTATCATTGACATAAAGGAGATTTTAAATAGTTATGTTCGTATGTTTACCCATATGTAAAGCGACTACGCGAATTCTACCTAATATCACGTCAAATTCATACTTAAAATTATTTATTCACGTAGGACGTTTTTTAGTTCGGTTAGCTACTTAAGTTGAGAATCTTAAAATAATTCGTAAATTTACCTAAAACTACGAATTACTTGTTTTTATATTATTGTTGAATTACCTAGTCCTTTCGATATTTCGATAGCTATTTTTTGTAATTAATTGATCGTCGCCTATGAGCACCATCACCAGGCAATGCAATTGCAAATACTATGCCGGCCTTTTAAGAAGGATTAAGTTTTTTTTAAGGTTTCAATATCATATCGGATATATATATAATAGCACTGGAAGATGATTCAGCAATGTGATTGTGCGCGGAAAAAAATCTAGAAAAACGTACGGTGGAGGACCGTCATTTATCCAGATGATCAATATGGTATTTAATTGTCTTAGTTTTAGAAAATTACGATTTATAACTAGCGAAACTCATTTTTATGAAATGTAATTTATGATATCAAGAGAAAATATTTACTTTCTAAATGAATTAATAAATGCAATCTAGTGTTACTTACGCTTATCATGTAAGCGAAAGTTCATAATTAAATTGGTATTAATTTTACTTTGACAAGGAAGCTTTTGATCAAATAGAATACAGATAAAATAGTAACATAGTAGTAATGTCTTATATTCGCTGTCATTTTAATTAGGTATATCTTATTGCTATTTATTACCCAATAGCTAATACCCATAGCACTTAGTCAAGCCCTGGTTATTCTCACGCTAAGCAAAGCTTGTGTTCTAGGTACTAATATAAATAGTTAGTAATGTATTTTTTTCTTAGAAATACCTACATATTATACTTAGAAAACACCCGTATAACGACCTATACAAACAATAATACTTATAAATACAAATGTTTATACCGTGCGAGGAATCGACCTGCAATCTTAGGTAGTCAGACGGCATGCTAAACCGCTAGACCACCGAGGTATATATATAGTATGTATATTATATTAAATATTGTTTAGTATATTATTTATTAGTAAAATTATTGATATTTGTTAAATAGGAATTTATATATTTTTTTTAATTGTTCATATGAAACAGCTATTAATAAATTAGGTTAATTAATAGAACAAATTAATAAATTATTCTACTCGTAAAATAACTCGTAATACGCGTAAATAACGAATTAATTAAACAATAAGCATTTACAAGGTCTTTTGCATAAATCTGATAAATCTAGGGCGATAGATCCCAATTACAAAACAATAACCTCACAATGTGGGAGGTGAGAGCTCAGAATAGTGGGAGCGAGAATGGACTGATAATATGAACTTTATGATTGCAATGGTCAAGTCAACATGATGCAAGTATCACACGAAGAATCGCACGTACATACAGATCTTAATTGTTATTTAAAGTTGTATTATTTGTAAATTAAAATTGTGTTATCTGTGGTAATATTATAAAAAGTTAAACTTTGCGAGTTTTAATGTTCGGCACAATCTCAGCTCCATACTACTTGATACGATTTCGAAATTTAGTTTTCGATATCATTTATCGAGGAAGGCTGTAGAATAGATATGAAAATATTAGCTATAGGCTATATACGAGCGATAACATCATGCTATGACCACAGATAATATAATATTACATACCTACTAGGACTAATAAGAACGAAACTGCAATGAATAATGTTGCAAAACGGGGAAAATGTAACCCGACGACGTTGTGCGGATCTGCTAGTTTATATATACATATATATTGATTTTAATTGTTATATAAATAAATACTATTAGTTTGAATTGTCTTGAGTATCTTTCTGTATGCATTAATAATTATTTACTAGAAATATTATTTAAATGTACCTACCAACTATAAAAAAGCTCTACTTAATTTGGCATCGATGGCGTTGTGTATAATTTTCGGGGTAATTTATTGTTTACAAGTACTTAGTCTATATTTTTTTTTACTTCTATTCTGTATTAGGTAATACATATTTTAGGTAATTGTATCTAATGTAGTCATTGTTGTTATTTTATTATTAATCAAAACCGGTAGTAATTTTGTAAAGATTTACAGAGTACCTATTCTTGAGGAGGAAGGCGATTGTTAGTAATCTTTCAACTGTTAGCTGTCAATTTGACATTAACGCCCCATTTGTGAGATCGGATTTCTCACAGATGGGACTACAGTGTCCGAATCCAATAATTGACTCCTTCGCAGGTATGTGGACTGATAATCCTATTACTACCAATGTACCGCGTGTCAGACCTCCAGGCGTTTTCCCCTAGAAACAATCTTGATAAATTAGTAACAATGGGCTAACTGACCTGACTTCAGGCTAATCTTATCATACTCCACTGGTGTCCCTCCAACGTAAACCATAAACGCAGGCCATAGTACCTATCCATTATCATCAATTAAAAATAATTAAATGTATATTTATACACAGCTGTTATACCATATATTCTTAACCTATTTATATATATTGTTTTTAATCGAAAGCGATATTTATTTTATCCTAAAAGTTGATTTATTATACGTATTAGTAGGTATTGTAGTACAAATTAGAAATTTAATAACTATTACTAGTTCTGTATTAGGTATCTAAAGCATCTAATACTTATTTCACGCACCAAATTGATTTGCCGCAACTCGACCTTTTAGACCTCAATGCATTTTCAATATTTATTACGATGCTGTAGAACTTTAATGGTTTATTATATAATTATCTGAGGCTAATTGGATTTTATGAATAAGTAATTGGTTTCCAGGCTCAAAAGATATTCCAAAAATCCAATGTTCACTATGTCTAGGAACCTGAAATTTGGTTTATTTTCACACCAAAATAAACCAATTTTCAGCTTCCTAGACTAAGTAGTTGGCATATTAGTAACAATCTCTAAATAAAATGCTTATAATACATTTTATTATCTGTTATTCTAGACTTGTTTTTTTTTTTAGAAGAAATGTTGCCGGAGTTCATCTTCGTGATGCCATCTATCTTCACGTGAAATTAAATTATAATTCGTTCAGCCGTTTACTTGTAGAAAATGTAACAAACAGACAGACCGACACATTATCGCATTTATAATATTAATGTAATTGTAATAAAAATAACTATGAATTATAAAATATTTATACGGCCTACTAAAGTGTTAAATATACTTATGTACCTCGTGATTGAAACTTTAATACGATATCTGCATAATAATATACATATGTAAATATATATTACAATTATAGATACTGCATCATCATTTCATATAATTGACAGTCATTGAATACGTTATTTATATATTAGAATAAAGAGATAATAAGTTATAGAAAATATTTTATATTCAAATATTATAGATTTTTACTTTTAACTTACTACACTCACGACTTCGTCCACGTGGAATTTAACTTTATTTTCTAAAATAAAAGTAGCCTAAGTTACTCCTTATGACATCAGTTACCTGCCAATAAAAGTCCCGTCAAAATCGGTCCAGCCATTTCAGAGATTAGCCGAAACAAACGGACAGACAGACAAAAATTGTAAAAAATGTTATTTTGGTGTATGTACCGTATTCATATGCATGTGGTAAAAAAAACGGTTATTTCAATATTGTATGTTGGACTCCAGTCTCCGCAATTAGCCTCTCATTCGGGCCGTTGTGCGTTCAGAGCCAGGCTACTAAAGTAGCCAGCCAAGCTCCTCCCAACAGCGCAGAACACTCCTGGTGTCTTCACAGGCTTCACGGAGCGATTATTTCAATATTACAAACACACACTCCAATTTTATTTATATGTATAGAAAAAACAATTTGTCAGTGTCCGCCCTCGCCCGCGCCTATTTCCTCCCTTACAAGCATATCTAATATTTTCAATCAATTCAGAAAGAAAATTCTTAGCATCTCATCTCTATGAGACTTTTGTTTAGACTTATACTACTAAACATTAATTATATTACGAAACAATATTTGTAGCTTATACAGTTATAGCTGTACAACGACAGGCCGCATTCAGTTTATTAGTTTTAAAACTATAATCCAATGTCGTAAAAGTATCGGAATTATCAATCAGTAATATTGCAAAGAAACTTTATAGAAAATGCCAAGTGGCTATAATTTTCCTGAGATTTCACGCCACGCCCGGGGGTGAAACAGTCTTTGTTTACCTTTAAAGGCTTCAACATGGTGGCAGCCGTAAAAAAGTGGATCATGTTGGACCGGACCTGAGTAGAAAGTGAAACTGCTTTGTCGAAAGGTTGCTATAAAAATTGTAGCAACAGCTATAGCGAGCTCAGTCGAGGCGAGCGTGCTCACAGTGTCTGTTACCAGTGCAACCACGCAATACAATGGTCAGTTTCATAATTTCACTTTCGTTTCAGTTTGTGTTTGTTTTTTTAAGTAGATAATTATGTAAAGTTTATACTTCTTCGTGATATACTCTATGGTATACATTTTTTTGTAACATTATTTTAATATTTATTTATGTTAGTGTTTTAAAAATTAGAACTGTTATCTACTTTTTTTCATAATTTATATTATCGCTAGTTTTAAGAAAGTAATAGAAATCCTTACACTTCAATTTCTTTTTATAAAATTCTTCCCTGATTCTATCTTCTTTTAAATATTCTAATTCATCGATTCATGTTTAAATATGCGTTAGCATGTTATAAAAAGTCGGAGTTCCATAAGGAATACCTGAAGGCATAACTTGTGCCATAAAATATTAATGTTTTCGTATCGTTATATATTATATATTCGTTTCGTATAACTTTTTATTAAAATTGGTAAAGCTAATGATAGTAATTTATAGGTCAAAGCTGTAACTTTATGTTATTTCTCATAACTATATATGTAGATATATTTTTGTCTAGTATATTATACCATAGGTATACCTTAATAGCCTAAAAATCATGCTGTTAAGTTGCATTGATTAATTGATTACATAAATATTCTCCGGTAATTAACAATCAGTGACATAAGACCGTACCGTTTTTCCTATAGTTGCAAAAATCGACAAATTGTCCCTGATTACACCATTTAAGGTTATGGTCGTGATGTGAATATATTTAAAAGGAATCTTCTTAATGGAAACTGTCTTTTTTGGTATATTTTATCATACACATTCGTTTGCAGCCGATTATTTTAACTCCTCTTAATGAATTTTTTTTATGATTAAATAACTGACCTAAAAATGATTGATAAAATAATTAATAAGGAAAAAGAATTAACTAGGTACCTACTTTATTTTTAACAACAAAACACATAATCAGAAATATGTTGTCAAACAAAGAGAAAATTAATATTCATTTTTATTTATCTCTTTCATTTTTTGGTAATGGGATTTAGTCTCTTTTCTAATTCTGTTCATTTCGATTATTTAAACTCACGTAGGCGTATACATTAATTGTGCATTGCAAAATAGCATGCTCCGTTAATGATACCATAGACACATAAATGTTTCTCTATGGTGATATGTATTAAAAGTAATAAAGTTAACTACTTTTATCGCGTGCCAGTATTTCATAGTGGCCTATATAACTGACTAATTGCATATTGCAGTTAATTAATTCGATATCTGTTATTAAACAGAGCGTGAACAAACGAACAAGGCCACGAGTACACAAAACATTAGGTATTAGCACATAATATTTAAATTATTGTTTTAACAGCAATTATAAAGTAAATAGGTATATTGTTAATGAAAAAATTTTTTTGGAAAACATATAAAATATACTCGTCTGTATTCGCAAGTGGGATAAATAGGCTGTACATATATATACACGTAGGTACCTATTAGTTTTATTAGGATTATTAGAGTATTCGGGTAGATTAGTAGAGATTGTGTATGAAATTGCAGTATTTATAAAGTCACAGAAGATAAAATCAATTGTTAATAGGTAAAATAAATATGAATATTAAAATTTGGAAATGTTTACGGATAAAAATATAATTTAATGGATAGAGAAAGATTGAATCTCTCTCCGTAGCGGGAAAATTCCTACGTATTCTACCACGCTTACCTAAGTACCTAATTATAGGTATATAGGTAATATTTTTGTCCACTAAAGCCGCACGGTACCCGACGAACCGTCATTCGATTGGGTTTACATACTACCACATTATTCAAGTACCCTTTTTTGAGATATTCTTACTGAAAAATCACTACGAAAACCCACCTTCCCAGAATATAATGGCCGCGTTAGCGATTTGCAAATATTAAAGTTCAAATTTATAGTTCCTGTAAAAAGTCTTCTGTAGTTAAGTCTATATAGAATAGAGGAATTCCGGGCAAAAAGTTTTTCGAAATCAATAAAGTTCCCGCTTATCTCCGCATTCGACCTTGATTTTGTAGCGACGGAAATCTTGATACCTTGTTTAATTGTATTATCAGTAAATACGTAGGTATATATCAGCAAATGGCATTGAAAGGAATATTAAAGACCTTTCACTGGCGGAACCCGCGCATACAAGGTGACCAGGAACGGGTGCGTTCGCGCGGAACAAATAAATATAAAATATTATTGTACTAAAACGAGGTAAATTTATTACCATAAAGTTAATGAAAAATTTATTTATTTAATATTTTGATAAAGTATATAGTTCAGTCATTACAGATTCAAAGCTTGGTTAACTACCTACTTTCTTATAAGGAATTGGACATCTAAACCTGTCGACAATAATAGGTATAGAATTTGAGTATCTCTAGGGGTTTTAAAATTAAAATATTTTCCACTCAAGTTATTAAAAGATCCCGAACTTACGTGTTCATTTCTTTAAAACACTATCACTATTAAAACTTAATACAGTATATAGATTAACATTATTGGAGTCTGGTGCTACATAGAAATCCTGAAAATGGTGCTCTCCCTTAAGCCAAAAGCTGGGCACTAGTTAAAAATGAAGGCAGGCAAAGGTTACGAGATTCTCGACCTTATAGGATACTTTACTAAAAGTTGAAACAATAACTGTTCCCAATATTAGCAATATATATGCGAAGGTAATAATATAGATCAAATCATCTATTGCTACTGGTATGGTTACCAGTAGCAATAGAATATATACTCTATCTACGCTCTTACATAAGCATACGTCCAGCAAACATAAACTAGTTAAGATAAAAAATAACTTTTGGGAAATTGAACTTAATTATTTTTATTTATGCACTTAACTAGAATATATTATAGTCAGTCATTAATGCGAAAATGTATCTGTCTGCCTGTTTATGTTACCTTTTCACAAATAAACGGCTGAACGAAACTAAGTAAAATTTGACATGAAGATAGACTGTGCTATAAGGACCGGCATAGACTATATTTTTTCTAATAAAAGAACCTAGAATGAGGCAACATAGGAGATTGAAGTTTGCGCAGACGAAGTAGAGTGATATTATTAGTATTCTTAAAGGTTTCCATTCGAATTGTCTTTGTTATCTAAAGCAATTCAATTATTATTATCTTATATGCTCCAATGATTTCTGATCGCGTTTACCCGATACTATTGTGTAACATGGTACGCGGTATGAAGCCATGAAATTGTATTTGCTGAACTTTCTAAATGTCATCGGTGAACGTAACCAGACATACAAAAATACTGCACAAATACCACGACAAATCGGTTACATAAAATAATTTCCCTTTATAACAGTTTGAAAGTAAATCGTGGGATCTAACTTGTTGGGTTAGCACTTAGCACCTATTACGACTACTGTATCAACAACTTTACCCATAGCAGACTCGCACGCTTGTAAATTATTATTCGTACAAATCTCTATTTTTTTACTTCGAAAGTAATTAAAATAATTTCTTACGACATGTGTTCATAGAACTTAAATTTTATTAAAGGCAGGCTAGTTGTTGGTATTTATAAACCAGTTTAAATAATACCAATGTCCATTGTTCAATATGCAGACTAATAAATCTGCTACTAAATAAATACGTATTTAAAATATGAATGATACCTACTTACATTCATAATTATTTTATTAATGTCTAATTTAATAGAAATCATTTCTTATGTCTGGTGTTAATAGAGTTTAAATTATATTAAAGGGTGGGACTGTTGTTTGCATTTTTAAACCGGGTTAGGTTAATCCTTAAAATGTATTGTTTAACACGCAGAAGAATAAATCTGCTACTAAATAGACACCTATTATGTAAGTTTTTGGATATTTACTGTGAATATAAGTAGGCGTTGGATTTCCATGACTACACAATGCCCCACCAAAACAGATTGCATCTCAAATACTTATGTATCTCTATATATGGATGTATTATAAAACTTCCGACATAAAATTGACATTTAAACATATTACAATCGTATGGACTTTTGAAATGAAAGGGTTATGTGGGAGGATACAGTTGGTATCCAATGCCAAACTTAATACCAAGTGTCAAACTTGAAACGCCTACATGAGTTTAAATTATGTTCAAACATTTTAGAACTTTGTCATAGTAACTATGTTGGTAAATAGACAGATTTCTATTATCTCAATAAGGTGTTATTGTGATATGGTATAAAAGTGTTTATATGATACTGCAGGCAATAGTACAATACAGGCTTGTTGGAATTAGTATCTATGGGTTTCTTGAAAATATTTTATTACACTGGATTGGAGTGTATAAAAAATACTCAATGCTACTAGATCTGAACGATTTTAATGACCATACAAGTCTTATATATGTACTTACATGTAATTATGTAAGTATTATCACAGACAATTTTGTGTAGTAAGTCATAAAAATAAAGTCTTATTTAATAGATATTACAAACGCGAAAGTTTGTGAATATGGAATTATGGATGGATGGACGTTTGTTACTCTTTCACACAAAAAATACTTAACGGATATTGATGAAACTTTACAGTAATATAGCTTATACATCAGAATAACATATAGGCTACAAATATCATGCGGATAAAGCCACGGGTAGGTACAGCCAGTACTTGAATATATGAATTGCTTGTTATTAAAATTTAACATGTCTTAAATTTTTACTCAACAAAAGATATATTCTTTTATTGCAACATTGACGTAAAATATTTCGGAACATTATGTAGAAAGTTGTAAGTACCGTACCTACGTATTATACAGACTTCCTTGAAAGGCAATTTTATGCCATTAAATCCCAGAGCGCGTCGGTTGTAGGTAATTCAGAGATGCATGTAAAACGCCAATTAGCATTCAAATTGTCAGTAATGATACTTACTTTTGTACGTAACTTTAAAGAGCAAGAAATTAATAATACCTCTATTTAGTTGGTAAATTATATACATATTATATTTTTAATGTAAGTGGAATGGCCATTTTTGGCACTTTCCATCAGGATCGCCTGCTGGTTCGTCATTTTAGTTACATAAAAAAGCCAAACTATGTATTTTAAATGGAGAAAATATTCTGCAAAATAAGCATTATTTTAAAAACTGTACCCATTTACAGCGTAACAATAATCACTGTTTACAAAAATTTCATCACCATCTCGTTATTACTGTATTCACCATCACCGAAAAGATTAGAATCCACTATCAAATTACAGATTTTTAAAACTGCACAATATACACCGGATCGGATCCAGTTAAGGCTGGATGTTCTCAATTATAGTGATCACATTCTTACCATAAACAATGAACTTCTGATACGGTTCACAGCTTATGTCAGTCTGTCTATGTCTGAATGCAATGGCATTAAGCGTGAGTTCCAATTACTTACCGTTGCGCAACCACGGTGCTTGCCGAACCATATGTATCTACACACACTAATACATAGGGCTGCCAGTATACAGTATAGGAACATATTTAACTAAATTATTTGTATTAGTCCTTCTACGTAATAAAATTTATATTTAGGTTAAATTTCAGTAAGAGCCGTTTAATCGAGGAAAGTTTACAAATATACAGGAACATATTTATAAATTATTGATGGAAATAGAAATAAAAATAATCTTTATTAAAATAACATAATATACGCAGTTTCGAATAGTTATATTTCGTTTATTTTACACTTAATCGGAACACAGACTCATCACAAGAAGAAAGAGCGACAAACTTCTATTGCTCTTTTAAATAAATGTTGTTTTATATAAATATAAACATTAACAGGGATTAGGAATGCGATAATGAACATAGAATCCAATACGCAAATACTCAATCTTTGTGTAGTCAGATAACATGAATCAAATTGAGTCAACATATGTATATGAATGATGGAATCAGTAGCTGTTAAGGTGAAAGTGCGTGAGATTTATAAAATAAGCATTAAATTTAACTATGTATAGGTTATTAAAAAAGGGTTACAAACGACCATTTAATAACATAAATACGTTTTATTTTAAATAAACAATCTGGCAACCCTACAGATAGGTACCTCCGGTGGCATAGTTCACTTATTGCACCAATTAATAGTGCTATGTGAAGCAACGCTTAGATACTTTTTATTGCAAGTTCCCATGCTGTTCATTTTAGAACATACTTTCTTACTTGATAGGTTGACAACTGACCCGCCCAGACTTCGCACGGGTGTAGTAATGTAGTTATTGTAGGGATTTGTAAGTTTTGTGAAAATAAATTTAGGCCATCTTATGTTACTTATTTAAATTTTTTTTTTGCAGCACGTCATAATCCTGGCTGCACTCGCAGCTGTGTCAACAGCGATGCCATCTTACATCGCAGTGCCAGCAGACCAAATCGCATTCATCGATCTAACACAAATGCGCGCGCGCCGGGTGCCGCGGCAGACGCTATCACCACCACCGCCGCCACCGCTACCACACCTGTACGAACAGGACTACCAACCAATACCACTGCAGCAATTGCAACCGTTGCAGCAACTGCAACCGTTGCCGCATTATCAGCAACAGGGTAAGTTGAATCTTACCAATATTATAAACGCGAATGTTTGTGAGTATGGATGGATGTTTGTTACTCTTACACGCAAAAACTACTGAACGGATTTTGATGAAACTGAAACAGTAGTATAGTATAGTTCGTATGTCAGGATAACATATAAGCTATAATTTAATAAGATATTATATATATTGGGAGAAATATAACGATAAATGTCAAATAAGAGTGATGCAGACGAAGTTGCATGGGTCAGCTAATTATTTATAAATGCAATAGACCTCACACTTTCTAGAATAAATGGTAACTAATTAGTTTATGTAGACAGAAAATGATTACGTAACTGTTGCTAAAAGTTGACTAATTCTCATATGAATGATATTAAAATTGACAGTTTAACAATTAGAATAATAAATAAAAATGTAATAATAGATATTATTGTTAATAATTAACAATTAATCACTAAGAAATCCCAAAATCCGCACTGTAGTAAAAAAACATCAGGATGACAGTAAATGTAAATACGTGGAAAGGTACAGTAGGGATTTACTGTAGCTGTAGCTTTTGTACCTCTGTCTCATTTATTTCTACTACATAAAATGTGAGATTTGAGATTCAGATTTAACATAAAACGTGTGAAGGCAATGCTACGGCAGTTGCAATATAGGGAACGGAAATATCGAATTTTGGTTATTCCATGGCAATCTATATACCTATATATAGGTGACGGTTACCACTTTCTTTCTTTATTTCTTTCTTTATTACGTAAACCATCAGCCTGTTTACCACTCGAGTAAAATAAGTGTATAGTACTAGCAAAAATGTCACGATATTCAAATCAGCATGCCCCAGGAATTAACGCGAATGAAATTAAAGGTTAATTAAAGAAAGCGTAAATAATTTAATGAGGTCAATGTTATGTATCGTTGATCCGCGACTTGTGAAATATTGAAAAAGGTGAATCCATAATGTGAATCTGTACGGCCTTCCATCAAGATTAGTTCGCCGACACTTTCACTGCGATACAAAAGGATCAACTTTCTATGTGGACATATGTACATGAATGTTGGCAACATGTTTTACATTCAATACACTCGTTGCAGTGATATACAAAAGATAAAAATAATTTTAGACACTTTCTACTATTGTTCTCTGAATCTCATGTGATATTATTACCCTGTAATCTTCCGGTCTAGTCTACTTTAAATTTAATTAGTACCTTTATATTTTAGTAGGTATATGCCTGGCACTTTAGAAGTGACAAATAAAACTTGTTTTACTAATTTGATTTTCTGAATTTCTATAATTAATATGCTAACTATACTGTGACAGTTTAAATTGTTGATACAGACCATATAAAGGTATTAAAAACTTTAGTATCTAACGTAAATTAACGTAACTTTTGTACTAGATCATTGATTTATTTATCTGGTAGCTAGTGAATTTAAAGATGTTTTTGAATAGGCATTGAAAGCTAATTCATGCGAATAGTATAAATACGAAACTTTTTGCAGTCCTTGATGTAAATATTGATTGTATCTCAAAGACAGCCGAAGATAGTTTATTTTTTATCTCACAAAAAGTAAACGACGTCACACATAACAACTAGTAGTTATACCTACAGTTATATATACTATGTATATATACGAGCAATCCACAAGTACATGTAGGCACACAAATCACTGCACGCCGACTATTTTATAGTATGACTTAATCTTACGTAATTAAAATCGTGACTTCGTGACAAATAGTTCCAGTTCAGATTGTGGATAAGTATCTATGTCATTAGGTACACCCACAATTCGTCACATGATACCGCAGAGGTAAAATGAATTGATCGATACCGCTCTGATATTTCACCAGAGTTGACCTGCAATGTACCTACAATATAATGTTGCAATTGAGAATTCTTGCATCTAGTCGAAAGCCGTGTTAGTTGCATAATATCTGCTTTCTTGTTCTACAGTTCTACAGTTGAACGTACGGAACCGAAATCTAGTTAAGATTGTTATTTTGTTGAATATTTTACTTAATATCCTATCTGTGTAATAGTTTATTTATAATACAAATTGCGTAACAGTGTTTATTTATTTGATTCATTAAATCATCGAATTATTTCCATAAGACATGAAAGTTAGTCAATGAGTACAAGAATTGTTTACTTACGTAAAAAAAGCGTAAATCGACCTCGATAATCTAGCACTTCATGACACCATGTCATGCCATGACAACTTGTCTTAATTAAAGGCACTACAAAACAATTGTATTTTAAGTATGTCTGTATACCTCTGGTTAATTTAAAATAAAATTATATTTATCTATTTATATTAGTTGTCTAGTACTCACACATACTATAAATTCTGCATTGTTTAGGATTAGATGGCACTATGTGAATTGTGCAGAACTCTTGATTTATAATTATTATGACATTATTTATTTTTATTTTCTTTAATTACAGCTATAGCATTGGCGCCATCCGAAACAGATTCAACTAGACTACTTCGGGTACAAAAGCAACCACATGACGTTGTTGGAGCAGCCACTCTAGGGGCTGATAGTCATCTTGCTGAGAGGCCTCCAGACTTTGGAGAATACGTCGATTTTGGGGCCCACACCGGGGATCAAGGTGCTTTTGGATGGTACGCGGACTACCCCATAAATAACCATGACGATCATTCGGGTTACAGAAAGTAATGCGCCAAACTTAGCCAATACTTATACTACAAGTTGCACATGACAAACGCACTTTGCTATATTTCTAAGTAAAAAATTTAGAGTAAGATTTTCTAATTATTACCAAAGACAGTATTATTCGAAAATGATTTTACTTATAATTTAAGTGTCGAGCAGAATTACCGCACATTTGTTTAAAACGGTTAATTCCGCATAAAACGCAAATACTCCACTAAAAAGTTCCTCGTTAGTTATAAGTTTTAAAAGAACACTGTGATACGCACCAAGGTAGTGAAATAGTAGTAAAATTCATCAAACATTTCACTGTTTCACTGCTTATACACTTGTTATAATTGTTATTAAAATGTTTTTAATATCTTTATACACTTCTGCTTTTTATATTTAAGCTACGCCTACTTTCTATCGCAATCTAGAAATTTTATTACCTTATCGCTTTCCTTCTTTCTGCTTGTTTCTAATTTATATCTATAACTTCTCTATCTGTACTCTATTACTCTCTTACTTTTTACCATTACTTGTCTTTTCAAATATATACATGTTACCTTCATCTTCGTTTCATTTCATAATATCATCTCTATCATCATAGTTTATTGTAACTAACAATATCTATCACTTTCACTCACTACACTCACTTTAATTAGTTGTATCTACCAACTAAATATTATATCATATGATGTAACTGCACCGGTTGCATGAAATTTATCATGTCATTCGCATTAGCATTTCTTGCGTTCATCATGAATATATTGAATATCATTACGATCATTAGTCTTTAGTCTTTACTCATAAACTCTCACATATGTAATACATACACGCGTACTACATATACACTATTTTGCATTATATATCGATTATTGTAACTGATCATTTATCAATTTCTATTTCATTCAGCATATTTCTTCACCAAGCTTCTAGAGTATCTATGCTTATTCCATCACTATAGTGATATTTAGTACTATTATTCTAGTTTCGAAGTATATTTTCCTTACTTTTTATGTACTTTATAAATATTTACTTTTAATCTAGCATTTCACTTCTTTTTTCATAGTATCACGTTGTTTCCTGCTTCTATTATCTATCTGCCATTTCACACTTATACAACACGAATATCTGCCTAGCACCCACAGACTAGTTAGTAAAAATAGATATAAAATAAATATCTTTTATGCTTTCACTTTGCTTCTATAAACCTACAACTCTTGAACTTCACGTGCATTCTTTATTTTACTACTATTTCCTCTATTGTTTATTTCACTCCTATTATTTTATTCATTCCTTTCTTTTTCTTGCTAATCTGACTACTTTTACTATGGTAAATTTTCCATGCATTTTAATAATATTTAAATCTATACTGTTAACAAAAGCCTCACATCTTACTTGATGTATTTTTTAAGTAATTAAAAAATATGTATTTAATGTCTACACCGTTTCCTACATAATTTTTGATCTCTTTCCTAAGTTTCTTAGTTAATATTATGATTTTTTTCTAATCTCAACTGTAATATCAATATTCTATCATACTTCCTTTCTTCATTCTACACGCTGCTATACTATTTTACTATGTTTACACATTTTAGCGCATCTTTTCTTATATCATTGCCTTCTCTTTACTTCTTAATACTCTTTATAGTCTCTTGACCACTACTTCTTATACTATATATACACTAACTTGCATTCTTGTCTATTATTCATGCCCTAGATTTCTAGATATTCTCTCCAACGTAATATTTAATTATACGCTTATCACACTTTCACCCGTCATTATCCTATTACCTTATTTTACATTTTTTATTAAATAATAATATTAGTAATTTATATTTCTTTCTTATCTTCATTTAACATTATCCACATAATAATCTTTCATACTTTTTTTATCTTACTCATCACTTACATTTTCTTGCTAAAATCTTTTTTTTATATTTTCTATATTTATTTGTTTCTCTTCTCAAACCATTTACTCTTTTTTCTGTATTAAAATCTTTAATTTTACTTTTTCTAAAGTCATCTTCTTTTAAGTAACCCAAACTCATTTACCTTTACATTCTTCTTCTGTAAAAATCTAAAGACTGACATTTTTTATTTACCTAGTAGTACTATAGTATCTGTCTGTTCTTTATTTACTAGCTTTAGTCTCCAATAATTTTCAATGTCGTTAAATCATAAATGTAGTTTCTGTCCTCTTTAATCTTTATCTTCGTCTACTCCATCTATACAATTATTTTATATATATCTTTTTCTTCATGCCAACTACAAACACCATTCACCTTCGTTTCTCATTTACTTTTGTATCACCTCAAACTAGCACCATCCATTTCATCGTGACTACTTACACTACACTTATTCTAGATGCAGAATCACTAAGTAAGACGTTCTATTCTTTTTTTACACTATCACTTTCAAATTCTTACACTTCACAAAACTAGCATGTCTTTCTTTTTCATTGTTCTCTTTCTTTTATCTGTCGCTCCAAACAACAAACTTTTAACTATCTCTCTCTTGCAATTAAATATTTAGATACCTAGTATACATAAGTAATCGCTTCATTCTATTATTAAAAATATTTCCTAACTTATCTTCTGTCTCTGTAATCGTTAGCTCGAATGTATCTTTTACTTTTCTATTCATATTTTCATTATTCTGTTCTATCTATATTTGCTTTTCTCTTACATCACACAGCTCACTTCATTCCTTTTTTTCTATCACTTCACGCCACTATTATTGACAGTTCATGCTTTATTATAGACATTATTGCTCATGCACATGATTCCTAAATCATTATAAAATATATATTATTATTTCATATATAAATTAATACCTGCTAAAATTTGTGGCAGACGATACCAGTAATTTATCGAAATGCTTTGCTTAGTAGCGATGATAAAAGCTCCCACTAGCCTAAGTCTTGTTCCCATAACCTGTGTGTGTCATGATATGTACATATATAACTATCAGTGTGGGTAAAACTGCAGTATCAGACGGTTTAACAAATATACACAATTAAGTAAAGTTACAAGTAAACTTTAAATATGTTATACATATGTATTAAGTAAAAGATCACGCCACAATAAAACGTGAACACTGATGTTGTCGCTCAGAAGCATTATTTCTTACAAAAGATATTATAATATCCTTCATCTATTTGTTTTAAATATAACGGCTCATCCTGATATTAATATTCTTTTCTTTATTTTCTCTCTCTCTCTCTCTCTCTCTCTCACTCACACATTTTATATATGTAACAATCTACTGTATTTACTTATTATTAGGATAAAAATATCTTCTTATATTGTTTCTTAAACTATACTCGGTAATATTTATATTCTATAAACTTATTACTTTACTATTTTTAATTTCTATATCTCTTTCTACTACACTGTCATATTTATAATATCTTTGTAATTCCATAATTTACTCTATGTTTTTATATATCTCTATGATCACTACGCTATTTTCCGTCTTCTTTTCCTTCACTGTTTTTCTTCTTATCTCTTATACTCAAATTTCTTTCTAAACCTTATCTATTTATTATTCTTTTTCTACTAGTTTCTATCATTATATGAACTCTTCTATATCGTTTAGTCTTCTGATCCTCTACTTTACCATTATTTTCTATGATCTTATTCTACCTATACTTCTTCTCATTTTTATTTATTCTATCAACTAAATATTATTTCTTCTATTACTTCTAGATTTATTTTTTTAAATTTTATTTCTTCTGTCTTTTCCACTTCTACTGCATTTCGTAAATATAATTTCATACATTTCCTTGCTACAGCAGTATGCAACTTTCATTCTATATTTATTACCTTTATATATATCCTAAAATACGAATTTACCTATCTATAACTTATTCACAGCATTATTTATTTTTTTATATTTATTGTCTATTTCTCTCACTGTCTCTCCATCATCTGTCACTCATAACCTAGAATCCTTATGCTCTGATTTCTAATATTATAATAAATTTCATTCTATCTACGTATTCTTCCATTTCTTTCCTAACTGAATCTATGTTTATATATTCTTATTTCTACACAGGTATCGATTTTATTGACTACGTATATGTTGATATTATATGCATTTGGACATCTTATTGAGCATAAAAATTATATCGATGAGAAATTATATATTATAGATTTATTTATATATTGTCCTTTTTTCACTTCTTAATATAAAATTACATGAATTAATGATTATTCATATATCATCTGTCTTCTTATTTCTTTATATTGCTTTCTCTCTCTTTATTTTGTCTTTTCTCACTGCGTTCTCTACTACTTACCTCTTATTTCATTTTTCATCTCTTTCCTACTATAACCAGTATAACTGTATGCATTTCCTTCTATTTCTTCAAATAAAGAGTATTAAGTAAAAGTTACAGTTGTTAATGATACGTGTACTAAAACTGTTTACTTTATAACTGATATTTTATATTTTTTTAATATGTGTGTTTTTATTAAATATTTCTACCTGGTGCGCTATAGAACTAAGTTAACCGCACAGTATTGTTGTTTAATTGTTATTGTTAATTAAATTGTTATTATTTCTTGTTACATTTTTTTTTATTTCCCTGATCCTTGATTTCACAAAGCGAAGAAACCCTAACTCCTAAGTCAATAAAAGTCAAACGAGATACGGCAACTTGCCAATATAACGCAATGAAGACCAAATAAAAAAATATGTTATAATTTTCCGTCTTTTTATTTCATACATTTAACATATATATTCTCATACAATGATATTTAAAATAGATTTCTTTGGTTTAATTACAGCACAGATTTACGGCATAGTTAGTAACAGTTTCTCCAAAAAGCCAACTGATGGGTTGTCATTTTAAATATTAGAGCGTTGTCCGACATCAACATCATCATCATCTTACTAATACAGTTGGTTTGTTAGATAAACTATTATATATTAGTATACACTACAGTGTTTCGTTCTAATTAACTACTCACATATATAATTACTTATAATTCTACTAGGTACACATACCTATAGATAGATGTACAAAACATATAGGCCCAGAATGTATAGAATTAGGACATTAATTATACATTTAGTACAATCAGGATATAAAGTAGATAGAGGCTCCGTTATAGTTAAGCTTCGTTACATGAAGTAAACAATTTGAACTCTTATTTATTATAACATTACGAATGGAATTGCAATGACAAATAGCCAATCATTTGGCACATTCGATGAACACTATTTCACATCCAGCGAGCTTGTACACATTAAACTTTATACATTTAATTTTTGTTTTACCACTAAACTCATATATATTGTAGGAGATACGTCCTAACAGAGATATATGTTTTTCTGGTACCTCGACAAAAAAGTCGTAAGTCATAAATATGAAACGGAATAATTAGCTTTACTGCATTCGTAATACATGACATTTTACTATCAACTCATTTTTTCAAGTACAATGGTATATATACCGTCATATTCGTGAACGGGTGCTGCTTGTTGGGACTAGTATGTTGGGTAACGAACACGAATTACACTGTTCGCTTTGGAGAAAATTGTAATAGCATATGCTCTATTCTTCTAAATTTGAATTTAAAAATTAATCTGTATTAGTGTTACCATGTATACCACCTTATTTGAAAAGAATAGGTACGAGCTGAGTTTCTCGAAAGCACCCCGAACCGATGGTAGATTAGACATATCATTAAGAGTCTGTAATAGATGTACATTAATAAATATGTTTTGATTTGCTTTACACAAAGATTGTGTAAAGCCATTCAAAGGTGGTCAAAGTATATTCTTATCATTAAATCTTGTTTTTACTTACTTCTTTGCTCTGTGTTTTAACACCTTTGACCCAGTATAGCGCCCGACAACCCACGTGCGATTTCTAAATTTACATATGATGTAACATATAAACGTTCCCATTATCTAATAACATATATATCTCTTCTTGGGACGTATCTTACACTAATAGTAGATATTTATTACAATATTATTGAAATTTTTTCTGGATTATTAAAATACATCTCACAGATGATATATATATATTAATTAATTTAATAGTAGTTCTATATATTTTGATTATACAACATATATATGTATATATATTAAAATGTAACCTCTTTTTTTATTCACATAAAGTGTTACCATATTATTCAATAAATGAAACCCTTACTAATTAAGAAAATAACTAGAAACAAGACATCAAATCAAAAACTAACATAGTTTCTATTTTGATATCGACCATGGTCGTGAATAGTGTATATTTAAAAACAATAAAAATAATACTTTTTAACATTACCTCGCCATCATTTACCTGACATTATGACATTATTTTCAAACAATACATCATCGTACGAATAATATTCATAATGATTCTAAAGCACTAAGTAGAATACCCTAATATTTGCATAGAAAATAGGCCGTTATAGAAGTTATATTTACAAATAGTAAAAACTAAACTAATAATTTATAATACTGTATAATCTCACTCCGATAAAGGAAATAAATAGTTTAAATCACAGATGTAGAAAATATACAATAAGACTCAAAATAAATAACTTTGTGCTTAACTAAGTACTTAATTCTTTAAGTAAAGTTTTATGTAAAACACACCACAGGTTAGATAAGTACCATAGTTCAAGAAGTCATAAAAAATATTGTAAGATCAAGTTACGTCATTGTAGGAAAAATATTCTGTGCCCGCCCTACTGTGTAGAAAAGACGACCAAATCCCAAATTAATCTTCATCACATGTTTACAAGATCGTCAAATTATTCCTTACTACTTCATTTATATGAACTTAAATGGTCGTCATATTATTTATGTCTATTAGTTATATATATCGCTGATTTGTTGAAATTATTTATTCACTTTCACTATAAATACTGGACAATAATTTGACGTATGTATGGTAGATACCCGCTAACCACTGTCAAACTATTCAGATAGTTTCTCTACCTCTTGAAACAAAGTATCACGACTTCCACATATTGATAAGAAATTCCACAACTAAATTAGGTCCTCACTGTTTCCACCACTGCGATGGTAATCATACAGATAACCAACATAACCATAACCATCAGCTATACAGACAGAAACAATTCATCGTCTCACCTCGGCACCTCGCTGGAATATAGTAATTTAGTCGTTTTGTTTTCTATAAGGTAACTAATATATGGTACTATATTTGAGCAAGTAGGAAAATATTTACTTAAAATAAATTTTAAAATGTAAAAAGACTTTTTTTTAATTCTCAAAATACATTAAAAGATAACTACATATGCATAGAACTTCATAATTCTATGTTCCGTATAAATGGTACTTTATATTGTAGAATACTTCGCTATTCTATAAAGTATTGAACACACACACTAGTTTATAAAAACACGTGTAACTATAGACGCACGGGTGCCAAGTTAAGTTGACGCTGTAATCTTTTAAATTACAAAAAATATACGTTACACGTGCCATGAGTATTATAAAAATGTAAAATATACTATATGTTAAGACAAATATATATTTTTTTAATATTATTATATATTTTTTGTAAGTATAAAACAAACTACACTCAATATACTTTTATCATTCTTTGTTTATCTGTGCGCAATAAAATGTTATTATTAATATTTCATAACAATGTCTAAGAATTTCATGAAGTTAATCACAGAGCTTGCAAGACGCTGTGATGAACAAGTTAATAAACAAATTTCCCTGAAGAAGTCATTCTTATGAATACAAAAATATTTTTTGAAAGATACATGGCAAATTCATGAAATTCAAATACATAATTATAAAATATATGCGTAAAAACGAACATGTGTTTTAAAAATAATATGTAGAATCAATTCTGTCGAATTATTTATAGTGAGCCGCTTTCTACGTATCCTAATAAGACACTTTCACCCAATCGCATCGAACTACAATACCTTTACCTTCGTGATCTATTCAGCTACATTCTTCCTCCTAGGAACATGCCTCCTTCTATCAAAATTGACCTCAAGTAATAGACAATAACAAAATATTACAAAATAGATATATTCATCAATAAAAAAAAATACTCCTTCGTAATAGTGATACTTCAATTTACCATTGCGTTTGAAATTCGACTCTAATTACTAACGGTATAATTGCATTTAAAAAAATGTCAAATGTAAAGATGTCGTGAAATATTACTGTATACATACAATACAACTATATTATATAGTGGACATATGAAAATATATATTTCAACTAAGCGCACTAAATGATATGCAGAGAAGCCATGTTAGTCCACACCTCGCTGATGAGCTTTGCTTTGTTAAGCTATATTAGGTTATTAGTATTTTAAGTCTAAACAGATATGCCCGTTGTCTATGGAGAGATAGTCGTAAGATATACCATATATATAGTATACATATATATAAAGTATATAAATACTAAGCCGAAAGTATTCATGAAACTCCACAACCTTCGCCGAGGAAAGTAATAGAAATAATTATTAAAACTTGATACTTTTTTGAAATAAATAATAATTAAAAATATTATTAGCAATTTGGGGGTAAGTTGTTTTATCTCACAAATAATATGACCCTATATTGACGGGATTTTATACAAGTTTAAACGTAAGTAAATATAATAAATACAGTGTAGAGTGGAGTTCTACCAAAATGACGAGTTGCATTCACAAGGCCCGCAAATATAAATATATTTAATTAAATATATAGCCATCAAAACTGTGCATTCTCAAATAAACGTCTTTAGAGCACCATACAATAGATAAGAGTGAGCAATTATTTGTTATAATATTTATAGAATACATACATCTAAATAATTAGTTATTTTACATCATGCATTAATTCTGATTATGCAACACAATCAATATAAAGAAATTATGCATGATAGTGTAGTTCATATAACTGTATATTTACATACCCATGTACCTGGTGTTTCCATAACATCTATATTATGTGGGACATATACGTTTAATAATAAAAAGCACATTTTTGAAAAATAAATTTTAAAGTCAAGATCTTAAAGCCTATTTTCGCAAAAATTTTACTTAATGTAATTTATTGTTGTATATTGAATATGTATGATATATGTGTGATACAATTCTGTTTACTAAATTGTTTTCTTATATACAATCGCATAGAGTATAATTTCGCGACTCTTGTTCAGCCTAGACTTAGGATTTTAAGATGCTCGTATAAAATCATTTTTAATTTAGTATGAAGATTGCAATGACATTCAGAAATGTATATTATCACAATATATTATATATCATACTCATACTAAGTCCCACAGAAGGAAATATACATATTATGAGAACTCTTTATAATTATGATATTGCATTAATATAAATATTAAAGTGATACTTTATTTAAATAAATAATATATAAACAAATAAGTAGATAACTATTTTATGAGATGCAAATTTGAAGGAAACAAATTAAATACCTGTCTCTTTCTTCCCCTTCTACCTTTATATAGGAAACGTATATGAAGGAAAGAGAAGAGTAACACATCTATCTAGGCATACATTTACACACATGTACTATGCATAAAATTAGCCTAACATTTATCTACTACGCTAATATGAACACACCTCCAAATTAGGTCTTATGTTCTTAACATTACAGTTGAATTTCAAGTATTCGATAGTTAAATAGGAATTAATAACTACCTGTTACATATTAATATACTTGTAGTAATGTTCTAATTTAGTAGTATAATGTTATGTATATTTAAATTTGAGTATTGGCCATATGAATATTCAAACATTATTTTCACGTATCAAAACTTCCCAAATAAGATCTTGTATACATCCTCATTTTACGACAAGTTTCACCGTCACCCTACTCAAAATATACAAACAGTATCCAATATCCTGTAATTAAATCACTCGCGATATCGTGTCAATTCCTTTAAATATAATTGCACCATTTGGTCGGCAAATATTTGAAGATTAAGTACAAGCTATTTGTCATAACTTCACACACTTCTGTCATGTCACTACTGACATTATATATTTTTAATAAGTTTTCCAAATCCTCACGTTTCAAAAATATTCTTCACTGAATCTATGATCCTTCGAGCCGGATCGACGCATTTATAATATTTTTTATCTTAATAAAATATGCAGAAATGCGTAGCTTTCTCTTTAGTTTACCATTACGACTAAAAATATTTTTCATGACTAGGTGTTACGGATCTTAATTATCAGTTTAATTAATTAGGAGTACAACTAACCCCTTCCTTTCCCATTTCACTCAACTAAATTGGTTTCCCTTTAAACTGCGTTAAGGGCTTGCACAGACTAGCTATACATTTATTTTACATTATATTTTGAACACCCAGAATTGTTTAAATATTTTAAATTTTATTATCAAACAAGTTAATTTTAATACAATTATATAAAAAGTAAAATACTAAATATATAACCTGTAAATAAATGTAAGCAAATACGAGGAGTCTATTAAGAAAAAAAAAACTTATCTGGGCAGGCCCTAACAAAATACACTGGATGAATACAATTAGTACTCTCCTTACTACCATTTCCACTTATAACGACATTTCTAACATCATACACATACAATAAATAATTTTATTATTATTGTGTATACAGGAGAAAATACTATATTATACACAACATGGCGTTAACGCCAGATTATACAACGTTGCTATGACATTCACAAATATTATACTAAACATATCTTATATTATAGGCATAGCCCAATGTGGGGTCATAGATAAAATATTCTTATTCATATTCTTTAGGGTTACGAAGAGGCCTTAACACCTGTTTCAATCAATCACTTTCAAGCTTTCCAATCGTCGAGATCGTGGGAGCACATATTGTAACTCACCGGCCTCCGGTCTCCGGTCTCCGGTTCAAGTAGCCCAGGCCATGACGACTTTGCTGAAGGGCACGAAGAGTGCGGCGGCGGTGGGCGCGGTGAGGAAGTAGCGGCGGCCGCGGTAGGTGCCGTCGCAGTGCGGGCCGGCCCCCTCGCGGGCCACCTCCGCGCCCACCACCACGCCGCTGCTGGCCGCCGTGCTGCCCGCCAGGCCCACGTACCTGCAAAGGATTGTTCTTGTAGTTCTATTTTATATGTATATATAGGTTCATAGAAAATAGAAGTAAAATTCATTTTTAATTTAATTACAAATTTTAAATATATAACCCTTAAACTTTGTATGGGTGGTAACTTGGTTTATAAATATTTATATTTGGTTTATAGATATTTATACCTAATAAGCCTATTTTTGCCAACTGCTGTTTTTTACTTTGGTGATGTGTTACGTAATCTGTATCAAAGGGACAACAAACTGTAATTCTCATGTTGTTACACTTTTTATTAATAATATAGCGTATTGTGCAAACTCACCTGACCCGTCCTATGACGACTCGACCGTAGGGCGAAATGAGTTTGACAGTATGTCCAAGCCGCAACTGGCGTGGCTCTGATGGTATATACGGCTGGCCGCAAGCTATCGACGACCCGTCCACTATCCACATACAAGTATATTAATAAAGATGCAATTAGTCTACCTTCTCACCTATAATTCTAAATGGGGTAATCTGAAGCATTGTGAACATCTTAGTAATAGAAATAGAAATCATTTTTATATAATAAACTCAAAACAAGCGCTTTTGAACAGTTATATTTATTTTATTCTACCACTCATTCGGAACGCAGACATCACCAAATGAACGAGCAAGAAACTTCTATATTGAAATCATAGTAAATGAACATTTGGAATGCTCTTCATAATAAATGATCGTTTGAGAACCATACATTTTGATGAGTATATTTGAATTCAAAGTGGAAAGGGCGTAAAACCATCTCTCAGGTAATATAAATATGATATCTCAGGACAATTCACACAGTGCCATCTACTCCAAAAACGGAGCTGATATAAAGGGTACAAACAAAACTGATGTAAATACAAAGATACATAATAAAAATAAGAAACACCCAGATCGAAACAAACAATCATATCATACTCATGAATAAAAGGAACTGTAACGTACGATGAATCTAACCCACGAGCATCTGTAGTAAAGTAATGTGCTAAACAATAAATTATTTAGAAAAAAAAAATATATAAATATACAAAATTTTAAACAAAAAAACAGAAAAAATTATAAAAAAAATATCTATCATTCATATCAGTTGTCTAGTTAACTGAAAATCAGCGCTGAAAACTATGTTTCCAGCATTATGCTGAGTTGTGGTCCACGTTGACTCTGTTTTTTTAATGTGTAAATTGTTCTTTGTATTTCTTATGTTATTACTGTATAAAATATAAAACAAGTTAATAAATTATATTCTATTCTAGTACCTATAACACAAGCTCTCCGTATCTTGGGACTAGATGATGTTGTATGATTTGTCAAGGTATATTATTATTATATAGGTAATAAGCAATGTAAGAAAAATACATGTAGTACGGACATATATATTTTAAGAATGGTCAAGAAGTGAAGTAGGTATATAAACCAACCAAAAACAGAATTGTACAAGAACAAAACTATAAACTTTAATACAAACTAGAATATACAGACATTTCTGATTAGCCAGCTACAACAATATCAGAGTTCAAACTTAGTTTGTGCCCAGATGGAGCTGTTAGATTATACAACAATATAGTTCAAGCTCAAGTTTCTAGATGGCGCTGTTACATAACTATTGTATTAATTTACTGAATACGTACGGTCCAGCGACGTGGCCATAGATGACGAGCGAAGGTTGTCTATGGACCGGCGGAGATAAGTGTCAGCCTCGTTCAGCAATTCGTCGGTGTCTTCAAAGGGGTACAGTCGCCACCCGCGCCCCTCGCGCCACCCTCCGCGCACGTCCGGCATAGAGCTACGCCACAGGCTGTACTCCGCTGAGTTGATCAATATTTTCTGATTATATTTTGCTTTTTTATACGTGACTAGGGATCCCTTCTGACTTCGCATAGGGATCATAATGTTACTTCGGTTTCGGAAGATTGCTCGCGCATTCCCGTTTCCCTGGCAAAAGGTAAAGAGAAGGACCACCTAGGGGTTTATAGCCGGTAAGGTACCCGTCTACCTGCCCCGGGGCCGGCGAGTCTCCATGAGGATTTTCCCCCAAGATAAAAAAAGGGATCATAATGGCAGTAACTTATAGAAAAATGTATTTTTTTTATTTTATTTTTTGATACATATTTGATATGCTATTCGCATATCATATCATTTTACCAGTAAAAAATGCATATTACATTATAATATGCATTTTTTTACTAGTGAAAATTTTATATTATATAACATGTTATAGATTTTTAAAATGGTTTAAGAATTTGTTGACCCTGTCCATCACAAAATCATTCTAAAATATTAGTTTACCCCATTATACAAAAGCCTACATATATGATAATTTCTCCTGAAAACATTTCGAATATTAAGTCTATATTGATCATTGATTAAGTACTGAATTGAATATAAAACAAAACTGAAGTGCATGAATGATGGCTATAAATTAAAATACTGTTCGTGACTCGGGTGACTCCAGTCATTTGTCTTGTAAGTCAACATTTATTGAATAATAGACTTTATTCATTCGATAGAAGGTTGACATCAGTCTGGTGACCGGTCATAAAAATATAAGCCAAATTCTATAGTAATTAATAAAAATATTTCAATTTTCAGATTATTCTTACAGACAGATACACAAAAAAATCTTAAAAATTGGTCGAGCCGTTTTGGAAGAGTTTTGTTACAAGCACTGAGACTCGAGTTATAATTCAGTTATAAAGACATTAAAATTCAGTAGTTCATCCTTAAAAAAATAAAATAATAGATGCCTTTACACAAGTTTATTTAGCGTGGGAAAGCTCAGAAATCGTGAGGGATTGTATTTTACCGTATGTGTGATTACTCTTTCGCGCGTAATAGCCCATATGTTTCAAGCCATACACACACTACTATCTTTAAAAGTTTAATTTCACAGATTTTATTTTCCAAAGACATAACTAAGATTTATAAATTATATCACTAAATCTATAATTATAGTATTTGCTCTATAGCCAGATGTCCTCAATTTTGCAATATTAATTAAATATTATAAAAGGGCGCTAAATCACGCACGATTTAAGAACACGGGAATACGCGAGCTGACAGTGGATGCGATCTTTCTCGTTCTCTTTATCTACTATTACATTCTTTCCTAGGTGAAAGCCGATTCCAGAGTGAAAGACCATACGTGAAGGCAGCTGTTGCGGCTAATAATACTATGTTGTCGGTTGAGACGATAAATATTACAGATGATAATGGACTGACAAAATGTACATAAAAATATTAATCTTATGTACTAAATAACAATAGGAAAATACTTACTAGCCATAATTAATAGCAATTATTACATTGATGTATCTAGGTATCCCATAGCACTTGATGACCTAGAAGTGAATAGGAAACGTAGTATAATGTGTTACCTTTGTTGCGTGTCAAGCAGGTGGGCTGCGGCAACCAATCACTGCTCCGGTCCGTACAGAGGCACGGGGAACGGTACGAGCCGCGCGACATGTATCTGATGAATAATGTTTACACGATATTATTGCTTTATTTTGGGCAATCTGTTAACACAATAGTACAATCTGGTGGCTCTTTTTATTAAATTGTTGTATTTCTTTCAATTGATGAGGCTGAATCCAATGAGTCAGGTCTCAGGTGCTGCCTCTGAATCTTTTCGGTAGTCCCTGGATGTAATAGCTTTTAAGTTGAAAGAATCTAAGATTCCTCGATCTCTGCAGTTGTGCTACCAGTTCATTTCTGTATCCAGTATAAGAGATCCAGATATGAGAGAGGGTATGTAAGAGAGCTATGGAAAAAACTATGTCTGAAGTTTCTCGAAGGGATAAAATCCGAAACAAAGTAATAGATAGAGAACTAAGGTCAGCGACATATTTACAAGTCGAAGTTTAAGACGAGTTCTAGAGTAGTGACCGCGAATTGGTAAGCATAGTATATATATATGGAATGTGGTGCACACGAGGATGATAAGACATGACGTTAGGTCAGTCAGTCCATCGTGGCAAATTCGCCACGAATTTATACCGATGGTTTGCAGGGGGAAACGCGTGGAGATTAACGGTTATAAAAGTGAACCCGGGACGTACATACCTGGAGGTGGGCGAGTGTCCAGTCTGCGGGGGCTGCGGGGGCGGCGGGGGAGGCGGCGCGGGGGGCGTGGGGCCACGCTTGCCCTGCGCCCACACCGGGTCCGCAGACCGCGACAGTTCTGGCACCATCGACGTGAACCCTGCCAACACATTTGTTTTAAGGCACAAGAGTTATTTTAAAAATATACAACATGTTCTTTCGCGCGCGATCAGGAGATCGATCGCAAATCACGGCCGATTTAACATGGAAAATCGGGACGTGTGAAAATAAGACATTCGCTATTTAAAATGATATGCCGATATTTATCCCTAATTATACACGACACACGAAACTTTAAAAAAGAATTGGAGAATAATAAATGAATGCGTGTCAGCTCAGCGCGCTTTTCTTCTTTAATTACTCACTCGAAACCCGATTGGCGCGTGAAAGATCGTACGTGTAAAGGTAGCTATTGACAAAGTTTCACACATTCGAATACTTGTTTGAACAAACAATGGTACCCGTTAAATTTATGAGCATTTACTTATTATATTTATCTAAAATTGGTCTATTCTTTATTGCACCAACATTAATTGCAAATCAAGAACATTTAGGTACTTAAAGCGTAGTACCACCCACAGTTGTCACCCACTCACCAATGTCGCTGAGCAGCAGGCGGCGCGTGTCGTCGGTGCGGCGCGCGGCGGCAGCACGCAGCGGCGGCGGCGCGCCCCGGCCCGCCCCGCACGCCCCGCACGCCCCGCACGCCCCGCACGCCCCGCACCCCCCGCACCCGCCGCACGCCCCGCCCGCCCCCGGCGGCCCCCCGACAGTCCTCCCGCCGTAGCCATCTCCCGCGGAAGACAGTGGCATCTGCATAAGAATAATAACTTTAAAGCCCCCCGGATGGTATTGTTCACAACAAGAAACGTTGGTCCCGTTGCTATCATACATGTCAGGTTAACGGATGCGATTCCCTGGTGATAAAATCTTGATGAATTCGTAACGATAACTATAGAGTAAGTCAGGTCAGTAGACCAGACCTACGACCTCAGTATACCAGTTTGCTATCCGCGTATTCCTCCAACCTCCTATTATATTATCAGAGATTACGAAAAAAGTTATCACGATCAGTATACGAATATGAAACAAGGAGAAAATATTTCCTATTGTATTTATTTTATTCTTATTGGTATAACAAACAATCTGAGTGGGCCACCCAGACGATACTCGTACGTTGCCGGAAAACAAAGATGTCACGCCTACCCTATAATATCACTGTCATATCAATTCCCTCAATCAAAGCATGCGGTTTTCCGCTGCAAAAATAAGTGAGAAGTAGAAGAAATATAAGTAGTACGTAAATATAAGTAGTCATAAAAGCGGCTTTGTATAAAATCTATCTTGGTAAATTATGTGACAAAGTACATTATAACCTTGTGAGCGAGATATCCATCGGAGCTCCACCGCGGCGGCAGTGCGGACACGTCCGTCTGCGCCCCGCTCTCTCGCCGCGCGCCGCCCCGACCGCGGACCCCCGGCATCCCCGGAACCCCCGGCATCCCCGGGACCCCCGGCACCAGCGGGACCCCAACAGGCCCCGCTCGTAATGGTCCGCGCCATGCGCTGCGGTACCCCGCCGGTCTATAAATAAATAAAACAGTGTTATTCGGACATTACACTTCTTTTTTTATGTAGTTGGAATGACAAGTAATTTGACGGTCTATGAAATGGTAAGTGGTAATAGTGGCCTATAGACATGAACAACACTACTCACATCACCTTATCATGTGGACCCGTGATTCATATATTGCCTTCCAGAAGACGAAGATGTCATCACCTAGTAATATGACGCCCGTGATTCATATATTACCCTCCAGATGACTAAGATGTCACACCTCGCTGTAATTTAACTACCTCACCATCTTGAAATAATCTTTCAAGAGAAATACAGCTTACGTTACAAGTAGCTTGGCGACTGAAATATATGACAAAATTGTGTGCCTTTACCTTACCTTACCTTACCTTACGCTCACGATTTTTTACAAAGTCTACCTTGGTAAAAATCTAATTTGTCTTCTAAAATGATTCAATGATATATATTTCAAGAATACTTTTTTAAAATTGTTTTATTCTTGATCCACAACTTATATGATGGCAGTGATTTTCCTAAAAATCTAAACATGATAAAATAAAATACAAACTTTACCTATATTGAAATGGATTGGGGCAAGTGTTCCTTCTAACATTCAAATTGGCTAGCAAATCATCCTCTGAGATTCCACATTTTGATATATCAGTTTCAGCAAACACTGAAAATCTATGTCCAAAATTACTTGTTCGGTGAAAATTTTCTATGCTCTCATCTCTATGGAGAATATCCATACTGGATCCCAATTCGAAGCTAGAAGACTTGGTATTATCGAAGCTCAAACCTCTGTTGTACTCGCAAGTTAAGCTGTCCACACTGTCTAATCTTCTTGTACTTGTGTTTGGGCTCTTTCTGTATAACATGTTGTCTGACTTGTTATCATAGCTCTTCAATATTCCCCTGCCAGGTAAGTCCAAACTTCCTTTTCCATTAAATGCCACATGTTTAATCTCTTTGTCACTTGGTAAAGAAACTCTTTTCATTTTCAATGAGGACTCAGCAATCACATTTTGGAGGCTGGAATTCTCCTGATTTTCATTCTCAGCATTGTCTGTAGTTTCACCTCCTGGTTGGAAGTCAGGGTCAAGAGTGTGAAACTTTATGAGTACTGGGGTAGAATGTGTTGTGGAAGCAGATGCTGGAGTCCATTGATCTGAATCCTGTATTGATACAAGGTCTTCCTAAAAATAGATATTATATGGGTTAATAATATTATAGATATTTAAATTATTGAAGTTCTGCAGTTTAACTAAGAAGTAATGTAAACTGGGCTATAGAAGCTTGAATAAATCTGTTAAAAATATTTCTAAAAATCCTATAAACTTATTACTTATACCTGTAAATTACTCATATCCTTAGATTCGTCAGTGGTGAATATCAGTTCTATGTCATCTACCTCTTCAGATTCATTGCCACTAGCTGTTTCTTGGTCAATCTTGTCATCGCCCCCCGGATCCATAGGTGTTGCAACCCCCTCAGAGAATACAGAATTGTCACCCTCAGATAAAGATCTAAAATTATATTAATATATAAACACACAAATGAACAATAATTAATAATAATAGCCCTAGACTATACACAAAGCCATTATTCATATCCATGAATAAAAAATTGTTATACAAGATTCGTCACATGGGTGAGGAATCCAACCTGCGAGCATTGAAAGTAAAGTGGTGTGCTAAACCGTTAGACCATAGAGACCATTATTATTAATACTATAAATGTAAGAAGTGTTATGATCATTAAGAGTCTTTTTTTTTACAAATATGACTTTTCAATGAAATAGAAATAGAAATAGAAATTTATGTACACAATTTACCTGAGACTCAAGTCATCAACATCTAAATTTAATGTTTCTTTTCTTCTAGTCCTTTCTACATTCTCCTTCATAACCAGACTCTCTTCAGATGTAATTCTCACTTGAACATCAAATTTGTCCACTTTGGACTTGGCTTCAGCCTCACTTGGCACAGCCATTTTTACATTCTCTGTTGAAACTGTCCTCAAATTAATGCACTCTCCATTAGGACCCTCAGTATCTTCAAAATGTTCTTTCCTCTCCTCAAAGTGAAAACTTGTATTGGATTCTTTTGGTTTCTCTTCTGTAGTGGAATCACTGTCAGAAGTAGTGCTTGAAACAATTGTTCCTTCTTTCAAAGTCCGCACCTTAATCTTAACATCAAACTTTGACAGCAATTCAAGTTTAGTCTTGAAACTTGGCTGATGACTCTTGTGGTCACTATTTTTTGGGAAACTTGTTGCTTGACTATTCAATTCTTCTATTTCTGTATGAGAATTTTCATGGTAACTTTCTTCTGGGCTCACTTCTGGAGACACATTGAACTCCTCTTGTATATCATTTAACTTTTCTGTTGTACAAAACTTAGTAGCGCTTTCTGGTTCATCTTGAGGTTCTAGTATAGGTTCCACAGTGGCACCATCACTAGTAGCAGTTTTGATTACCACCTCACTTTCAGTGCACTCTATATCTTCTGCCCGAGGGCTATAAGTAACTTCTAACTTTATATTCTGGGTATTGGAGTCCTCATAACCTGAGTCAATAATTTTACGCCTCAAGATATGATTCTCTAAAGTCAACTTTTCTATGACATCCTCATAATCTGTATAGCGTGAGTGTTGCTCATACTTTTCCTTCAAAGTTTTGAGTTCATTCTTGGACACTTCCAATGCTGTCCTCAAAGATACCACAGTTTGGTGTAATGCCCTCACTGTGTCCAAGTGTGCAACCCCATTAGGGACCGCCTCCAATCTATCGCTATCCATTCCACCTTATTTCGCGCCGTTAAGCACACATTCAACATCCCATACATGACTATTGATCTTTCAAACTATCTTTACTCGACAATTACATCAGTTCCCATCGCCGTGAATTCAAATCACACCTTAAATAAATGAAGAAGTTGTAAACTAAACAAATTCACAGGCACGAATCAACAAAAATATGAGAAATGTACTTACTTCTGACCTACTTCCAGTATATCATATCCATTGACATACATCTTCGTTATGTCGCACATTTTTAGATCGCTATCTATTCGCACAACCGTACAATGATCCCCCAATGAATTAGGGCACGAACAGAGGTGTAATCGATAAAACAACTCAAGTCGAACAGAGGTAATTAAGCTTTTAAGGTCCTCGAAAGTTACAACGGAGCGCCTCACCACTGGCACGAACCAATGATAAAGCTACAGCACGAAAAGCTGCAATTAAGTTAGAATATTATCTCTCAATCGTTTTGACAAGGCTGTAGGTAGGATATGCGTATATTTTAAGATACTTGAAGAATCTTACTTTTCACAGATACTTGTAAACAAATCAATACTCCAGTTTGGTTTGGTATTCGCGGGCGTAAGAGTAAGCAGACGAGTATGATATTGTTATTTCTGTCATCTATCACGTCAATTTGACGTTTAATCATCCGTTCCAGTTTAGTATATTACAAAGAATAGTATATTCAAAAGCTTTTCATATTGAATATATACATAAATTACTTTCAATTAAGCGCAATAAATTTAATTACCCACATTATAGATTTTTATTATCATTTATTATATATAATTATTTAATATATTTTTTTTTATTTCATGACAGCGTCAACTACTGAAACAGAAGTCTCAATGTCATATGTCATTCTCATACTTATGTCATACTGTATCGATACCGACGTCAAAATCAGTTTTCTTTTATAACCTAAAAAGTACAATAACAAAAATATAAAAATAATAATAACATTAAAAAGAATCTTATGTTATGTAAAACTGATCTGTGATCTATAATAAATATGTTTACTGTTACAAATTTATGTAAAAATATCTCTTTTAGTAGGTATGTGGTCGTACAAGCTAGACTAAAATCTAAAACACATTGGGTATGTATTTATATCAGAAATTAATACTTATATTTAATTAATTCTTCATTTAAATACTAACTCATGTTTACTATATTTTTCCTAAAGGCCAAGTTGAAAAAGAAAACCAGTTCAAAATATAAGGCAATGAATCACTTCGACGATTTCTATGGTTCTGTTTTCGGCGATAAATGGGAGCCAATGAAAGAGGCTCTTCTCCGGCGCAATAAATATGTAGCTGTGGTTAACAACTACGGTGAAGCGGAAGAGACTGTTGAATCTCTTACAAATAGAGGTATTTACATAATTAAATTCTGTGTATATTATGTATTTGTTTACAAAAAAAAAGTATGTTTCTCTTACCATTTAAGTACCGGTAGTAGTAGTAGTAAGTTCTGCTATGTTTGGGACTAGATGCCGCTGTCTGAAAGGTCCTGGACTGTATAAAAATAGGATAAAAATCTAATTGACAGATTTTTTTAAAACTTACAATGTGTATGTATATTTCAGACTGCTTTTTGTATAACATTTGTACTGTACTTATTTTTCTTTCTTTATCTGTACACAATAAATAGTTATTATTATTATTATTATCTAATATTCTCCCAGGTGCACATTGTCTCAACAAACTAACAGTGATACAACAAGAGTTTTACAATCAGTATCCAACTAAACAAACAGATGCAAGTACACAACAAAGTAATAGAAATAATAAATTGCATGAATTTACAACAAAACTACAAACTGAGGAAATATCAAATCTCTATGACCAAAGAGAAGCACCAGATAGATTAGACTTACCTGATGTCTCTTTGAATTATTCAAGTGAAGAAAAGCCAACTCAGTTGGTCGATAAAAAATTGTAAGTGAATTAGTATATATTTATTATTCTATTGGTAAATTCTAATACACTAAATACATTTACAAATTAATAAATATTGAAAGAATATAAATTAGTGGTTTCAATATTTGAAAATAATAATTGTGCTTTGACTCATAAAATTAAATCAGTATATCTAATTTAATTATGTATAAAAATAATCAACATTTGTATTTTCATGAAATACATTTATTCCATATCTTATTTATGTATGTATATATCAATTATTTTACATGAAAAGGGCCTAAGCTGTGATGATATCAGGACCCTAATTATATAGAACAATTATTAGTTTTAAAAGAACCACAGAATCTATTATAATTGAGAATTGGTGGTCAGAAAATAATTCCAATATTGCACATTTTAGTCTATTATAAATGAGAGTAGTTTTTAATAATGTTACATAATTAAGCCCTAGTTAGTGTACCAATGCTTACAGCAATAACACCCCCATTTATGATCTAATGCCTTTTTATTGTCATAATAGCCTGTAATGGTTATATTATTTGTGTTACATCCAAACTAAAAAATATTTATGTCATTGATCCTAAGCTATATTTTTAGTTTCTAAGGCTACAACATTTGGCAAAAATTATATGTATTCACTAAAATAATATTATTTCTTTATAGATTTTTAAATAGCCATTTTCTTTCCACTACAGCAATAATAACAGAACAAAAGATCAATCAAAACAAAGTTCAGATATTGATCAGTCTCGCATCATAGACCCTTCCATGGGGCTATCATCAGAGGCTCTGTACCAGTACATACCAGCCACAAAATTGAAAGGAATGGATGATTGGATACCAGAGTCATTGCATTACTCCTTCTATTCTAGTAAGTGTAAATAAATCATTGTTATATATTTTACAAAAGTGTTTTGCCTCAATTAGATAAATGTTATAACAGTTTGTTTTGTGTATGTATTTTCATGGCGCTCCTCTTGCTCAAATTTGAAAGTGGTATAATAATTGTAACCCGACTGATTTACTTTATCAATAAACTATCTTGTATATTTAGTGATTCCTTATACACTCCAGATGCCTTCAAAAATACAAAAAATTGCTTGTGCCATATCCGTCACGCATCCGCGCGACATGACCCTCCTTCCGACAGGATCATCCTTTCAGCCATAAATCCGATGGTGGTTGAGCATATTCCATATTTATTATTATTACACTATCTTCATAACAATATTACTCATTTATGTAACTATTTAGCTATAATAATTAATAAATATATCCCACAGCTGCCACCATGTAAATAAAATACAAGTTGTCGAACTTTATTATTTAGGCATCCTCATATATGACCATCACCATCACCACATCATATATGATATTACATTTACCTTTATAAATATTACAATACAAACAGACATTCAAATTACTATAACAATAATGTCTGTCTATTTATTAACAATTTGTCTGCTTTGTCTTAGAGTGAATACACTGTATCATTAAATGGTAGATTAAAAATAGTAATCTTTTGTGGAATACTATTCATCTATTGTCATACCAAATCCCCTATATGTTGGCATAGAGAAATATTTTTTGTAATATAATAGAAAAAAAGACATCAAGGTCCAAATTTAAGTGATTATCATACTATTGTTTTTGTAGTCAGGCATCATAATTTGGTCTCTGAATACTAAAACTCTCCTGTATAATAAAACATTGTATTATTTCCAGAAAGTACTGATTTTCCATTAGTCATAGAGCCAGAAACAGAATTCAAATTCCCCGAACATTTGAAAGTGTATACTTATGAAATGGGCAGTGAATGGAATATGTTCCCAGAGCCCAAGAGATGTACAACAGGTCAGATTTCTTTATATCCTATTAATTTATATATGATATTGTGGAAAATTTTATTAATATAGTGGACTTACTTAAAAACGGATTTATTTGTTTATATTTAATTATTAAGGAACTAATAACAAAAGTAGTATTGACGATCTTTGTGGTCTAACGGTCTAGCACGCCGTCTTAAATCCGATTGTCGTGGCTTCGATTCCTCGCACAGCACAAACATTTATATATATATATATATATATAGGTGTTCTTATAGCTGTTGTTCTGTTTTTTAGTATTATCATTTGTTGCTAAATGTCACCTATCACAATAATAATATTTACTATCTTTATAATATGTACTGTATTGATTCACAATCTCTATTGTAAATCAGGGGTGTACAACTATTATCCAATGGACTGCGGGAGCGTGCTGTCTGTGCTAGCAATGTGCCTGGCGCCTGGTGACCGACTCCTGGATATGTGCTCAGCGCCTGGTGGAAAAGCCCTGGTGGCATTACAGACCCTATTGCCTGATATTGTTGTCTGCAATGATTTATCAATATCCAGAACTAACAGGTATGAAATAGATTCTCTATGCTTACATATTCTCTTTGTTTTTCAAAAATATTTTAACATTTATAATATTAGCGTGGACTGTGTATTCGTTCTCGTAACCTAGTTTTACCGGGATAAAAAGCCTATTGTTTTCTTTATTTCGCTTAAATAATATTTAAATGCAAAATTTCATGATGATTGGTTGTTGACATATAAGAGCAACATGCAGAGAATTTATACCCAGTACTAAACAGAAATAACTCCTAAATTTCAAATTGTTGTGAAATCAACTTTAATTGTTTTCGTTTTAAATCTATTTTCTATGTAGAAAAATACTCTTGAATTGTTATGTATATATTCAGTACTAAAGATTTTTTATAACGAAATATTGGGGTTGAATATTATTTAAACTAATTGCAGACAACACAGAATATTCCGCGACTACTTGTGCGACTTCAATACCAACAACAGATGGCGTGAGCGCGTCATGTTCACCAATGTTGACGGCAGGCTTTTCACCGACGACCAGGGATACGACAAGGTATTTAGAACTAAAACGTGTATCTAAAGCTACACTAACAGGCTTCTACCAGATTTGGCTGGGCTGCGACAAACATGACCGGTAAAGATACACTACATAATCCCGGGTCACAAGTCCCGGGAACAGCTCGGAGTTTCCCTCTCTGCCACATGATTGACCCGGCACCCGCTCGGTGAATCCAGGGAATGCTAAGAAGTTCGTCTTTTTGCAGGTTTTAGTTGATGTTCCTTGCACCACAGATAGACACTCCGTTATAGAAGATGAGAACAATATATTTAGACCAGATAGAATCAAAGAGCGGTTAAGATTACCTGAACTACAAGCGCAACTCCTGACGTAAGTGCATAGTTTGAACTATAACGAATGAAAATTAAATTAGTTTATTATTATTTCAGTCATTTGTAGTGAGATACTTAAAATATCTATCACTGAATCATTTCAGAAAGACAAATATGTTTTTCCGAGGAAGACTTTGTAAAAATTGTATGCGGCCACCTGTTTGAGTTGTCAAACTTTATTTATAAGATATTTTTGTTGAAAGTTTATTTCAAGGTGATAAGGTAGTGAAATTAGAGGATACCACCCATGATGTCTTAGTCTTGAAGTGGTATTGTGAGTGTCATACGGTTACTATCAGGTGGGCCGTCAGCTTGTAGAGCATTCCAGTCACAAAATAAGATGCAATTATGGAAAGGCTGCACATAGGTAGTAGTATTTACCACCTATGCACAAACAAAATAAAAACAGTTTAGACAGGCACTATTGAATCCGTATCATCTTTAAGCATTTATTTTACAGTGTATATAAATTAAGAAATTCAGATTATTAATAAAACTGATTTTTTTCTAAGCAACTAAATTGGATATTTGCAAATATTTTTTGAAACCTTTGTGCGAACTACGTGGTCGTGGTTTATTTTAATTAAAAATATAATGAAATTCCTCGCGGACTAAATTTCGGGTGGCAGCTAATTATACATATTAAATTTAATGTTATTGATATAGATATATTTTTTTACAAAACCTTCAAAATATATATTATATATATGTATGCCGTAGGAATGCTTTGAGACTGGTGAGAGTGGGCGGCGCGGTAGTATACTCCACCTGTTCCTTAAGTCCCATCCAGAATGATGGGGTGGTTCATATGGCCCTAAAGGCTGCCTTCCAAGATCACTCCATAGTGGCTGTTGTTAAGTATGCATTTTTATAGTACTCTTTAATATCTATAACACAAGCTCTGCTTAGCTTGGGAATAGATAGGGTTGTGTGAAGGGTCCAGGGATATTATTATTGATTCCTTATTACTAATCGTAAGCTAAACAGACCTTGTGTTATGGGTACTAGATAACTGATATTGATACTTTTTTTTGTAAATACATAGAAAACACCCAAAGCAATACAAACATTAGTTCCTGGCAAGGAATGGACCGCGTCACTATCGGATATAAATCGGATATGTGTACAAAGCCGGCCAATAAACGAGGTCCTCATATATTTATGTACATTTTCAAATGTTGTGTATTTCGCCCATGATTAAAATAAAACTAAGTTTCATATATTACACTTTAATTGAATTAAATTATTTATTTATGCATACAACTTATATATACTTTAAAATATTAAAATTAAGTAATAACATAACGAGTTCAATTATTTATAATTTTAATTTTAATTTACTAACTAAATATTATCTATTCTTATATAATAATCTTCTTGAATTTATATTTTGGCGTTTATCTTTCATTATTCCACTACTATTAGTTTGTCATTAAAGTTTAATCCATTGTGTGATAAAACAAGTTTGTGATAAAAAAATATATAATTTAAAGTAAAGTAATAAAGTAATAATTATTTTGTACTATTTTAAAAGGAGAAACATACTGATTTTCTATTTTTAAAAAAGTGTAAATATTATTAAATAACTTATTACATTAATTAAATCAGTATTTACACTCTGGAGTCGTGGCCATTACCTCGGGACATTCCTGAGCAAAGCTGAATAAGTTTCGAATTACTTGGCTGTACTTCGCGGTGTTCGGAGTGTGGAAGACTTTCTTCCTAGGAGACCCGTTTTTGTCCTTCTTTTTACATAAATTATTTTCTTTTGTATACCATACAGTCCACTTTTTTTTCTTTCTTCTTAGTACGAATGAATTATTAACGTAATCGAATAATTATTCGTAAAGTGTAGCGAGTTATAATAATCGATTGTTCTAGGGATCTGACCGCGTCATTCAGTGGTTTGAGCAGTACATTGCAGCTGGGTGCAGGTGACATCGCCCCACAGTACGGTCAACTGGTGGTACCGACTGTCGATGCCAACTTTGGTCCCTCGTACATTGCAAGACTCGTTAGGGTCAAATAAATGGTAATGCAATGTACTTTTATAAAAGGTGTATTTTAATTCTATAGGTATCTGTGTACAGAATAAATTATAATAAATGTTTTACTTTGTTTTATTTTAAAACATTTCTGTAATAAGGTTTATTTATACATATATTTATATTTTCAGACTATAACTATCAACTGTACAACGTATTCGAATTCATACATTAAGTTGGAATTTAATTATTTATTAAGTTTTTAGTATAGTTCGTATATTTTGTTAGTACGCATTTATTGTAGATGTTAGTAGATTTTATTGTAACAAATACTAAACCTTAGCTTTTATATATGTAGTTATCAGTGAAAATTGGATTCAAATCAGATGAATTTTCTGTGATTATTCTGAACAAACGTACAGACAAATAGACAAGAATTCCAGTAACTATTTTATTGAACTAGTAACGTAAGTACAAGAAATGTATGCATTTTTTAATTATTTATAGTGTATTTACATATATATATATATATATATGTTACTAAAATTATGACTTATACATATTCAATTTGATAATTTCAATAAATACATTTCCTGGGTATTTATTAATAGACTAAGTATATAATTATAGTAAGTATACATATTATTATAATAGATATACTATTATAATAATATACCAAACCATCGTGAGTTTTCCTCTAGGACCGTAACAAATGCATCACAATAATGAATCCGAGGTAATTTAAATAAACACACTCATTACAATGACAATTAACACGCATAAATACACGCATTTACTCTACTATTTTATTTACTTCATAGATTTTTTATATCAATATACATTATATAAATTGCTGTTATAAAAGTCTGTTGTTTTATACCAAGCTAACGCTAAATGTGTAATTATGATAAATAGCACTTATTTATCCGTAATCAAAATCGTTTTGTATATCTAAAAATAAAAAACAAACTGTATACCTCAATAATGGAATACTTTGTTGGTGCATTTGTTAAACAAAGATATAGTTACCTGTAATGACTGGTCCCATAAATATTTGTTACGTAATTAACTAATATTGGATTATAAAAAATTAGGCTGTTGATAGGGTATAAAAATAAACATATTTTTTATTCTTATATAAATAGGTACCTACCTATTATGGGTACAGTAAATACACATTGCACGAAAACACGCAAATACCTATTTGGACTTCTTTTTACTTTTCAGATACATGATTTTAAAATTGTCAACAAATACTCAAAAGTATAATAGTTTTGGGCTTTCTCCGACTAATTTAATAGTACAATGGCTGCGTTCTGGAAAGTTGCTTGAAAATTTCTTAGCTGCATTTACTATAGACCACTATATGATATTAACACGGAATTTATCTTCATAACTAAGAAACTAAATCTTTGACTACAGTTACAGTTAGGTAGTAGTTAGAGTTACCTCCTAGCTTAAAGGCTGTGGCATAATAAGTACTACCTAGGTTTGCCCAAAATACTGCTTTGTGTTTAGTTATTTTTTTATTAAATTAGCTGTCCCGGCACGTTGTTTTGCCATATAAATTAAAATCGCTATTAAAAATAGGGGCTAATGCTAGAAGGGTGAAAATTTAGGGTTGTATGTGTTTTCAATCCTAAATAATAATATAATGAAAATAAAATATATCGAAAAAATAAAAATAAAATATTTAGGGGTATGAAAAATAGATAGTAGCCGATTCTCAGACCTTTTGAATATGCATATAAAATTTCATAAAAATCGATCAAGCCGTTTGGGAGGAGTATGGCATGGTATGGTACTAACATTGTGACACGAGAATTTTATATATATATTGTTCAATGAATGGATCTAGCTGAAGGAATATAAATAAAACATAACAAATAATTTAACCACAATCAATATCCACAATATGTGTGATGAACATTAAAATATCGTTCATATATTGTTTTATATATAACAAAACATTAAAACGAACGAAAGTAGGTACTGCGCAATAGCGATGACCTACTGCTGTGCGTCATAAAATTATATTTGCAATAATATAAAAAAAAACAATAAATATAAAATAAATGCAAAATATTTCTATTAAACACTAGACTTCTCAGAAATGAGAATTTTTTTTATTTCAAAATTATATTATACAAACATTTTCTTATCACAATTGAGAAACATTTATTCAATACATGTCATAAAACAGTCATATCATTGAGTCTTCATCAGTTTAACGTGCATTACATATTTGAATGTAAGGGTCCATTTATAAATTATGTCATACGAATGCAAGGTTTTTTTAAAGGCCCCTCCCCTTGTTCACGCCACAGTTGGTCACATTTTTTGGACTCCCTTCCCCTGGTGACTGATGAATTTTTCAATAAACTACTAGGGAAAAGGGAATATTTTTTAGCGTTGCTAGCATCGTCCCCTGTCAGGTTGACACTGTTCCATCAGTAAACCATCATGATAAACTTCTGGTGAATTTACCACGACGGGCTAGTAGACCTGACCTTATGGCCAGCGTTTACACAACTTACCACCATTAAATTATTATCCATTAAAAATTACTTCGATACATTTAGACAATAATTTTGTCCATGTCCTCCTTTGCTGGTGCAATAAATTGTAATAAATAAAAAAAAATTGAAATGCGACATAACGAAATTTGGACTACTCCCTCCCATTGTCACAAATGTCACACTTCGATAGTATCCTCCTCAACGTGACGTAATTTATGTATGACCCCTCAGTACTTCAGCTGTGACGATTCGTATAAAATAATCGACAGCTAAAACGCCTCTTTGCGCTCGATTAATAATAATAATAGTCGTTGCATCTATTGAACAGTACTCTTTTTGTCAGTAGTATTGAGAGGCTTGGTCTCAGTGCTGTCACTTCTCTCCTGGACCTTATTCCAGGGCTGCTCCTCACCGGATCCCCACAGCGTGTATACCACTATCTCGATGATGTACAGTGCTATGGTCACGTAGAATATTGTACGCCATGAAGAAATCGTTTGCTAGTGAATAAATATAAACAAATTGTAGTTTCTATATTAGTTATTAAACACCGCCTTATTTTGATGAAACTTTACAGCAATATATATAGCTTATAAGTCAGAATAACATATTGACATAGAATTTAAAAAAATATGTAAATTGGACGAAATATAATGATAACTGTTAAGCCATTCAAGCGTGATGCAAACGAAGTTGCATAGATCAGCAAGATTTTTATATAACTGAAATAATAAAACAAGCTGACGGTCACTAAGTGGTAGGTGGTAACGGTAGCCTACATTCACGAACAGCAAATACGTCATCATGTGACGCCTGTGGTAAACCTGTGGTAGGGCTAAAATGCCATTTTTTGTTCCCATGTAATATTACTGACATATCTCACCTTCAACCGAATCACAGCTTACAAAGCAAGTTGCTTGTCGACAGAAATAAATGAGACGTCTTTGTACAGAGTTTACCTCTGATTTTAAAAATATAATAGCGTTTTTTTAACCATTGGGTACTTACATTCTTCTGAGTTAATGCTCCCACAAATATCGGCACGACAATGCCAGGAATGGTGGCTATGGTGTTGGTTAAAGCCATCAGGGTGCCTGGAAAACAATTAAGCTATAAAAGGGCAATTATTAAATATATAATTATCAATTAATTGCTAACTTGCTTAACCACAAACTATTATAAAAACTACATTGTATGAATCTTTTTTTTTCGGACTACTCTAATGCTGTTGGCCGTAGCTGGCCTTTACAGCTTCACCGGACATTAGGGGGCGAGTGCAGATGGCACTTCAAACTCGCGGAAGGACTTATGGAGCGGCTGAAGGCCAACTCCTGCTTGACGGAAACGACTAGTCTGAGGGCACCACTAGGGGTTCGAACCTCGGCTCAGGCCGTCGCGTCGTAATTGCTATCCCCGTTTGAATTGGACGGGGGATCGATCGGAGGGGCGCCCGGGGGCGCCGGTGTGGAGCGCCCGGGCGCGCGCAGGCGCCCGGTTGAATGCGCAATATTGTGTGTTAAGTATGAATAGAAAATATTCCAACATACTATATATATTATGTAATATTACGTTATCTGTGATACATATACTGTAATATTAATTGAGCGGAGTGCGAAGCACGAAACGATGAGATTTGCACTCTGTAACGATACTCCTCCAAAACGGAGGCCATTATCTTTACATAGTACATAACATAATCCATGCGGCTGTTCGCTTATAACTTTTAAATTACGCAACGGATTTTAATGCAATTCTCAGCAATAAATATAGTGATTTAAAAGGAACGTTTATATGTATCATACAAGCGTGTTATAATATAGAACAAGCCCGAGAAATTCAAAGATTTCCGATGCATCTTTGCAAAGCCTGGAAGGGTTAGTGATCCTATTTTATATTATAGTAACTAAAAAGTAAAACATAAAAAAATTGCATATTACCAGCGAAATTGGGCGCTATGTCGATGTGATTGGATAGGAATCCGCAAAACATTCCGCCGATGCAGGTAACTGCGACCGCCATGAGGGCGACGGCAGCTGCGCGGTTGCAGCCGATGTAGCACACCGCCAGCAAGCAGGCAGCAGGCACGGCAGACGCTGGGGCGTGACATCATTCTGTTATACTACTAGTTGAACCCGCAAACTTCGTACGTGTGGTAGTTGGATTAGACTATTTTGTTTAAACCGATTCGAATGATGTACAACAAAAGTTAAGGGGAGGGGAGTGTTAGTAATGAGAACGAGTGGATCTAATCAAGCAATTTACGACCAGACGGTCTCGCAGAACCTCCTGAAAACTATAGTGATTCATTCATGGTGATTTTGCCACGACAGGCTAACTGACATGACTTCATGTTCATCTTATCTATTTATCCATCTATTGAAGAAAAGAAGTAGCGGATACCTTTCTATAAGTGTCAGTAATCCGTATCTCAGATTATCTTTGCATCTTAACCAAACGGACAAAAAGATAGTTTTAGATTAAATGATATTTTTATGACCATAATATATTTTTGTTACTTTGGTGTAGAATCACCTGTTGCAATGGTATTTCCAAACCCTTGTTCTCGAAGGTTTTAATATAGTATGAAACCTTCAAGAACAGAGCTTATTCCTTCTCAAAAGACTGGCAATGCACTTGCAAAACCCGAGGTGTCATGGTTGCTCATGGACGGCGGTACTCATTTACCATCAGGTAAGCTGCAATTCTCTTATGGTATAAAAAAAATTATGTACCTACCTATATAGTCTAGATGACGATCATTTGTCATCATTGGGATTTAATTTCCCATTCAAATTGTAACACCTTTACAATTACTATCAAACATTGGATCAATGAATTTGAAACAATTCTTACCAAATAAAGTGGCTATTTTTCGAGCGATCGTGGTCGTGATGTATGAATTGCTGCTAAGCCAATCCAGGGTACGACTTAAGCACATGCTGAAGATCCATAGAGAAAGGAACGGGAGGGACGTGGTCACTGCGTTCTACGACAAAAGACCATTAAATATTACCAATATGAACTTTGTGTTTATTCTTGTGTAATTTGAATGGCAGACTTTCTGACCGTCCACTTGAGGGTAAGCTGTAAACTCTAGAAACTATATTAAGAATTGCGGCACAATTGCTATATTAAGAACAAGACACGGCCATGAAATCGCATGACGAATCTTAAATATATGTAAGCATTAAAAAAAATATCTAAGTATTCATATCAGTTATCTAGTACCCACAACACAAGCTCTCCTTAGCATGGGACTATATGACGCTGTGTGAATTGTGTAGGGTTAAGACTTATTAAGACTTACCTCAGTCATATTGAACTTAAGAACTTGTTGCATATAAAACGGTAACTCTATCAGTAACATATACCAGCCCCAGTTGGAGCACGCGTGAGCTACTAGGATGCTCAGGAATGCAGGGGACTTGAGTACTGCACGCCATGGCACTGGTAACTTCTGTAATAATGAATACACAATGTTAAGTATGCATCGCGAAATACAAATATCTACCATTTTTTGTTGGGGGAGGGAAGATTTTTTAGTAAAGTGTTTTTTTAATTATAATAATATCCCTAGACACATCCCATAGCGCCATCTAGTCTCAAGCTAAACAGAACTAGTGGTACTAGACAACTAATATAAATATATAGCTTAATACTATATACATAATGCACATAGAAAACTCCCAGACCAATACAAACAAATGCTTGTACCGTGCGTACAATCACACACATATTGATTTTAATGTCACTATGGAGAATGATTAGCTACTTAGTAAATAATAATATTACGTAGTAACAAACTTTAGGTATAAAAGTTATATAATGGGATTTACTTTTTAATGTAATTTCTCCTAAAATATCTATAATATTTTCTGTTTTAACACCGGTAATAATATTAATGGTGAGACTCATTGTCTTATTTAGATAAACCTAAATACGCGTTTGCTTTGTTTATCCATTTGTAAGTCGTTTGGAACTATCCGAAAGTGGGCACTAATGAACTGTTCTAAAAAGTACTTCACACTCATTTAAGTATCACTATCACCATTGTATTTAATGTTCACTGCTCATAATCACAGGTAATAACAGTGATGCCAGAATTAAGATAATCGCGCCATATTTGGGTATTTTCGGGGCGATAACGAATGATGGAAAGAGTAGGCAATGGAAGCAGCAGGGAGCAGGAACATGTTTGGGGAAAAAAATAAGAATAAAATCTAAAATTGCTTGTACTAAAAATATACACGACAAAATAAAACAACTTTAATATATTTTATGTCGACTTAAATTGTGAAACATTTTACAATGGTGAAAAAGTTATAAAGAAATTCGTCATCATGAGCGCAGCCAAGGTGGGGCAGGGCCCTACTCTGACCTCTGAGGTACCTAACTGAACCTAAATAATAAATTATCGAAGTACTAACTACAATACTTAATACCTGTAAGAACATTGATACTCAACAGTCGACACAACAAATAATATAACAGATAGAGGGTGCTATAGGGTGTATATAATCGGGGTAAGACCGCGGGTATTTTGCTATTTATGTAATATTTTAGACTGCTGCCTCACCCTGAGCCCATAGCAGCTACGTCCATGGTCGTCATACTCACTTTATGGCCATGACCGGCTCCCTTCCCCCCTAGCGAGTTGATGATCATCTCCCGCTCCTCGGCACTGATCAGAGGCTGCTGCTGAGGCGAGTCTTGCACCAGGAATATCCATAATACACACCATACACATGACAGTCCGCCCATTACGTAGAAAACGCTCTCCCATCCTATAGAATAACAAAAATCTGGTCATTTTCACTGGTTTACATTTTTACTTAATGGGTACCTAATTCTTAGAATTGGTTTCATGCGCTTCCAGGTTTTTTTAATGAATGATAATAGACTGGTCTCTGGTGTTAGTTTGTTACCCTGCGATTGTTAAATTCACCATGAATTACCTAGTATGTTTCCAGAAGGTTCCATGGTAGTCCATCTGACAGGGTACATTGCTAGTAATGAGTTCATTAATCCCTTTTCCCTCCAGATGCATAATCAAGTGTTGCGTTCTCGACGACGACATTTGACAATGACCCTGAATTCCCCATAGATCATAGTTATTATGATGTTAAGAGGACTGTCCACGCAATAAAATTATAATGTAGGTTCTTTAGTATTTGTTCTATCTCTATCCAGAAACATTGCGTCTCCCCTCACTCAAGCGCGATAGCATTATACATTATACTTTAATTGAAATTTTGCCGTAAAATTTAAGTTTCAGGTTTCTCTGTTATAACAGTATATAAAAAGGTTTTTTTTGCTATTTTAAAAATTCATTATAATTGAAATGTTATGCATAAATTTTCAAATTTTTATACGGTCCTTGATTTTTTATATTAGTATTCGTATAAAAAATCGAGAGAGTGGGAGATATTTTTTATATTACCTATGGCTCATTCGTATGAAAATTCAAAGAACGGCCATGTTTTTGATGAAAATCGAGTTTATTTGATGTTAATTGATTGTAGTCTTATAGACAAATTATCATCGTGTGTAATTAGTTCTTGCTTGTAGATAATTTTCATAGTAACACGTTATGTATGGAGAGGGGTCGGAGACATGCAGCCTTAGGAAAGGTTCTTTGACTTACCAACATTAGCGGTCAATACTCCAGCCATGAGTATTGATATGACGGTCCCGAGGGAAGTTCCCGCGTATACCAGAGCCGACATCACGCTGCGCTCGGCTGGTGGTGCCCATTTGGATAGCAATACGTGCATCGATGGAAATGTTACACCCTAAATACAATTATTAAAATTTGTATAAAAATGTTTAGGAAATAACTAGCAGTGCTCGCGGTTTCAATCGCATGAAATTTACGGCCATGCCTACATGGCCTGTCATTGTCTGTCATTCTAATACTATAAATTTTCATCAAGATCTGTTCAATAGTTTTTGATAGAAAGGTAACAGCATAGCTTCTATTATAGGTACTAGACGATTAATATTTCTTGTTTGTAAATACATACATAATATACATCGGAAACACGAAAACCGATACAAACAACACATTCATGAATACAACTGGAATTTGGAATCGGAATCGAACCCAAGACGAAGTCAAGCGATGTCATAAACCGCTAGACCACTGAGGCCGTTAGGTCTTAAATATTTCAGATCGAAGCTTTTTATCTAATTTAACCATTACAAGGAAAAAAATGCTTTCTCATTCGTTTAGATATAGATATACATACAAGGTTTCTCGGGTATCTTTCATGACATGTCCATTGTACTGTTTATGTAGGTATATAAGCCACATTTGCCACGTACCATCACGGGGGACCGTCTCTTTGATTGCCATTCCAGTATTATAAACGTGATCAAATAGAATATAATGGAAAATAATTTATTCAAGTAAATTTATATTGAAGCACTTTTGAATAGTCATCATATTTTCTTTTTTGATTTGAAAGCTGTCTCATCACAAGAAGAATGAGCAAGAAACTTGCATGTTGCTCTTTTAAATAATTTTGTTGTTACTTTACATCAGAGGTTCCTAAACTTTTTTGTGTCGTAGACCCCTTGCCATATTTTTCTGTTTTGGGTAGACCCCCCATTCTTACCTGGTTGATTTTATGTAAATTTCTAACTGAAGTAAATTTAAGTGTTAAAAACAACAAGATGACCGCTGTCGTAGACCCCTTGCAGTTTGTCACAGACCCCTAGGGGTCGATATAAAGTTAATCAAAAAAGTATACATACTCCACCAATTCCTTCGCCAACCCGCATCACAACCACGGCAGCGTAATGAGCCTGTGCCATCACGGGGGTTAGTAGGGTGCAAACCACGTTGATTGTCACGCTGAAGAACATCACCCATTTAGCTGAGAATAACTCCGCTACCCTACCACCTACAAACAGTATAGCCAGCCTTAATAGAAAAACTTCTAGCAGCATCTTTACATAATATGTACAACTAAATAAAATTGTAGTGTCTGTTTGTAATATTAAAATAACCGTTTTTTACTACATGCATATAAATATAAATACGGTATATACACCAAAATAACATTTTTTTGTCAATTTTTGTCTCTCTGTCTGTCTGTTTGTCCGGCTAATCTTAGAAATGGCCAGACCTATTTTGATGGGACTTTTATTAGCAGGTAGGAGTAATTTAGGCTACTTTTATTTTAGAAAAGTAAAATTAAATTCCACGCGGACGAAGTCGCGGGTACAGCTAGTATAAAATGAAGTCGCTTCCGGTGTTTATCGCTTTATCTTTTGAACTACGCAACCGACTTTAATACAGTTTTTAGCAATAGATAGAGTTATTCAAGAGGTAGGTTTATACGTATAATTCATGTACACCAGTGCGAAGCCGGGGCAGGTAGTTCGTTAACCAGTAATTCATTTGGAATCCTAAAAAACTTCAAATGTTAAAAACGGACGCAACGGCAGGGAACGGAACACTGTCGTGCATAAGCGGTAAAATGGTGTCATATAAACCTATATGGATAAATTATTTTGAATTTAACTCTGACATATATTATGGTTAGGAGTAATCCATGTACTCATAGAATACAATATACGCAAAAAATAAATTGTATATTACATAGTTTAAAACAAAGTCGCTCTCGCGGTCTGTCCCTCCCTATGTATGCTTAAATCTTAAATATACGCAATGGATTTTGAAGCGGTTTTTTAAATAGATAGAGTGATTCGAGAGGAAGGTTGATATATACAATACATGTGGGTAGCTAGATGTACTAAGTGTTTGTCACATGACTGGACTGATTTGGATGAAGTTGTGTGTGTATTCAATAGGTTACTTGATGGTTTAAGAACGTAATTGGATACGGTAGGTGGCGCTGCTCTTCTAATCTGAGGTGTGCCAGGTCCGCAATTAGGTACATAATAACATAACTTATTTCTGTATCCCTCACCTGGCAGCTGTGATACGAAATATCCCCAGAAATAACAACTTAGGACGATGCCTTGCTCTCCCGGCGTCCATGTGAAAGGGCCATCTTGGTCCTGAAATAATATTACTATAAATATTAAGTACTAGCTGTTCCCGCAACAAGCTCGTCCGCGTGGAATTCAAATTTATTGTTCTAAAATATAAGATACAAAAAAAAGTAGCCTAAGTTACTCCTTATTACATCAGCTACCTGTCAAAAAGTATTGTAACTTCGAGTCCACTGTTATTCCTAAAAAAACTGTATCATTAACAAAATTTATTATTTCAACATTAAGCAATAGCTGCGTATTTACTTGTGTTACATTAGGATGCGTGAATTTAATACACTTAGTTTTATTGGAGTTCAATAATAGATTATTACATGTGAACCAATTTAATATAGCAGAGTTAGCATAATTTCTATCGTCTAATTGATTACTTTGGCGACCAATTTTAAATACTCACGAAGTATCATCCGCAAATAACACTATCTATCTATCGTTATCGATCTATCTTTTCTCTTTAACATTTTGGGACACTTCTTAAGCATTAGCTGGAAGGATAAAGTAAGAAATATTCTATCCTTCCAGCTAATTCTATCTATCTCTGCAACACAACATTTCACACATCATCATTTACAAAATATTAAGTATTATTTTTTAATCAATACTATTTCTTCCTATATTGGATTCATTACTATTATATAGGACTATTAAAGATTTATTAGTTTGTGGATCAAAATCACTTTCACTCACCATTGTAACATTTCCTCCAGAGGCACTACCCTTGCATTCAATTTCACTGCTATCACTATATGTCTGGTTATTATTATCGGCCGAATTGACAATTACATCTGTATTAAAATAAAACGAGTAAATGATGTTTTAGTGATGAAAAGTAATATAGTAACATAGTTTCGCACAACTTATATAGCATAAGGACTTATATGTAAATATGTTTATTATAATTTCATGACCTTATTTTTATAAAAAGGCAAATAAATATAACTCATAATGAAAGAGAAGAACTGATTGTGCCCTTATTCTAGTATTTATTTTAAATCTTTCTATATTTCCATAATAATAATTAAATATAACATTATATAAGTATACAATATACAATTAATTAATATCTACTGGTTAACAATATACACTATAATATAATATTTTCTTTATCACTGTAAAGTTGTAGGGAATGAACACTGCTTATCCTAAAGTACAAGATTTTCCTATTTAGAGAGCAGGGTTTCACCGTATTTTTTAAGGGCAAAATGTAACTGTACCGTTAATAAGTAAATAATTATATACCTCTCCTAATGGCGGTGTTGTTCAGCATACCCACCATTGCTACTGATAGATTCACCTTCAGGCCATAAACTATAGCCATGCCAATAGACCCAAGAATAGCAAGGATGTATCGAGCCGGTACGAAACCTGTAAATAGTAAATTTTGTTTTACCGTCTCCACTTGTGGTTTTAGTGTATTTGCACCGGGGGCGAGGGGATTATTAGTGGATTAATAACCTCATTGCTAGCAATGTACCACATCATTTTGACCTCCACGCGGTTCCCCCTGGAAACCATCATGATAAAATCCTGATGAATTTGTCATTATGGGCTAACTGACCTGACTTCATGCTCATTTTATCATCCTCCACTGGTGCTCAGCCAGCGAAAACCGTTAGCGCAGAAGGGAGCATAACTCTAATATCATCCCGTAAAAAATGTATTTGCGCCAAAGCTATTATTTTTATATGTTTAAATTATACAAATCCACAATAAGCGAAAAAGCTTACACGCTCGATCATGACCAAACATCATTATGTACCAAATAGATAATATGTTTAGTAAAATCTAGTAGGTAGTTCTTACTAATATTAAGAGCTAGTTTCAACCCGCAGCATTATCTGCGTGGCCATAGTTGATAGAGATATAACTGGCCATGTTCTTCTAAATCGGCCAACCAGGATATTATCTATTTCTTTTACGTTTCTCACTTTTATCTCTTTGCTTAACTTAAGCTTGATGTTATATGCTATTTGCCTAATCTTCCTCAAGCGATTTATACTAATATAATATATACGGTCTGTATGTTCACCACCGAATCTTGACAAGACTACCTTAAACTCATAAACTATCGTTTATTAAAAAAAAAACAAGCGAAACAACTTATAACAGCTAGTAAAGTATAAAATATAGTAAGATTTTTTCATATCCATCTGGTAGAACAGAGATTAGTGGCTTATCGTATCAAACAAGCAAACATCAGATTATATAATATAAAAATGAATATATATTAGTACATTTAAAATCAAAATGTTTATATACGTAAATATTATAACATTTCAACTCCCAGAGCGTATCGTGGGTGACCTGAGATAAAACTTACATTTAATATTATCACAATATTATTATCGGGACCTTATAGTTACTCAAATTATAATTTACCTACACATTTAACATGTGACTGTTCATGTGATATAATACATCAATGTATATATATATATATATATATATATATATATATATATATATATATATATATATACCTATAATATACTACAAATATATCTATAGTAGTATATCATCATATAACTTTTTCAAAACTTAACAATAACATACAGATTGATTTGCCTTATATGTCATAAAACTATGCATCCACATTACTTTATTATTTATTATGAATGTCAGAATTTTTGTATGTTTGTCTATGTATTTGCGTGCTAATTAACGGCTTCGGCAATTTTATCGTGGTAAGTTTCCCTTAAAATTTTGTGTTTGTTTTATTCCAAAAGGTAACAGATTAATAAACTAATATAGGTGGTTAAAAACCCGTAACTGTATAGAAATCTCAAAATAGAACCCTTTTCTAGTGACCTATATTACAACAATTTGGACCTTGATAGATGAATGATTTGATCTATAATACTTCTTGAACATTTGAACACGCGTTGTGGATGTTTGTTAAATAAGTTACTGTATTTGAATAAAATGATAACCAACTACCTTCTGACACCTGAATGGGCGTTAGGGTCCATGCACAGATATGGAAAAATAAGTATAGTATAATTTAAGGTCCTTTTTTTATAATTTTTTTTTTATAAAGTAAAGTATAGTTTTTTTTTAATATTTCGAATGGTAAATAAGTTGCTTAATTATATTTGTCGTCTATAAATAAATAAATAAATAAATATCGTTTGGTCTTCAAATATACCGGCTGTGTTCATCTACTATTTTACCATTAATTAACTATTCTCTCAAATTTGAATTTAAAAATGAATCTGTATTATTGTAAACAATATTTAAAATGAATACAAGTTGAATTTCTTGTCAGTTCTTCACAGCTCAAAAGCACTTACGGTAGTTTTGACATATCATAAGAGTCAGTAATAGACCTACATGAATAATTACACATAATAATATTTTGATTTGATTACCATCAATAAAATTTGTATTTTACTGTGTAATCTTTTGACTTTTTAATTATTAATATATTAAATTAAATGTGTAACCAGGCCGCCAACCTTAGGGGGTGCAAAGTAAATTTTAAACAACCAGTGAATGAAAGTTTGCCTAATGGTAAGTTGCAAAAACTTTCCTATTTAAGCATTTAACCACAAATGAACAAAATTATCAACACTAAAATATACAAATAAAAAAATGTAACATAACAAAAAGTTTTCTTGAATCATGGGATAATATCTATTTTTACCTGTTTTATTACACATTTTAAATACTAAAAAATTACGCGAATGTTCATTGTATAAAATCACTGAGGACGAGTCCTCGTCCATACGTATAGAATAGCATTGGAAGATAGTATCGAATCCTCATCCATATATATAGTATCGAATAGCGTTGAAATCAACTAAATCGCATCACATACTTTTGACGAAAGACAAAGGGCCTCGCAAGGACCTGCCGCCCGGAGCCTCACAATGGGTAAGGCTCTGTGTAACAAAACCGTAAATCCAAATGGTCCTTCGAGCCGGTTCAAATACTCAGGGATAACATGAACTAATTTTAGTAATGACTTAATAATGCGTTTTGAAATAATGCTGACGGCACACGAATGCAATGTACCTAAATAATATGGTATCATTACAAACCTGTGCGTAAAAATTAGCTTTCTATATGTACTTTCCAAAAAAAGCAGTATGTAGAAGCCCTTAGGCCCTACGTGACGTCAATCTCCTGATTTATAGGGTAAAGATAACATATTTCTTTTTTTTTACAAAAATACTGATAACATTATAAAGACGGACTTTTTTATCCGACACCGGGTGTCCACCAATCACAGTAGAGTAAATAAATACACAACTACTATTGTAGCACGCGTCAACGATCCTTCTTAAATATGTATATATAATACTAGCTGTACCGGCAAACGTTGTTTTGCCAAATATAATTAAAATCGCTATTAAAAAATTGGGGTTGGTGATGGTCACATAAAATCGGTCCGGCCGGTTCAGATTAGTAAGAATAAACAGACTATTTATTAACGAAATTGTTCGGTGTTAGTACCGTATATTTAGTTTTAGCATTTAGTGAAAAGCTGTTAATTTGAAATTACAAACAGACACTTCAATTTTATTTATTTTTATAGATTTATTGTCAAAATAAGTATACATAGCTAGTCTTGAAATAAATTATTCCATGCTTGAAATATTATTTGTGAATTGAAAATCAGGACAGATAACTATGTCTACACCAATTTGCTGAATTGTGGTCCACATTGACTCAATTTTTTAATATGTGTAAATTGTTCTTTGTATTTTTTTTCATAATTCTTGTGTCAAGAAGAATCAATAAAATTATATTCTATTCTATTTGATTCTTTAAAAATATAATACCCCCTTACGAAACACATTACTTATAATATAAAATGTTCTTTTACAATAACGGCATCTCTCTCAGTCATGAGCGTGAAGCGAGCATGAAGAACGGAAAGGTGTATGTGCTATGTGGCATACGCGACAGTGGTCATGACACGACCACAGCTTGCGAAACTACTCTCAGGTTGAGACTTTCTATTCTATGGACAATGATGGAATGGTGCACCCGCCTGTTGCAAGAGCATTCGATGGCGGGCGTAAAGTGTAATGGAAGATCATGACTTTTAGTTTAGTTTTAGTCAGGTTACTTAGCCCATAGTGGCTAATGCATCAAGACTTGACCGTGAGGGCACCTTGTGCACCACAAAAAAAGTTCTTATTTTCAGAATTGAGACCAAAGAATAAAAACATTACTAACAGGAAGTGAGAGAGCGTGTATGCTTTTTTCTATATATTAATAGATGTTAATGGAGTGCGCCCGCCTATATTAACGGGTTATGCGGGGCACCAGTGGAGGAGAATATGATGATCAGGACGTCAGGACAGTTAGCGCATCGAGACACAAGCTTTACATATATATCTACCGAAATATGAACATGTCATGCGTTAAGTTTATCATGACGTTGCGACGTCACGATGAACTGACAGACCTGACCTCATGTTCACCTTATCACCCTCCATTGGTGGCCCACCAGCGTAAACGGCTAGTGCAGGCGGACGCGCCGTTCGATTATCAGCGTTCATAGATAACAACGCCTCTAACTATCCCATCTGGGATTACAGCCGTGAAGGTATATAATGATACACGTATACATTTTACCAGGGATATTATGGATATGAAATTCGGATACGGATAGGTTTCTAATATATGATTTTTATATCGGGTGCGGATATTAAAATATTTCGGATCATCCGGATAATTTCGGTTACGGTTACGGAACTCCTTAACATCCCTGCTTTTTACTAAGTTAATACTATTGTTGTAAAAACCATAGTCTTCGTTAATCAAATATAAATCATCCTCTTTATTATATAATATTATTTCAATACCTACAACTGAACTGAAATTAATAATTAAAAATTATTATATTTTTATTTAAAATCTCGTGCTTGCTATAAGCTTGCTAAGTACAAGCTGTAAAATTTTTTCCTAAATGAGTTTAAGCCTATTTTTTGGGGCTTGAACACGAGTATAAATATTTATATATAAATATTCTAAGCTTTAGTGATGGGTATTAGTTTAAATTATCTTAAATATATACAAAGTGAGCAAAGGTGGACTTATCTCTAAGAGAGATAATAAATATACCAATTAAAACTAATTTTAAAATATTTAAATAATATCTTTTTTTTAATACAATTACAATATGTATATGTCGATCGCTTATCATTTGGCTAAACGTATTCCTGGTTATGTACCCTTCGTTGTAGGTAGTATATATAAAAAAAACAGGAAAGCTTGCGGTCATGGCCTTAGTGATCAGTATGAAAATATATTGAACTATATTCAGTTGCCAAATCAAATTTATGACTATTAATTATTTATATTAAGTAAATAAAATTAATAGGTTTTTACCTACTTTCGCGTTACTGAACTTATCAAAACAGAAGATCAGTACACAAATAGGATATCTAAATCTACATAGCTATATAACTTATTCTTTAAAATGTATTTAAATATTTCCGTTTTTAAAAATTGTTTTACTTGCACATTTATTTTACTCCACTCTTTTCGTTTTTTTTTTGGTTTGGTAAATCTAATTTAATTAGGATTTACATCACAATTGTTTAATATTTTGTGACAATTGTTTATTATTTTAAATAAGAAGTATATTTTTTTACTCACGTCCTAATATATTCCCCCTTGCTGGGACATCCATTATTCTGATTATTAAATATAAAGTGTTATAAATAAATAATTTTCACTTATATTTCACTTCTTATTTTTTTAATTTACAAGAATATTAAAAAATCACTCTCAATTTATATATACGTGCTTTCCGATTCAAAGTTCGTATTCAATAAGTCATCGACTGACTGTAGGTATATTTGTATAGGACGCTGCTCGCATGGCGAAATCGTAGATATATGTGAACAGTAAGTCCAAATTCAAAGTTTCACATTACCTTATCATTAAATTAATTAAAAAAATAAAAAACATGATCTAAACAATATGGTAAAAATGTTTCTAATGTTTTTCCCAGTAGTACACAAATCCTGTTTGAACTTCCCGCTTACCAAGCTTTAAAATAACAAGCATATTATTGATTGCCCAAATCCGGTAAAATTTTCATAGACCTAAATTATAATATAAATAATGCCATCGAAGTAGTATTATCATCGAATCGAATCGAATTTGATTCAAAGGCAATTTGTACTTTAATAATTATCTATATCAATAAGACCAGTAATATTATACCGGTTAATATATTAGCTATGTTCGCACGAACACTGCTAGTGCGGGGCGCTATTCCCCGTTATAAATGTACTTTATATTGGTCCCTAGTTTCAATATTATTCTTTTGATTGCGCATTACGTAGCACGTTAGCGCAGTACGTTTCCATTAATGCGCATTTACATACATAAAATTCACAATTGTTACTTTATATAAACTTAATTTGTATATTCAACAAATATATTAAACTTCAGTAATGTAACAATTTAAATAACAGTGTAACAAACTATAAATTAAAACTGTACGTGTGTACCGGGCTTTACAGCAATTATTTACTCAGTTGTCAGTACACTGACAGTGACATTCATTTGATGTCAGTAATTTGATGGCTACATCAAATTACTGACTGACAGTGACAGTAACACATTGTGACAGTTTGTCACCATGACAGTTAAACACTTGTACTTTGTTTAAATTATGTAAATTGAATTTATTATTACATATGTAAAATAAATTATTAATAAAAAAGAATGTTAATTAAAAACAGAACTTTTATAATACTAAACTTTTATTCCGATAAATATATTTCATTCTCAGTTTCGGAAACATTTTTTAACGTTCATTAATACAATTCATTTTTTTGTTGGAATTTCTGATATGTTTCACAGAACACAATATGTAAACATTATTCAACCAACTAACCAGTCTAACCATAGTAGGAAACTAGAAAACCAATTTATATAGGTGTCATCCGACTGTAGTGTTTGTTGTGGCAGGTTGCGGGACTTGCGGCCTGGCAAATAGCCAGCCAAACGAAGTCCATCCAACCGGTTCCGAAAACTATGTTTCTTTTACAACTCATTCGGTTTTCTATACTTGTTTATGTATGACGTGTGCCCGCTACGCGGCGCGAACGGTAATACATCAGTTCCGAACGCCCGGTGAAAGTTTTGAGTTGTGAATTCGAGTGTGTATCTGTAAATCGTATTAAAAATATGTGATTCTGTGTGCAGTAATTAATATTATATTGTAGTGATAATATCTTGTATTATTACATTTAATACCTGGTTATTGTGAAGACACGTTGATGTTGTTAACTACTGTTTGTAGTACTTATATTTTTATGTTAATGTTCTGAAAGAAGATGGCATTGAAAATGGAACAAAAAAATGATCTTGATTTTATACTGAAGAGTTTATTGGCTGGTGGTAAGTAAACAATATACATAATAATATAATACCTGTATAACTTTGTAAACTTATTAGAATTATAACTGTCTATTAGATTTATCTGTTAACAATTTTATACAATTATCCTTAAGCAAATAGAGCAAAAATTACTTGTGTAAATTTCAAATATATACTTATAATAATAGTTTAAATAATAAATTAATTATTCAATGAAGAGATAATGTCAATCAAAACTTTAAGTACATGATATAAAATCAGTTTTGAGATCATTCTTTAAAAAAAAAAAATCCTTTTTTAAATTCAATAAATAACTAACCATACTAACAAACTGACATAGACAATATCATCTCTGTAAATTCAGACATACTCATGTCTATCACAATATATTCCAGCAAATTGTGACCGGTATACAATGTAGAGAACATTTTTCATATAGCACAGTTACTTTATTACCCAATGAAAAAACTGTGTTACTTATTCTTATACTTTATAATAATTTATTATTAAGTACTAAATAAGTAAAGCAGTTTTTTAGTAAATATAAGTAGTAAGAATGTATACAAAATATCAGATCAGGCCACCTTATGAGTACAACAAAATATTCTTTGTCATAACTGATGACTGTAGTAAGTAGTGTGTCATAAGGAAATGTTTGTTTTTAAAATAGATATAATTATTACAATAATTTTTCATCCCAGGTGTTGCCGGCATGTGTGCTAAAACAACTGTAGCACCTCTCGACCGGATTAAGATCCTTCTGCAGGCACAATCAGTTCACTACAAACATCACGGGGTTGTTGGTGGTCTGACAGCAATAGTTCGGAATGAGTCCCTCCTCGCTTTGTATAAAGGAAATGGTGCTCAAATGGTTCGGATATTTCCTTATGCAGCTACACAATTCACCAGCTTTGAAATTTATAAAAAGGTTAGTAAAAACTCAAATTTCTCCATAATACACTACTAAAAATCAAATACAGTATTAAAGAAAGTTCTTATTGCTAAAAAGGAACAACTAAATAACTGCTCTAAATGATCTAAATGTATGGATTTACACAATTTTGCAAATGTAATAAAAATGTCTGTGTTACTAATGATTGAACCAAAGTTAAAATCTATAAAGAAACAATTTATATCATAATTTAAGTGATACCTTGTATTACATCTCAAATGTTTGTCATATGTTTTCGAACATTGTTAATTTCGTCTCCCATTTTTTGGTCTTACGTGCCATCGTCGGTTATTTGTCCTTTTCATTTTAAACTAATTAGTAAATCTAAAATTTTAAGAATTATCTAATAACCTAATTAAAAATTCGTTACATTACATATACAAAAGTATTTTTTAAGTATTCAAATAAGACATTTTAGACACGCGTGTCGTTTTTTATTATTAACATCTAGGTAGGTCCTAGTTAAGATTAACTAGAAAATCATATTACCTCTCTGTATATGTCTAGTAATTAATAAAATATTTGAATAACGTCCAGATAATACTCACAGCCAATTCCACTTTCATAAGATAGAAACTTCGTTAGCAACCTTCGCAATGGTCACGTAGACGAAGTCGTGAATGAAGTCAAAAGTTAATACAGGTATAGATAAATACACCTACGTATATTTTATGTTGTTTTTTTTTATAATATTATCATCATAACAACAATGATAATCACGTAATTAGCGCGTCAGACACGAGCCGACTGTTTGCGATCTTTTATTACCACACCATTAGATGTCATCCGCGACTTCGTGTGATTTTTATTATATAAAAGTCATGAGTGAGATAATAAACAAACAAAGACACTGCCGACCGATTACGGATTTCTTCTGTTTTTCTGATAGCCCAGGTCCATCCTCGTAATACAATCTATCTACATGTCTAATTTCAACGAAATCCCTTCAGCCGTTTGATCATGCAAAGGTAACAAATATACAGACAATTGCACATTTATAATGTTATATATCATCTTTGGTATTACCTACTTCTTCTGCTTTTTTTTGATATATAATAGTTTACAATCCATAATCATGTCGAATTTCATCAAAATCCCTTCAGCCGGTCATGAAAAGGTACCGTAGCCGGTAAGGAACAGACAGATACCTACACATTCGCAATTATAATTTTACTATTGCTACTCGTTTGGTACGCATGAATACTAGTCTATTACCTATTTGGTATGCAAATATCCTGTACAGATAAACTATGTAATTCTAATTTAAATCTAATTTACAAGTATACTATGATAACTGAAAATACATTTGGTTTCAAAGACACGTCAGTGTAAAATGACAATTGGAAGTTAGTATTTGTATATATATTTTGCATATATATCGAATTTGCATACATATATTGAAGGCGAGGCAATTCAGTTTTCAATGGCAAAAGGTCATACGGATTAACAATTTACAAAAAAATACCGTTCTTTATTTAAAATTATTAATCGTATTCACAATTTCTTTTTAAATCCAGGCAAAGGTAAAGTGACGTTGCGCCGTGTTGATACAAAACTATAAATACCTACATGATTGAATGCTAAACTATATATCAGGGATGTTACAGTATACTCCGTAACCGTAACCGAATCCTAAATAGAAGTTTCGGATAGTACCGGATAGGGGCGGAGCCTAATTTAGACACGATATGTAAACATTTTATTAGCTATTTGTATTTTACTTTTAAAATTCCTTAAAAAAATTATTATCCCTAACCGAAATTATCCGAAACTAATGGATAATCCGAAATAATTCCATATCCGCATCCGTAACCGTATCCGGTATAATAATCATTCCTTTATCCGAAACCTATCCGTATCTGAAATTTCATATCCATAACATCCCTGCTATATATACATCATTTAGGTGCTACATAGGGTTATTTATAAATTAAAATTCTTGATATAAGAAACCATCTTCGTTTTTATTGGTCTGTAGACGGTGGTACCTGTATGTAATTTAACCACAATTTACTTATACCGTGCGGGTTCAATTTACCATTTGCGAAATCTATTGACTTATTATTTTAATGAAATATAATCTGTGATATGTATCCTTCACATTTATTATGAATAATAAAGGAATGGTGCGTCCGCCTGCGTTGACGGTAGGTATACGCCAGCTCACTCAACATCCTCCAACGGTGGGGCACCGTCAGGTCAGGTCAGGTAGCCCATTGTGATGAAATCACCTAGAATTAACCACGATGATTTCCAGGGGGACGTGGAGGTCAACCTGACATGGTACATTGCTGGCAATATGTGTTATTAATCCACAGTACCAACAATTATCGAAGTATGCGGTGTACTAAAACGCTACACCACCGATGCACTCAGTATTGGGTGCAGTTAATTTAATTACAGTTTTTCTCGTACGTCCTTCAGGTACAGACAGCTATTAGTTACATTTTTATTATATACTAGCTGTTCCCGCGACTTCGTCCGCGTGGAATTTAACTTTATTTTTCTAAAATAAAAGTAGCCAAAGTTACTCCTTATTACATCAACTATCCCGTTAAAATCGGTCCAGCCATTTCAGAGATTAGACGGAACGAACAGACAGACAGACAAAAATTTTAAAAATGTAATTTTTTGTATGTATTTATATTCATATACATGTAATAAAAAAATATTATTTCAATATTACAAAGAGACATTCCAATTTTATTTATATGTATAGATATATATGTATATGAAACTTACATATATATGTATATGATTACAACTTGGATATTTACCTTCAACAATGTTATCTGTAACCTACAACAATTCCGCTTAAATTGAGATAAAAACTAACATTTGTTAATCTAGCTAGATTATAGTCTATTTGTCTACCTTTTATTATAATCCTTTTAGATGAGGGAGACGATGACATTATTAGGCACTTGTTGGGATCTAAATTTACATTTAATTCTTTATAGTATCGTTTCATTGTTATAAATGTAAAATTGTAAAAAAATAAAACAATATGAATTTAAAAGAGCAACACGCAAGTTTCCCTTTTGTTCTTCATGTGATGAGCCCGCATTTCGAATGAGTTGTAGATTTAAAAAATATGACTATTCAAAAGTGCTTATATTAAGTTTATTTGAATAAAGATTATTTCTATTTCTAGTAATAATTTATATATAGAAAATATAGTATCGGTAACAGCATTGATGAACTTAAGTCCATGGTCAGTTTTTTTTCATGTATACAGAGGTAATTATGTACCCGCCTGCCCTAACGGTAGACGTTGGCAGACCACTAGTAAAGGATGATAGTATGAACATGCAGAGTCAGGTCTAGCCTAACGAGGTGCATTCACCAGGAATCAGTCCTGAGGATTTTCAATGGAAACGCGTAGAGGTCGACCTGACATACTATGTTGCTAGCAATGAGGTCATTAGTCCCCATTACTAATAATCCACTCCCTGGCGAAAACCGATGAGAATATACTAAAGAGACTGAATCACATTTAATTTTTGAGTAATAATAGAATTGAATTTACTTTATTTTAACTAGCGAACCTGAAAGACGACGTACTCCCCTGAAAAGTGGCTCTAAAATTGTTTCCAATTATTTTCAAATTATTCAGCAACCGATTAAAATATACACGAAATGTTATGGCAATCGGTCCAATCATTTAAAAAGAATTAGGTAACAAACATACGTATAGTAGGATAATTTGGTAAAGTCATTTTCTATATTAAAAATTAAAAAACCATTTATTGTCACCAGTTTAGTCGTAAAAGGTAACAAATAAACAGACACGCTTTCACATTTATAATACTAAAATAATCCTATGTACAATAAAAAGTTTTTTTTTTATTATTACTGTCAATGATGATGAGTAGTGATGACACAGTCGTGTCCAAGAAAGTGAACGTGCCACTCTGTAAAAAATCTGGGACGCGTACCGGAATTAATGGTGACGAACACCATTATCGTATGCTATACAATTATAACTCTTGTAACCTTGTCTATAAGAATCATATTGACAACAAAGCGGTGCGATTATGTATGCATATCTAATGACCATTACGGTAGCTGTTAGTTTCGTGATCTACGTGTATTTGTATGTTTCTGGGTGTTTAACAAAACTATTTGCAATATTGTACATACCCCGAAGATATCGAACATACCTACTCATATTTTGTGTTTTTATTATTATAACTAGAGTTCACCGAATGGTCGAAAATAGAACATAATTAATTTAAATTAAAAGTTTGAACATTAAAGTTATATTGTCAAAGACTATAGGTGTTTCTATGCATGTGTGTGTCAAATACTTAGTAATTTGTGTAATGTTTCTTTTATTATAATGTACATAATTAAAAAAAAATATATTAGCATTCTGCAATCCTTCTCTATATAAACTAGAAGTGTGCGAAATTTCATATTCCGTCCGCGCAAAATACATAAAAAGAGGTACAAAGTTTTTGCTTCAGATATTATAATATTCTACACGCGACATTAAGGATCACGTGATCTTTAACCAGGTTAAATAATAGCCTTATATATTAATATTATTTTAAAAAAAGCCCTCCGATCGATCTGTTGTCGCATTTTAACCGGAATCGAAATTACGAAAAGAGATTCAAACGTAAAAAGACTATTCTATGTCAGGCAGGAGATGACCTTCAGCGATAAGTTCTTCCGCGGGTTTGGATAAAGATCAACTGCGGCCAACAGCTTTAGAATCGTTTGAAATAAACCACTTGTAGCTTAATTATGTAATTCACCGTCAATTATAAATACGAATACATACGAGTGCCTATATTGAGGTTTGTAAATTGACATAAAAAAAACGAGTTCTTACTATATAATGGTTATTTACAAGACAAAAAAAATAGCATTTTACACCAATCAGCTTGTTTCTCTATGTCTCTATATGGTAGCAGAGTGGTAAAAATATTACAATTGTATATCTCATTGCAAATTGATATCATTAGAAGTACTGTTTTTTATTAGCTTTACTATGTTTTTGTAAGTAAGAATTATAAGCGAAAGTATTATTATAGCGTTCTATACATCCATCACTGGACATACATATTATTTTTTAAGGAAATCGTGCAAATATTTAGCGTGTCGACAACTCAATTCTGCATAATATAATTATGCTGTAAATGTTCAGACCATTATTGGCGTACAAAAAAGTTAATGTTTGTATGTTATCTGGAGGTTTATAAAATATACGAATTATCATGCGATCTACACTTTAGGGGCCATTCATAAATTACGTCACAACTTGAGGGAAGGGAGGGAATTTGTAACCCTTCCCAGGTTCTAGATATCTTGACTTTTCAAAATCTTATATAAAATTCTCGTGTCACAATGTTAATTACTATAATTATATATATTAGTATATATTAGTTAATTATATAATATTCCTCTGAAACCGATTTTTATGAAATTTTATATGCATATTCAGTAAGTCTGAGAATCAGCTACTATATAATTTTCACACTCGAAAGTGATAAGGGTTAACACTTAGTAGTATGACATTTTTTTATTTTTTTATAATGTGGCATTAAAAATACATGCAACCCTAAATTTTCATCCTTCTACCACCAACCCCTATTTCTTAATAGCGATTTTAATTTATATGGCAAAACAACGTTTGCGGGCCAGCTAGTTGTATATAAAATTAACATGAAATTTAAACTATGTGACAACGAAAAACTTAAAAATACATCATATTCATCTGGTGAACTGCAATGTGACGTCACATTAGAGAGGGGGAGCCACAAATGTAACCAGCTGTGACAAGGACGATGAGAAGAGTGATACGGCATGGAATTTTTATGAAGTAATTTATGAATGGTCCCTTATAGCCTTATCGAATGTTTTCTTTTAGAAACACTTTGGACCTGATATCAATGTTTGATAATGCTCTTTGGTCCTACCAATCATATTTGGATTAATGACCTTACACAGATTATGTGATAGCAAATTGTTTAAATATAGTGTAAGTTTTGGTTTGGTGTTTAGAAAACTGAGAAATTCGAAAGAGAAATTTATCCGAAAGATATTGACGTCTCATATATAAGGGTGGATCGCAACATTCAACCTGTAACGCAATAATCGGACTAGATCTCATTGCACCTGTCACAACTCTTAAAGCCTTGGACTGAATAGTGTCCTAAGTTTACTATAATGCAAGTTGAGGTACACTATGTAAAATATCGTCCGCGTGTGTCTCGCCAAACACCTTCCGATCGATCCTTCCTCCTATATCAAAATTATGACGGCCTAGGCCGGGGTTACCGCTAGCGGTGCCCTCCGGTAAAGTTAGGCAGGTTGGCTTTCAGCGACTCCATAAGTTCTTCCGTAGGTTTGGAGTACCATCTGCCCTATAGTTCGGTGAAGCTGTAAAGGCCAGCTGCTTTAGAATAGTTCGAGAAAAAAAATGTGTTTCGATTAAAGGATAACAGGCATGACATTGTAGTCGTCTGGAATGGCAAGACCTGACCGTATGACTTGATGTAGTGCTGTTTATTGGGCTGCCACTTACCATCAGGTGGGCCGTCAGTTGGGTTGCTATTCTAATTTCATAAAAAATACATATTTACTATTGCGGCTAATATACATAACTCGTAAAGTCAGTTAGGCAGAATTTGTCATCAATCCTCTTCCCCTCGATTCTGTGTGTATTGTCCCCTCAATTATTATTATTATTATTTACAGTATTTAAATGGAGTGCACATACCAGTAGTGCAGCACGGGGATAAATTCGTGGCGGGTGCTGCGGCGGGTCTCACCGCAGTCACGCTGACGTACCCCCTGGATACCATCCGAGCTCGGCTGGCCTTCCAGATCACCGGCGAGCACAGGTACACGGGGATAGTGCACGCCGCCTCTACAATGTTTCGGACGGTAAGCGACAAGAATGTTTCGATTTTTTTTTATCTATATATAAATAAAATTTGACTGTCTGTTTCTAATATTGAAATAACAGTTTTTTACTACATACGTATGAATATAAATGCGGTACATACACCACAAAATAACATTATGTATTTTTATATTATTATTATTATGTAATTTTTGTGTGTCTGTCTGTTTGTTCCGGCTAATCTCTGAAATGGCTGGACCGATTTTGACGGGACTTTTTTTGACAGGTAGCTGATGTAATAAGGAGTAACTTGAGCTACTTTTATTTTTAAATTCCACGCAGACGAAGTCGCGAGTACAGTTAGTTAATAATAATATCTCAAGTCCGTTCACACGGTAGCTCTATCTAGTCCCAAAGTAAATAGAGTTTGTGTTATGGGTAAGTACTGGACAAATGACCTAAGTGGTCTTGGATAGTGCGGTTTCAAATTTTTTAGATTGTGGAAATAATTACCTGTCGACGTTTTCTCTAAATGTTTTTCTGGAAGGGTATATTAAGGTTTCTTAAAGGTCGGTGACGCGCACGTGACACCCCTGGTGTTTTATGTACGCTTTCAATCAATCATCATATTTGAAAAAAAAATCCTTGAAGTATGGTATAAATATTAAAAGTATATATTATATTTGTATCAGTTGTTTAATACCTATAATACAAGCTCTGTCTAGCTTGGCACTAGATAGCGCTGTGTGAATTGTCCTGGGGTATTAATATTATCATTATTCTTCAGGAAGGCGGCATTCGCGCTCTTTACCGTGGTTTCGTGCCGACCATGGTGGGAATGGTTCCGTACGCTGGCTTCAGTTTCTACTGCTTCGAGTCGCTCAAGTTCCTCTGCATGAAGTACATGCCGAACACGCTGTGTCGCAAGTGTGAGAGGAATACCGGTGAGTTCAAATTGTATTCGTCAAATTTGAAAGAAGAAAGAAAAATATATTTGCTCTCTATGTTTCTTTTTCAGTTAATTTATTTCACTCACCGAAAATTTTTTGTTTAATCTATACCAATATCATAAAGAATCATGAAGAGTTTGGTTGGTTGAACGTGCTGCTATCAGTAAATGTGGGGAAGGAGATTATTAGTAACCCCCTGGAGTGTACTATTAGATGTTATGAGGAAATGGACTGTTAACCCCATTTCAGATTGACCTCCACATAGTTCCGCTTCATCCGATAGATTTCTGGTAAATTTGTCATCATGAACTACCTGACCTGACCTCATGTTCGGGGGGGAAATGAGATTGTTAGGAATGTGGACTAATGAACCCATTACTAGCAATGTACCATGTCAGGTTGAGCTCGACGCGGTTCCCCCTGGAAACCATCGGAATAAATTCTTCGTGAATTTGTCACGATGGGCTAACTGACCTAACCTCATGCTCATTTTATCATCCTCCACTGGTGCCCCGCCAGCGTAAACCGTTAGCGTAGGCGGGTGCACCATTCCATTATCATTCACAAAAAAAAACCTCATATTCGTTTTAACATCCTCCACTTTTCACGTTCGTCTTGACATGGCCCACCAGCGTATACCGTTAGCGCAAGCGGGTGCACCATTCCAATATCATCCATAAAAAACTATTTATATCGTGGTGAAATCAACAAATAACATCCGCAAATTTAGCATTGTAGTGAAAACCTGTAAAATAAATTGTGAAGATAAATAATCAAAACCAGAACAAAATCATAATAAACAATGTTCGTTTAATAATATCAGATGAGTTGTCAAGGTCCACACTCGTGCTTGACCTTACATCTTATCTTGTGACTATTTTACATTCCTAATACTATATTGTACCTAATTATCGAATTCTGTGTATAAGTATCATTTGTAACACTGTATACATAGTGTCTGTCTGTCTGTTTAGTATCTGACTACCCAATCTGGAATAAAAGCCGTGAAGGTATATTTTAAAATTAGGTACATCTTCAAATTATTTTATTGTCTAGTTTATAATTTATTTTCATATTTATTTTGTTTTATTTTATTTATCATTACGATAAAACAATATTTTCATATAAATTATTGTTTTTTCTCGTTCTAAACTTAAAAATATACGATCGTTTGACATAATCTTATCTTCACGATAAAGTCGTCAAGATCATCTTAAGTGGCTCAGCTAAACCGGAAATTATGAACGGACCCACCTGAGCTATGTATAACATAACAAACGCGTATATACATACATATAACTAACATACTAGTTAGTTACGTAAGATGAACGGTACAAAGAATTATTATAATTTTTATTAAATATTTTCAATTTATTATAAACCAACTGTTATCCGACGACTTCGCCAACGTGGGTATCAACTTTTTTCTTTAATTAAAGTAAATAATTTTCTAAAATTAAAGTACCTTAAGTCAATCCTTATAACATTAGCTATCTGCGAGTGAAATAGGCCTTGCCGTTTAGAGATTAGACAGATAAAAATAAAACTTTGATGGAGCTGTTTAAATATAAAAAATATATAACGTACCAATTGACTTACTTACCAGTTCTTCTCAACTGAAGCAGGTATCCGAACTGGACGGTAGGGATAGTGATAAAAAATAAATAATAAACTAGCTGTGCCCGCGACTTCGTCCGCGTGGAATAGTGACCTTGGATAGCATTCTTTATTATTTAGAATAATTGTTTTACAAATAAGACACATACGTATAAATACTTTAATAAGCTACAATAATTAATTTCCATACAAACGTTCATCCACCATTTTTTTTTAATATAAACCGTCTATGTGTATGTCATACTTATTTATGTTATAATCTACAGCCTAAAAATTAAGTTTTAATCTTCTTGCGTTTAAAATGACGGTACTTGCATACAACATTCATATCTCCTTTCAACGCATTACAACAGTTTCTTTTGCATTAAAATGTAGCCTATGTCCTTTCTCAGTGTCTAGACTATCTGTGTATGAAATCAGTTCAGTAGTTTTGACGTGAAAGCGCGACAGACAGACAGAATTACTTTCGCATTTATATTAGTACGGATGATTTATAACTTTAAATTTAAATTTGATGATAATGAATATATACAAGAATGATTTTGTATGATAACTCAGATGATTGTATTGTGAATAAAATTAAAATAAACGGACGCACATCGCCGGGATATTATTAAGATTTCTAATTATCGACCATTCAAATATAATTATCATCGTTTTATGGTCTTTTTATTCAGAGGAAGGTACACTATAGCGTTGTAATTGTAAATATATTATAGCCATTGACTATGGTCAATGGCTATAATATATGCCATTCTATTATGATAGAAACGGTAACTTGAATAGATGATAAAAAAATTAATTAATGATATACACATTTGTTACTTTACCTACTGTAATACCTATACCACAAGCTCTGTTAGCTTGGGACTAGATGTCGCTGTGTGAAATGTCTAAAGTTATCATTATTATTGCATACTGTACTATTTATAAATTTATACTCAATCTAAGGCTTGTTATTTCAAACTGTATCTATCTTAGATTGCAAACAACAAACCCGTAAAGCAAGAAACCTTTGGACTCAGGAAATGCTATAAATGTAAGAGAGACGTGCTGTCTGGCTCGCCTCTTGTTTTCCTGCATCCAACAGCGGATTATTTCAGTAGTATATACAGACACACCCGCGGTGACGTACTACACATATACATACACCTATAAGTTGTATTGATGGCGTTCCAACGTTTATAAATACCAACGGAGACTTTTGCGGTTCAAAGAAAATTAAGACATAGATAGGCTGTTTAAAGTAGAAATTCAAATGTAACCAAACTACAATTATATTACCCTAAAACAAGGATATCAAAATGTATACAAGGAAAGGTGGACAAGCTGCCAGCAACATTCTACTAAATACCTTCCTTCTAATATACCGACGGCCTACCGGTATAGCACACAGCTTTTCTTTAGATGGTTGCAAGTTCGATTTCTCGCATAGTACAAACATTTGTATACATGAGTATGATTGTTTGTATCAGTTGTCCAGAACCCATAACACAAGTTTTGCTTACCGTGGTACTAGATGGCGCTGTGTAATAAAATAAATAATCCAGGGTTATTTATTTTATTTATTTAATAGTATGTTTTGGTGTTATATGGATATGGATATGGTACTGTTTAAAATGCTTGCGTCTGTACGGTGAACGCCCATGTAATCTCAATAAATGTTGCCCACGCTTATACTACGGTTACCACATTCCATCAAGTGGGCAATTAACTTGTTGACAATTCAATATAACAAATGCAATATCCTATATTTCAGGTGGGCTTGTGTTGACGGTGCCCGCTAAGCTTCTATGTGGCGGGCTGGCTGGCGCAGTGGCGCAGTCCGTATCATATCCATTGGATGTGACACGCCGACGAATGCAGCTCGCATGCATGACTCCTCAGACAGAGAAGTTTGGGTAAGCCATGACAGCGACATCTGTAATTCAGTACTGTATATATACATATAATAATATTTTATTTTTAACAGAAGTAAAGAGTAAGTATGCTGATGTATCAGTGTATATAATATTATCAATTTAGGAGCCATAAACTATGTCACACGAATTTAAAGATTTTTAAACCCTTACCCATCCCGTCACACCTGGCCACATTTGCGAGACTTCACCTAGTAGATAAGGCGGCAATTTTTATTGAGGCACTTCACTATACGAATAGATGAAGTTGTAAATTTTATTAAGGTTTTCCTTATTAGTTCAAATATTATTTAGTTGAAAATGTGACGACCCCTCTACAACGTGTGACTAAATTTCTGGAAAGATAATCTACTGTACATTATGATTGAATGTAATAAACTAGATATGTATAACAATTTAATGCACTATTACTACTATTTATAATACTAACTAATATTACTATATCCACAATATGCTTTAAATGCACTGTGCTATGCATATACGCGGATAAATGTTTCCCTATCCCTCATGCATTGTCTTGGCTGAGGACTTGACGTGCCTTTGTACCCTGTAATTTCAGTGCCATATCCAACTCTTTATTCAACATGTTACAATGCAAGCTGTTTGGCAACAGAAATAGGTTATAGATAGAGAAACCAATGCAGATAACTTTAAATATAGTATACTCTATGAGCATTTCTCTAATATTATTTTTTAGGGCTAATGTGAAACTTGCATAATTGTAGCATAATATAACTTTAATAATACCAATATTTGTATATTGTATCTTTACACATTCCGATAGAAATTAATATAATATTATAATCAGATTGTCAGACTCTAGACTAGAGGCTCGAGCTCCTTGATAAGTGTACTGATAACATATCTATAGACTATTAACCGATACTATGTATTATTTCAGAATTCCGCAAAAAAAATACAGTTATTATTAAATTTATATAATCTTAATATGTTTTGCAAACGTTTTTAAATTAACATAAACACTAATGGACAATACCATATTTAAAAATATTAGAGAATTCAAAGATGACCATTCTAAAAAAATGGTCCAGTCTTAGAATAATAATGACTTAAAAATAAGCATATACTTAATAGTACGTAGACCATGATACTGTCACTGTTTGGTGACAATGTCTAATCGACCTGAAGGGTATGAAAAACCGATGTCTAAGTTTCGGTAATAAATAGCAACCAATATTCAGATATTAAATGTATTCTATGTAAATTATGTATGTATCTTGAATAAAAATGTATTTCAGTATTAGTTGTAGTATCCATAACACAAGCTCTGCTGTCCTTAGGACTAGACGGCGCTGTGTAGTGTCTGGACACTACACAACCCCGGAGTTATTATTATCATAATTATTCGATTTCAAAAATGTTCTACTATTATTTTTAAAACGCGCAGCATATCAAAAATCTTCGTTTTTCAATATTTAGTAATGCACTCAACTTATGTAGTATAAACTTAAGGGATCTAATCCTGTAGCAAAAATATAAAGTAATTTAATATGAGTAACTCTTACCAGTCTATTCCTATGAATGATTTCCGACAATAATATAATTAATTATATTATTCAAATACAAATAGAAATAATTATATTACCGTCATTCTAGTTCTATAATTAGATACCGCGTATTGTAACATGGTGTTGACTTACATTTTGGCAGTGTAAAAAAGTGCATAGAAAGAATTTATTGGAACCAAAGTTAAACCAATATTAACTAGTAATGTAATATAATCATTAATATTTGTAATATTAAGTTTATTTCAATTATTATTATTTATGGCCTGCTTGTCTCTTACACCATGTTGTAACACGGAAAATATAATGCAATCTATTCTAATAAAATATGTTTCTTCTTGCATGGATCTTGCACTTGGTGATGGCAACACTTACAGGAGGTTGGTTATTAAATAATAAAAGTATATTATAGGTATATATCCGTGAGTATAGTATACAGGATGACTTTTTTATCATATCGGAAAAAGTAGCATAGTTACACTACCAGTTAGCATACATACACTAACAGTTCACATTAAATATTACTTGCCAAGTACCGAAAAAGATGTAAAACTTAACCGTATGCCTTTAAATTATAATTGTAGAGCAATGGTAGCTTAAAGACATGCGCTCCCAAAAATAAAAACACTTTCTAGGTGTATTGTTCAGCCTGAACTACGCGACGTTATACGCAACATGAAGGCTGGAATATTGTATTTACAAAGAAAATTTAAATTGTATTGATTGTAATCTGGTTACACATAGTACTTCTCTATTATAAGAAGTGGCGAGAGCTCCACCGACAAGAGTGTGGCTTTTAAATTATGAACGAATTATAGTACTTTTATTTTAAGTAACATATTTATGCTAACTTTCTATGAACAAAAAGTCATCCAGTATACACCTTTTTATTTAATTTTATACAAAATGATCACATTTGCACCTCTATCTGATTCTACAATTGTAATACTAATAACTTTCTTAATTGTTGAATTGTCTTATAATTTTTAATATTAATATCGTAAAGCACTACTATATTATGATTGAGCAGTATTATTTTCATTTTAATTGTCTTATATATTTGTGAAGTGCTAACAAATGCATATATCCAACAGCTTTTTGTTCTCAAAATTTTTGACAGTTCTCATCTCAAGTAGCTTGCTGACTTGGACCATAAGTGGTCTGTACGAATAAATTTATTGTAACTTTATCTCTCGTAATTTTATATGCATGATTATCGAACCCATAAGCATAGCCATTGAATTGAGCCATACCCATAGCATTTGAAAAGAAACAAACAGTAAATTTCACGGAAAGCTCTCTACAATTCAACACTGAAAACCGTATTCGTAATAATTGACCACATCCCGAGATTTGTGTATAAATAGAACAACATATAAATATAATAAATGGAAAAACTATATACACCATTTTTGAACTGTTTTTCTCGGTTTACATTTAAACACATTGTTAAAAAAAACTCAACAAAATTAACGAGAGCTCTTTAACAATATTATCGTGGTAAATATCTCTTTCTTTCTTTATGTAATGAATCCAAAAACTTATTTTTTTGTACTTAATTTAAAAACACGGTCTTTTCTATAATAAGTATAGATATTTACTAATATTATCTTTAATATCCACAGCACGGGCATGATTCAAACTTTATCCCTCATATATCAAGAGAACGGTATAGTGAGAGGGTTATACCGTGGGATGAGTATAAACTACATCAGGGCGATACCGATGGTAGCCACCTCGTTCTCCACCTACGAGCTGATGAAGCAACTCCTCAAGCTGGACACTGGCATGAAAGTCTCGTAAGAATAACGAACATTGTTTGTTTTCTTGTCTTACTAAACAATCTTGATATGCCAACAAAATAAATTTCAAGATATGATAACAAAAATAAAAATATACAATAAATAATCGCTGATATGTAACAGACCCGTTTATTCAATCTTTTAATCAATTTATAGGTAATTTATTATTACTAGAAGTAGACGGGTTTTAATACAAATAATTTTATGGTAAACAAAGTATTTATCTCTCTCGACTTTGTTGCACTAGCCGTGGTCTCAAGTCGACTTGAATACAGCGATGTTAATGTTAGTGCTTGTATCTAGTTCGTTCAATTACCGTCACAAGATAGTCTATAATATCTCCTCTGATAAATTGGCAATGATACATTTCAATGGAGATCCAAATTGTGGCCTAAGTCGTTGTTCGAAACCTTTAGACGAAAGACGTATGCGTCAGGTGCAGTTAGTCTTCAGCCGCCAACCGCTGCATTGCGCGTTTAGGATGCCTCCTGCACTCGTTCCCATATTCATCCGGTAAAGCTATATCGACCAATAGCAGTAGAATAGTTTAAAAAATTGGCTAACGAAATTTTGTGGCGATGGTAAAATGAGCGGTTCATAAGTGTAACATATTCGTAACGTCGCATCGAGTAAGGTAACTTTATTTACCTTAAAATTATTCATTATAAGACCTCACTATAATATAAATATAATGTAATAACGTGTACTAAACTAAAGTTCGAAAGTTACTTAACTGGTATTTTCAATTTAAAAGGCATGCCAAGATAGTTAAATAGGACAAGTAAATAAATATGAATCTTAGAATAAAAAAACGCTGCTGCTTATAATGCGGAAGGATTTCAAAACGTTGCATTATATTGCAAAATAGTGAAATTATAATTTGGTAATATTAATACGTAGTAAAATAAATTCCTTAGTGTAATTAATTTTGACGTATTAGTCCTGTCCTTGTCTATACATTGTGTGACACACAAGTGAAAGGGACAAGTTTTACGTCGAATTTAATAATATATAAAGTAGACCAAATTACCAAAGGCAAACATTTCCATAAAGCAACAATGAACATTATAGTAGGTACTATTTATTCTATTTCGATCAAAATATTAATAATATTATCTTAAGTATAATAATCTGTGATGATAATACTCATCAAATAATCATATTAGAATGTGGCAATTTTTTTACAAATAAACAATAGATAAAAAAGATATGTAAAGATAAGTCCATGACGACCGATTCTGATAAAACTATGTAAATAGTCATTCATTGTGGTCTAAAAAAGCGTTAACGATATAGCCTTTATGCTGATTCTTTTTTTTATTAAGTATGCTACATCTTCAAGTTACTTCATCTGTTTAACAATAAAAACTTTTGCAGATGGAGTCCTGTAAGGCCTTTATCTGTATTAGTAGACCATAATAAAATACTATTTAGATTTTGTTAAATTTACAGTTATTTCTCGCTACAAATACACATTAATTAATAGTTTAAGTATCAGGAAATAAACTATTTGAATTTGATAGAACCATACAATATTGAATTGGGTTAAATGGTCACATAAATAGTAGTTTATTTTAGATTGTGGGTAGTTGTATAAATGAACGATATTCGACTGAACATTTGTTCTAATATTTATACTTGATATATCATAGTATGTAAGTACATACTTAAATGGAATGTATAACAATCTGTTTTTAAGTACTATATAAGTAGTATTTCAATACTACAATTATAATAAAATATCGTGATATAAATTATATATTTAATGATATTTTTTATACCATGACTATAAATATTAGATAATATATTTTAAAACTATTGACGGATTATGTATATGACATTCATTTATAAATATATTTTTGATAATTTGCTTAGATCAATATTGATCGAAAATAATTTTCAATAGATATACGATGCAGTATTTTTTATTTACTTAATTACTCAAATAATATATCTATTTATTAAATCACATCATGTAATTGGTATCAATTTCAAGCATGTTGATTTTAACATGACTTCCACATAGTATTAAATAGATTTATGTCACAAAACTGTGCCTTTTATATGTTTTGATTAAGGCACCTCAAGAGCTCGTAACACAATTAGAAATAAGAATTAAGTTTAGACGTTGTTTGTTGTAACCAGAATTATTAAACCATCTAGCTAGCCTGAGACTCGATCTGCACAATTAATTTAGAATATAGCCTATGTCCTTCCTATAGAATATCCAATTATCTTCATATCAAATTTCTATTAAGATTCGTTCAACCGTTTAGTAGTTAAAAGGTGACATACAGACTATCAGACATACTTTCGTAATTATAACATTAGAATTCAATATTGTTCCTTTATAATTTCTGACACCCGCCATTGTGGTGGAACTCTTGACATTTACTATGATGCAGTCTCTTCCGTTCCTTAATATGCTTGATATGCCTAAAACTTCGAATCCTTCCCGTCTTTCCTTTAATGATAACCTTTTCCGCCGTATGTTCTCAATGTTTATGTTATTTTTTTCTCTTTAAACTTTTCAAGTCCTTTACATTATAATTTAAATTTACGTTTTTATTTATTTACAACCTTGGAAGAATGACAGTTTAACGGACTGCTTCAGCTACCTATTGTCGCAGGTTAACTATAATTCAGAACTAATTTAGACATTTCGATAATTAGTTTCATATTGGCGTCAATGGTTTCGTAACTCTGGTTATATTTGTAATTAAATTTATATTAGCGTATCTAATGCGAATGAAATTTATTAATAGTTGTAAGTTGTATTTATACTTATACATCCAATGTCAAATTATATTGTTATTGTATTGAACCGAAATTATTTCACGCTATAGCTTTAACATTGTATCAATTTAGATACTTGCTCTCGAACAAGTGGACTTGTAGGAAAAAAACCTGCTACAGAGTACTCTATTTGCCTATGGTTTGATTACACGTGTATTATATAGGAAACGGCAGCATTTGGTGTCTCATAATTATTTTCTTATATTTTATCTCGCATTAAAGTAGTTAAATTGAATTTGCTCTTAGAAAATTTTGCGAAAGAATATTCGAACATAAACCTATATCGGTTATGATTTTAAATACACAGATATTCAAGATAAAGGCAATCTACTATTTTCATCATATACAATACACAGAATTATTATACTATCATATCTAAATCAATCTAATATACTAGTTATGAATATCTATAAAACAATTTCATAACAAGTTCTCAGACGCAATCGTTTTATAAAATATGGTATGGTAACCCTACCATACCATATTTTATAAAACGGACATACGTAACTTGTTTTTAACAAATTGTCCTCCTAGATATAGGATTTAAAAACAGCCATCTGATTTTCTACTTTACTAATACAAAAGTACCTTTGGTTATATTTTACAACAAAACATCCTCCTATTAAATCAGTAATTAGACTAAACATTTACGACCAACTGAAAAAATGTAAACAAATGTCTGTAAATTGTACTAAAGTTAGTGTTGCAACAGTAGGTAATCACTCATTTAGGGAGCTTACGTAGTTACAATATTATAAATATATTTATTTTGTAATAGATAATTACACCTAAAAGGTTATTCCATATTAAAAAGCAAAAATGACATTATAATTATTAGATGTGTAAATATGGCAAAAATTAAGTAATAGATTATTTATGTCTTAATTTAATTTATAAATCTTTAAGATTTATTTTTTGATGCTTTATAGCAATGTTCAACTTGGTATCTTAATTTAGGCGTAAGTTCTGATTAGCTATATCTAGTACAACTTAGAAAACTGTATTCAATGATCACAAATAAAATACAATTTGTTATTGTCATAACTGAAATATAAATAAGTAGTGAGTTCTCATTGTATCCATTTATATCCATGAATTATTATGAAATATCGTATTTATATTTTAAATTAAAAAATAATTTTTTTATATTCTGTTTTTTTATTTTCACATGTTTGATGATGGCAACAAAAAAGTATAAAATCGATCAAGCCTCTAAATTTAGACTAAGAGCAATTTAGTCTTTGTAGAAATATGTAGTAAAGGGTAAAATAGGTGAGAGGTCTGTTATGTGACGATATTATGGATAGGACTTTACATATCACTAACGTATTTCGGTTTGGCAATTTCTGTAGTGAGGCGATGATTTGATAAGGCTTTTTAAATCAAGCAATTAGAATGCAAATTTTACCAAAAAAGTTTACCGTAATCATAGAACTTTCACAACTGTTTTTAAACTAGCAGTTTCCGCGACTTCGTCCGCGAGGAATTTATCTTTATTAATATAAAATATTTTTTCTAAAATAATAGTAGCATAAGTTACTTCTTATTACATCAACTACCTACCAAAAAAAGTCCCGTCAAAATCGGCCTAGCCATTTCAGAGATTAGCCGTAACAAACAGACAAAAATTAAAAAAATGTTATTTTGGTATATGTACCGTATTTATATTCATATGCGTAAAAAACGGTAATTTCAATGTTAAAGACAGACACTTCAATTTTATTTATATGTATAGATTTACTATACTGCTGGACTCATACAAAGGAATTAAATAAACAGTACGAATTTCACACAGGTAATCGGGAGGGCAGTGGAAAAAAACACTGGCAATTTTAATAATTAATTTTATTTATTATCTAATTCCTATGAAGGGCACAGTACAGTTGCGAGAATAAATTATTTATTGTTTTGTGTTGAACGTTTACATTTTATTGCCATTATGTAGCCAGCCAGTCTGAATCACGGTGTCCGTGAAATTGTTCACCACGCACGAACGCACCGCTCCACACCACGCGACCGTTGCGTTTTGAATTTTATTAAAAAACCAATAACGTCTATGCATATTACCCGGAAAGCCTTAAATTTTACAGGAGCTTCGATCGAGTGAAATAATGATACGAAAGCCAAAGCACAAAATTGTACAAGTTACGTTAAGTTCAACATCACATTTCACACTAACGAAGTTCCGCGTTATACATATTTCATCTTTTTTTTTTGTATTTTGATTATAATTATTCTTTACCTATAACTTACATTAATACTTACATCAACGTAACGTGTGGCTTTTGATGTCATTGGTGGGTATAAAGTCTTTGTATAAATTAGACACACGTCAAATATGGAACAACAATGTAATGCAATCGGGATACATGGAAAAACATAATTAATACAATATTTTCCAGAAAATGGCACTGACAACAGAAACTATTGATTAAACACTTTGTTCGTAAGAGGCTCATTCACTTCTGTCAGTGCATAAATATATTTTTTGCAAGTGAAACTAGGCATTATTATTATTATTATTATTAACATTTACTTTAAAAAATATGTGACAATAAACCGAATCTTGCCCACGCCTATTCGCCTATAACCAAAGCGGTTCATTCCAATCCGTATTGCCCGTGTTGTATTATGCAGTAATGTTTGCTCATATAAAATATTGTCATATTTTCAAAAATTACACTGTATTTTGTATATAATAATAGTCTGACATGAGTACATTTACGGAAACATTCAAAACTTATTATAATTAAACAATAATGCAACACCCCTAACGATTTCACATTTAGGTATTTACATACTGGACCTAAAATAATGAATATAATAAAAAAAATTAAAGCTCCGCTCTTGTGAACACTTCACTCCATGTTTACAGATACTGTGGCACAAGAAAAGGAGAGAATTTAGAAACGAAATAATCTCGAAATGCATCATATTTGTTTATTATATAAAAGTAACGATTTTATATAAAATATACTTTCTAATACTCTTCACTGACTTTCAGTCACAGGCATACATAAATTAAATGTTATATATGTATAGCATTCGGTCATAAAATTAAATGCACAATATTGTAACGTAAAGTTCAGACGAACTGAAAAAATTTACGCATTCAATATAAGACACATTAGTAAAATGCGTAAAATGCTTTTTTTATTCTCATATGAAACCAACCAATTTTAGAATTTATATGAAATGGGTCAGAGGTCGATTTAACTACAAACATGGGGTACTATTGTAGTTATTAAATATTAATAAAGTACAAAATAGACCTAATGACATTTTCATGGTCTCAAGTATGCGCTAGTCACCAAATATCATTATGGTGGTATGTCCATTATTCAAACTACGGTGACAGAAGTCGGTCCATGAAATAAAACTACTGTAATAGCAAATTACCCACTTTAATGAGGTCCAAATTGTCTCTGAGGAGTGATAGATTGTATACATATAATAATAGTCTGCGTCGTTTGTCCGTTCACAATGAACATACCAGCATAACAAGCGCGGGGGATGCTGTGATCGGGCAAGAACCTTAGACGACGCCCTTGCCCCGCCTCCGTCGTCCAACCGTCACCTACCTTTACGAACGGTTTCTACCACAGACAGGAATATAAATAGACAACGCACAACCACAATTCAGGCAAAAATTAGCGTGTCGCCACTAAACAAAAGCAATTCATTTAACCTAAACTCTTTTCGAGTTTTCCACTGCAAATTTAGGGACAAATATTGACACGTAAATTAAATGCGATTTCGAAATTTATTTATATCCATATCTATGGTTTACACTTTTTAATACAGTGTTATCTTCAATAGTAGCGATTATTGTGTAAATCAATGTTCAGATTCACACGTCAATGCATACAATTTGTTGCATCTTCCAATGACATTCCGTAGAATAAAAAATACCGAGTAGAAAATACAAAATGCGGCGGCGCGGCATTGATCAGACATAGGGTTGCCAACTCGAATAAACCAAACTATCAAATTTTAACAAGGGAATTATCATTTCACAGCATCATATGATCTTGAAAATAAACTCACAAGGGAGTCCCAAGTTTGAAAAGCCTTTTGGCTCTAGTATGGGGCTTTTCCCATGAGAACCCCAGGAAATATGAGAGATTTTAGTTGGCAGAATTTATTTGTGATGTTTAGCACATTATATTTTATATGCTGTACTTGAACGTAGAGCAAGCAACAACGACAGAGCTTTAATCTTTTATTTCGCAAGCAAACAATCCTATAGAGATTTTTTTTATCTAAATTGTATTATGGTACACATAGATCCCAATAATGGTGTATCGAGTAGACAACCCTGATCAGACGTTGGTGAGCCACTGCGCGACGCGCATTAGCCTCTCGAGCTGGGCACGATGCGCGCGGTGCAGCGCGTGCGGAATGGAGGCGGAGACGGAGACAGGGGCGGAGGCGGAGGCCGAGGCGGCGACGACGGGGGCGAAGGCCGGGACGGGCGGGCGGCGCCGGCGCAGACTCCGGCCGGGAGCCGCCCGCGCGCCCCTGCGACTCTCCTGCTTGATATGCGCCTCCGCTGTAAGCATATTCGCTATTATTAGTACACCGTTTTATTCAACGGCATCTATTGAGATTTATGTATGTTACCAGCTGATCTAGCAAACATTGTTTTGTCATATTAATTACTGTCGTTATTAAAAAATAAGAGGTTGATGGCAGAAGGGTGAAAATTTAAGGGTGTATGTATTTTAAACCAGAAATCATAAAAAATAAAATAAAATTTTGGGCTAATAATTAAAAAGAAATTGGGAATGTCCACCCTTATCACATAGGGTATAAAATATAGGTAACTTAGTCTCCGACCTACCGAGTATATATCTGTATAACGCAGTTTTGGAGAAGTATGATAATTAATACTTTGACACGAGAATTTTATATATGTATATAGATTATAAGTAAACAGAGCAGCTTTATATGCTTAGCAGTATTTTATATGACTAGAATGTGGAATTCATGTTGACAGCCCAGGCGTTAGATACTAAAAATTTCCTATAAAATAGCAGCATAAACAAAATTTAAATTTTTGTCCTTAGTCCACATATCACATGTGCTATAATTCCTAAGGACTAACTGTTAAAATATTTTTTATAAATATTTCATTGTCATCATTTTAAAACAAGAACAATGTTTATTCCCATTCCAATAAATCTGTTATGATTTTCTGTTCCAAATGATATGTGTGCTCACGCACGAAATCAACGAAAATCACGTGCTCGATACAGACACATTCGTTTGTTTGCACACGAATGTCATTAGAAAAAAAATAACTAGTACCTATTTATTCAAAGGGTTCTATTATAGTAAAATGTGCCACAATATAAATTGTGGCACATTTTACTATAATAGAACCCTTTGAATAAATAGGTACTTGGGTAAATGTAATAACTTCTAAGTGCATACCAGCACACAATTTCTACTGCATTTACGACCAATTATCAACAATGTAAGACAATAATTGGAACATGCATACAATACGAGTGGTAATATTAAAATCGAGTTGGAAACACTTACGTGCAGCCTACATGAAGTAATCCGGCGTCCGCCGTGTCACGTGCGGCTCCCCACGTCGCGGAGCCGGATCGAACTGAAGGCTGGACAGACAAACAAATATTAATACCCGGCCCAGTGTGTATACTTCATAATAAACTCTGAATATGAGGTCATAAACTTCAATATCCATTATGTAATCGATGCAATATCGATATCTTGAATTTGAATTATCAAATTCCGTCATCACTTTGCGCTTATAATCATTCCATGTTAATTATTACAAAACAAGCGATATATTATATAGAATATAAGTAGTTTGCATTACTTGGATTAAAATATATAGTATGATACTATACATTTTCTTAATGTTTATACATTAACCATACAAAAACATTTGTTTTAATACAAAGTTTCAAATTAATACACTGTTATATATTTTTGCTCATCCAGTATGTTACATATACCATAGACCGATACAAACAGATTTAATCGTGAATACAAAAATTTGTGTTTATTTGGTGATCGAACTTATAACCCTCGGAAATTTAAGCAGCATGTTATACTGTTAAGGTAGTCAAAGTGAAAGAAAGTTGGAAATTATAACGTCTTAACAATAATTTCAGAACGTTTATAATTATGTGATAACGATTATATCATGCATTCATCAATCATCTAATTACAAGCATTCTTCTCAATCAATAATTGCACAGACAAGATAAGTATGTACTAGTGTTTCAATTAGTCAAGAATTCACAATTCGAAGGCAATTGATACAAAATGCATGTCGTCGCCAACTTTACAATCAGTTTACTGGAGCTAATAACATTTATTGGTCAAAAATCACATTGGATTTTAATAACTAACCATTGTAACTAACAAATGAAATCCAGATTTCTATTTCATATTGACTATGGTCAAATGTTTTCATTAAACATTTTTATGTTACTTTAACTTCATTATAATAGATTGCAATTATAATAATTTCAATTGAAGTGCACCTATCTATTGAAATATAACACAATATTTTATTTTGTGTATTAGGCCATTGATGGTGAAACTATGCTCAGTATATCTTATGTTTTAATTTTCCATTGAAATAAAATAATGTTATACCATCAACAGCTAATGGAAAAGATTGATTCTCAAGGAGTGGCTAAATATGACCACCACCAAATCAAATTCGTATAAGAAAGAAATCAAATATATTGCAGACTCAATCTATGTGAATGGCGTATTTAATGATTTAATGAAGAAGAATAATATTGACAACCATTGCATTCACATAACAACTAAATATTAAGATACACATATATGTATACATTCATATCATATATAAAATAAAATAAATATATAAACATGCGCATACACACATTCTCATATACACAATCACATAACAATTACAAAAAATGAGGTTTACGGTCCGGTCGAGGATAGTAATTAGTGTGACTAAAACGATTATATACTATTATCAACATGAGTAATAATACTTACAATGAGTACTTAAGGGCGTCATCCAATTCCATAATTGCGGCTTGATTACCACATCTGTAACAAAGAACAGTTTCTATATTATATATATATGGACTTGTTTCTATATTATATATATATGGACTTTTTGTTGAATTTTCTTAATTCAAAATGTATTTTGAAATATAATTTTGGTAATACAATTTTTACTTAATGTTATTTAGTTGCAGTCTTTTAAGCATAACAATGCCTATGCCACTACACTCTTCCATAGCTTATGTAAGTATTATAGCTATGTAATAGCATATTCATTCATTCATAATTTAAGAGTGACACTCTTATTAGTGGGGCTCTTGCCACTTTCCACAATCTTGCTATTACAATTCTAAATTATTTTCTATGTATACTTATTATAGCAGTTGGACAGGGAATATGCACGAGTTAAAATATTAACAGTGTGTCTATTTTAATATGTAATTTACTGCAAGGCTGATTGCATACATTTTTTTCTAATGAAGTCAAAGTTAATTCCTACTAAAATATTATATACAAATTTTTAAGGGCCATTAACTGTATTAGATGAATTTCAATTTAACTTTTTCGAAATCCCCTTTCCGCCCCTCCCCCCTTCCCCTTAACATGTGACGTAATAATTAATGACACCTTAGTGGCGCAACTATTCATTCTACGAATTACTGTACGGCGTAATAAAGATTTACACGCAACACAAGCCGTGTTGTCTACATACCTGTAGCAGTAGTTGGGAGCTGAGAATATAGTGACCACGTTTCTATCGTGACACCAGTTGTAGCCCTCCATGACGAGCTGGTGGGCGCGCGACACCAGCGTCAGCCCGTTGCTGTGGTTGAACGTCTCCGAGATGTCCTGGCCGAAGGTGTAGCCGGCACCGCGCGGCGATATGCCCCATCCGCCTCTGTGGGTACAATCAAATAAACAGCGTCAATATAATGCTCGTACATAAGTAGCTGACTCACGCATCTTTGTCTCCATCTCACTTGACATATATCATTATATTTCTCCCAATTTACACAAAAACTTTTTTAATTATACTCTATGTGTTAATCGAATAAGCTATATTACTGTATATCTCCATTACAATTAGCTCAGCAGTTTTTACATGAAAGAGTAACAAACATTCATACTCACAAACATTCGCGTTTATTTAATAATTACAAATTTAACTTTCAAAACAATGTTATCCTGTATTTGATTGAATAATAAATAAAAATATTCCGCACGATCAATGTCATTAGGTTCTAATTGTCCAAATTGTTTGTATGTACGCGCTCGCATGCAGCACTGACACACAACGATTGAAATACACTTGCCAATTCAATTAACACTAGTGAATGCTTACTTTGTGGATGCAACATGTGATTTTAGTAACTAATCTATATAGACCAGTGTTTCTCAACGGGCCAATTTTATTTTTAAGGGAGGCAATTCGAAAATGTACTCGATACGAGTGTAACCTTTCGCTCCGGGACATTTAGCAATACTAGATTTCGGTGGCAAATTTAATTAAATAAGCGATTTATTAAATATCTGTTTTATCACTAAATTAAAATAAATTAATAGAGATCTTTAATAAAATTATTTGTAAGTTTAATTACAGTTTTTCATTATATGTTTAGAAATTTTACTATTTTTCGTCAACAATTTCCTAGTGATTTCTTCCTAATACGTCGTTTAAGTTTCTTAATAGAAGAATTCATTTTTTAATATTAAATATATATAAAAGCTTATTGGGAAACACTGTTGTAGACTATAAGGACGCAACTAGCAAATAAAAAAAACAAAATAACTCACCTATCATCGGGATCGCTCCAGAGGAGATCACACATGGGCCCTTCGTGGGGCACTTCCTGCAGACGATCCAGCGCTCGGATGTGATCGAGGGTGTCGATGGAGGGACTAAGCCCTCCGTGCAAGCAGAAGATCTGGCCGTCGACGAGCGCAGTCAGCGGCAGGAAGTCGAAAAGGTCGGTGAAGTGCTTCCATACGGACGCGTTGCCGTATTTACGGAGGCATTCATCATAGAACCCATACACTTGGGTTATTTGACGTGACTCATGATTTCCGCGTAAGATTGTTATTCTTTCGCGATATCTCACCTGTAATAAAAATAAAAGATATTGCTTTATTTGTTCAGACTAATAATATAATACTAATAAGACCTAGTTCACTAACATAAAATATATTATTTACCAAACCAATTAAAAGTAGATTTAGACTATAAGAAACATCGAACTTTACTTCAATAATTTTATTAGCGCAAAAGTCGCTCAATAAATTATGTTACTAAATAATATTTGTACACATTGCAACAATGGAGGAAAATCATAGATTCTCCCGTTTACGTATATTGCATACACATATATTCATCTATATAGAATTGTTACACAATAAATGATTATTAACTTTCATAATAATAAAACGAAAATATAGACTAGGACGAATCTAGTAAGTAGTAAATGACGCAATCTACATAACAATCGGTTGAGTAGAATAATATGAAGATAGTGCAAATTTTTAAGTATATGGAATGTTAACTTCTGAACCACAGGACCTATTTATAAAATTCTATAACATAAACTACAATTATGTATATTGAATATTGATGATCCCGAGACGTACCGATACTGTATAATAAAAATATATATTACAAGGATTCCATATCAGATCGTGACGACCAACGATTTGACGAACATTGATATATGATGACAAAGATCAACTGTGATTACGACACCGCGTGAAAAAACATACACATAGTATACATAAACATGACGCTTACAGCATTGTATTAAATGACAACCTTGAAGTTTTATGCATCTTAGAATGCAGTTAGAATTTTACATTTTACTAGCTGACCCCGCAAACGTTGATTTGCCATATAAATTAAAATCGCTATTAAAAAATAGGGGTTGTCCCATCAACCCCTATTGTTGGGTATTAAGGGTGAAACTTTAGGATTGTATGTACTTTTTTAATGCCGCATTATAAAAAAAATACAAAATAAATATTAGGGACCACCGTTATCACTTAGTGGTATGAACCAATATCACTCATTGATTAAAATTTAATAAAATCAGTCAAGACGTTTCGGAGCCGTTGAGGAGAATAGTAACTAACTCGTGTCACAATGACACGAGAATGTTATATAAAATATAGAATCCCTTTACATTGTATTTTATTATTAAGATCACAGGTTTATGTTTGTAATGTAAACTCAAATAATATATGACTTTTTTCTTTAATCATTTGCTATAGAAAGTAACAATACTATAACAGTACGAGTAAAATGGGGTGTATTCTATTTTAAAAAAACAACAGACCCCAGCAACTTTAGCCACAGTAACCATACAAAGTCTTGATTTTCCTTTATACTTGTAAAATTCTACATATTTTTAAAAGAGCAATTACCTAGTTTTTATCGATCACTTCGTAAAATATGAATGTGGCGATAAAATAACAATAATGAGTAATAAAAATATTTTAATAAAGATTACAATTATTCCTGTTTCACACAGGAAGTAGTGCTACTTGCGCAGACTAATCATACGAAACTCCAGTCATTATATTACTATTATTAACTTCGATCAATAATTCCAACTAGATAACGCCTCGCCGAACTAATACAAAACTCAATTATGGCGCCGTCTAACTATAGATTTTTTTGTTAATACAAAAGCTTTTATCTCCCATGGGCCAAAAGTTAATTCCCTATAAATTTACCAAAATAGGCTGACTGACTTCAACCCAAATTTATCATCTTTCACAGGTGCCAACGTTGCCGAATCGTTTCATTAGTCAAAAACACTTTTGTCTAGCAATAGATATAAAATTAAATAGTAGAGACGTATTACACAATTATCATACAATTAGTATACTGGAATACACTATCTCAGTGCAGACTTTTTAATTAATTAGCTGCTATTTTTGGATATTATCTCACAATCATATTACAGACGTGTTATCACAACAAATACCCAAACTACCGTCATATTTAACATCCGATTACTTTCCTAATTGCACTAAGATGTCTCTCCAATTATAAAAACTGTTTTTTGGAGTTTCCACTCAAGAATGTAAAATGGAACCTTAGTCCTTCTGTCATTGGTCATAGCGTTATTCTGTTGATTTTAATTCTAGAATAGACAAGTATTGCCCAATGAAAATAAATATTTTAAACGTATTTACATTTCGTTTGTATTGTAAAAAGGTTCATAGTGGAAAATTTAAAGTTTTCAAAGTAGAACAGTATTTATTACTATTTAATATTTTCTGTACGAAAAAATATGTAAATAATTTGGTATAAATATATGGGTATGTATGTACAAAAATTTACTTAAAAAGCAATTAACAATTATTTATCATGGTCAAATGTTTACATATTTATAGGTAAAAGTCTAAAAATTTTATATCTTCCGTTGTGTAATATTTCCGTTGGAACAATCGGCATAAATTGAAGGATATTTATTATAAAAATTCGACATATTTGTGGGTAGTTAAATTATGTCGTGTGTCTAATAAAAATTGTTTGTTATGTAATGGGAAAGACATACAAGATGACGGTGCACGTTATCATGAGACACCCTGGATACCACTCACCCGTTTTCATTCCGGGGGACTATGATGTCATGCCTCTTACCCTGTAATTTCACTGACCAAGCAAACTGTTTGGCGGTGAAATAGGTGAGATTGATATACCCATGCACCTTATAGACACCTTTTTACAGACTATCTCTCAATATACATATTTTTTTTATAATTTAAAACCCTCTTTGGTATTGATAAAATCGAGATAACTTTCTACTTTTATCGACTAATTATGAAGAAAGGATACGTTAAGATTGTTCGATAATTTCACTCGCTACAAGACAAACAAAAACAAAATATACTTAGATCGTTTTTATTATGACAACATAAATATATATATACTATAATATATTAAACAAGTCACAAATCGATTGTGAAAGTTATTGCCGTCATGATAGAAATCATATCTGATAGTGCTATCAATTCCACAAAACTACACGATGTTATGAAGATGTGTACTGAATTTAAAAACATCGTCTACCAATGACGTCCTTCGAGCGACATATCGCTCATTTATATGGACATGAATAATTATGTACCTATACCTATAGGTATATGTAATTTACATTTCATTGATACGCAGAAAAATATGTATCCATCACGTGTAAGGACGTTTTTTATTGGATAATAATGATATGGAGCACCTGTCTGCGCTAAAAGTTGACGCTGGCGGGGCGCCAGTGGAGGATGCTAACATGAGGTCAGGTCAGTTAGCCAATCTTAGCAAATTTACTAGGAATTTATCACGATGGGATCCAGAGGGAACCGCAAGGAGGTCAACCCGAAATGGTACATTGCTAGCGATAGGACATATGTACACATTACAAGATTTAAGAGAGCATGAGGCAGGTGTGATTTAGCTGGACACTAGGGAATAATGATAGTATGAGGATAAAGTTACTAGGTTACAAACGAACCAAGAAATTCTCCACAACAGGCTAATAGACTCAATACTATAATTCATTTGCGCGAAGTTGTTTTGTCGTTACATATGCTGCTCGGAATTTCCCTCTCTGTCACACGATGGACACGGCATCCATTCGCATGGCGAATCCATTTAATGCTAAGAAGTTCGTCTCAAAATCTTAAGACTCTTCATAGATTACACGAAGTTTATGACTTCTAGAATTCTTTGTCACCCTTTATCAACCCATTCCAGAAACAAAAAAAAAGGTCTCACCTTAAGCGCAACAAGCAGTGTGACTGTCTCCACACTGTAGTAACCACGGTCCACGTAGTCACCCATGAACAGGTAGTTAGTGTCCGGCGAGCGTCCGCCGATGCGGAACAGCTCCATCAGGTCGTGGAACTGGCCATGGACGTCCCCGCAGACGGTCACCGGGCATTTCACCTCTTGGACATTGGACTCCTTGGTCAAAATCTCCTTTGCCTGTAAAACAGATACAAGATTTTAATAATAACCACTATGCAAATATTATAAAGACGTTAAGGTTGGTAATATCTGGGTTTCGAAAATTAATTTAGTGTTGGATAGCCCATTCTTTTATAAAAATACATAATAATCATAAAAAGCATCCAAACGAATACAAACAATCATACAATACTCAAGAAACCAAATATTTGTATCGAGAAAGGAATCGACCCTGAGACTATCGGAGTAAGCCTGTGTGCTAAACCGCTAGACCACTGACGTAAATTTTGTTTTTAATACTACACCTAAATACAAATGTATATTATCATATTATATATTTATTAGCATCATATGTCTAACAACATCAATCAATATATATCATTATCTACCTATTGTACATAACGTGTTTTTATTATCAGTACAAATATTACAATATCTTGTAAAATTTATGAATAAAAGAACGAGTGATTTTTCGTATATACCAAATATATTCGGGAGTTACTTTAAAATGAATTTAAAACTTCTATTAAAAAACACTCAGCTAGATAAAGTAATAGAGAAATTAAACAATTAAGTCATTTTATCATATAATCAAATGTTTTTCACATTAAATTTACCTAACCTACACAGTTGTGAATGCAAATTTTAATGAACTCATTGAGAAGACAATCTTTGTTTTAGACCTAAATGGTCTAAAACAAAACGTATTTGTTAATGTTGTGTGTAATAAAACAAAATCGACTACAAAACAGGTTGCTTCAATTTAGGAAAAACGTTGAAATAAATGTATATATTTTTATATAATAATATTTATATCCTTTTTTGTCATTGCATTGATTTATTATTAACATTGTTCGAGTAGATTGCAATGCAAATAGTTCTTTAAAAATAAAGAAACTGCAAAGTGAATATATAAACATATATATACCTAAATATTATCTATAATATTATCCATCACAACCAAACAACGCAGAATGCACAGAAATCTTATTTACGTAAGTGCATTTACGTTGTAGTCCAACAACTGGAGAAAGTTTCACGAGAAAAATCTAATCAATAGATGGAATTATTTTTGACGAATCACGTTAAAAGTGAACGTTTGAAGTGGCAATGGGCAGGGCACATAGCTCGTAGGACAGATGGCCGTTGGGGCAGTAAAGTCCTCGAGTGGCGACCACGGACCGGAAGACGCAGCGTGGGAAGGCCTCCAGCAAGGTGGACCGACGATCTGGTCAAGATCGCGGGAAGGCATTGGATGCGAGCAGCGCAGGACCGATCGTCGTGGAGATCTTTGGGGGAGGCCTATGTCCAGCAGTGGACGTCTTCCGGGCTGCAATGATGATGATGATGACGTTAAAAGTATTCCTAACATTCCTATAAATGATATTTCTAGACTTAACCTGTTAACCGGGGAATTCCTTTTTTAATTACGCAGCATATAACGGGCACTGTCTCTCACTAGGACGTGTCGGTACGTCAGCACAATATAATTGAATGTGTATATTTTTGATATGAAATATTCCACCCGCTCCAGGTTCCAGGGCGCAGCAGAAATTTAAAAAATGTAATGTATACATATGTCCTACACGTACACAAAAGTTTAACGTTTGACGTATTTATACGTCCCACTCGGTTAACAGGTTAATAATTCCACATAACCTTATTATATCTACCACATGTGCAAAGTATAATAATAATCTCAGGACAATTCACACAGCGCCATCTAGACCCAAGTTAAGCTAGCAAAAGCTTGTGTTATGGGTAGGTACTAGACAACTGATATAAATATATAGATATTTTTTTCCTAAATACATACATATTATACATAGAAAATACCCAGACCGATACAAACAATCTATCAAATTTAGTAAAATCGCAGCTCCGATTCCTACACATCGCATTGCTTCCTCTAGCTACCTATTACGACGCCTTGTATTTATCTTGTATATATAATGGCCATAATATTAAGTGGGATAAAGAGAAATTACTGGCTCGATAACTAGACTCGCCCTATACCGGAAGTACTTGCAAGTGCAGCTAGATAGTGCTTATACTTTTTTATATCGAACAATCCGGACATGACAAACCAGTTGACGGCCGACCTGATGGTACCTGGTAATGGTCAACATTGTATAATATATACAACTAGATATATAACCCCCTGGAAACCATCGTGATAAATTGCCATTTGCCAAGATCAGCTAATTCAATTCAAATTCAAATTCAAAAATCACTTATTCATGTAGGACATTTTAGCCGCTTATGAACGTCAAGTTTTTACATTATATTTTTTTTCCCTACCGTCCAGTTCGGTATATAGACCCAATTGAGAAGAACTGGCAAGAAACTCAATTGAATTACTTTTTTTTTTAAACCCAGTTTATTTACAATACATAGGTATTTATATAGGTGTCTATGTCTATCATTAAATGAAAATCCCAAACATGAAAACTATTGCCATTCACGCTGGTTATTCAAGTAATCGTTTAGTGAGTAATAGGCCTTGCTCAGTAAATATGATTTAACAGATGTGTTGAATTTATTTAAGGGTAATTCCTTAAATATATCCTAAAATATATCCTTTGGTATCTTATTGTAAATTTTTATACTAACTAACCGTATACGTACTAACTAACCTGACTTCATACTAAGCCAGCGTAAACCGTTAGCCCAGGCGGGTGCACAATTTTTTTTATATACTACGATGGTGGTAATCAAGCATACGGCCCATCTGATAGTAAATGGTTACCGTAGCCTATGAACGCCTGAACCATTCCATTATCATCCATAGAAATGTGTTACTAGTGAATATCAGACTTTACAAAAAAAAACGCATTTTCAATTTCATCTATTTCGAGTAAAAGCATTATTTCAATGCCATACAACTTTTAATAACAACAAAGTACATCTTGCAACCCACAGGCATTGAAAATAATATACTATACACTTTATAAATAAAAAAATAATAGTTAAACATATACTAAAATCATATTTGGTTACTCTAAAACCCAAATTTCTAATTGATGAGTATAATAAATTACTGAAATTATATTACACGTTGTACAATCCAATTTGTGCCCCTTAAAATAACTTTGACCATCATTGACAGCCTTAGATAAGAGTATAACAGAATTAACGCAAATATCGAATACAGGGTGTATTCATTTATAATCAATACAACGTACAACTCAATTAATTATTGTATACAAAATGGTTATTACCATTATTTTAGGTTCAATAATTTGTATGTATATTGTAACCGTTGCGACATTCCAAAATTCAAATTACTATCGAAGTGACTGCGCCAGGGAGCCGGCCCGAAGCTCAGGTAGCGTTGGGACCGTTACGTGTCTAAGTTAGCTTTAAAACAGTGGTAAATAAAAAAACAAAAGCCAAAGTGTACTTTTCATTTGTAGCTGTTTGGGAATGTTATTCTACATTTTTGCTGCAAAACATGCTTTAGAAACGTCATCAGGAGGGTGAATTTATCACACAACGTCTGTCATCTAGTTCGAAACCAAGCAAAGCTTGTACTGTGATTATTAGGCAACGAACAGATTTTTTATAATGGAATAAATGGGTACATAGAATTTATATTTATTTATTATGATATATGTATGTTAGTCTATTAGGTATTTATAATATGTGCGATTAGTAGCCTGAAATAATAAAAAAATAGAATCGACGTATTCGATGCAAAGCTATATATGTTTATAAAAAAAGAAAATATATGAAAGAACAAAACCAAGGTTGTGTAGATTTCATAAAAAAATAATCATATAAATTGTAATAAAAATGAAACACCTGAATAACTAAACATTTAATGTTTATACATATAAAAGTTTACTGCTTGCTAATAAACTGCAACGTGAAATTTATATGTACCATATACAATTATAAATCTGAACTAACCAAGAACATGTATACTTACCTACTTATATACAAGCTCTGCTTACAGTTGCTCTAGACGGCGCTGTGTTAATTGTCCAGGATTATATATAAACTTAGAGTAGAGTGATATATCATAAATTATGCTAATGAATCATCACAGTGACTAAAACTCAAACAAATTGTGGCAAATGTTCGTATGTTTAGTCTTTTGGGCAAATTATCTCCGAGGCCTCAATAATCGGATACAATTTTGCGCTAAACATCCACCAAGCGTGGGCGGGCAATATAAATATTTATCAGCCAATGATTGCTCCTGTACAGTAACTATCCATTACATTATACAACACTAGCTAAAGTATTTTTTTTACACTAGCTTATTTTGGAAACACTAGCTGAATCAGGCGGTGCTGTCTGTTTTAAAACGGATCATGTATATTTACAGAAACGTACTAAAAATCAAATCATCCCCCTCTTATATATATAATACTATTTACAAAACAAAACACCCCCTCCAGATGGGGAGGGACTTGTGTATGTTTTCTGTTCGAGATAATCATAAAAACTACGGGACGGATTTCCATACAGTATTCAGAGAGAGAGATGGTTAACAGAATAATACCTAATGAAGGTTTAGATGTACATTTTGATTAATTTAGTTTTGTATAAATTAGTTGAAATACCCATGCGAAACCGGGGCGGGTTACTGGTTCTATTAAAAATACTGACCGACTGTATAGCAGCAGCCTTAGTGACGTATATTTTACAAACTACAGCTAGGTCCGTACCTGATACAATATAATAGAGACAGGTATATGTTGCAAAAAATATATACTTAAGTACATGAAACCAAAAATAATCACAACGCCCTAACATTTCTATTGTTGAATATAATAATAAACTACCTACTAGTAGCTGCCCACCCGCCCAGGCTTCTCACGGGTGTAAATGTGTTACACATATAAACCTTCCTCTTCAATCTCTCTATCTATTGCTAAAACTGTATTAAAATTCGTTGCGTAATTTAAAACGTCGCGTAATCGATAAGACAGCGACATCGACTATTTTATACGATGTAAAGAAGAAATAAACATATGGGCATTATATGTAATGCATTGGATCTATATACCGAACTGGACGGTAGGGAAAAAAATATAATGTAAAAACTTGACGTTCAAAAGCGGCTAAAATGTCTTACATGAATAAATGATTTTTTAATTTGAATTTGAATGTAATCTTAAAATTTTAAATAGAATATGTCCAACATAAAATTTTATTTCACTATTATATTTGTTGTCAGCCTACGTAATATACAAAGCCAGAGAATTAACCCGCACATTACATTGTTAATTGTTGCATTCATGTAATCACTTTTACAATAGAACTCTGAGGTCTTATTTCTTCAAACCAATGTAATTTATTTCTTTAAGCAATATTCCCTTTAAGAGTAATGAAAACCTAAAACATATTTTTTGCACTTTTCTACAATTCCACTTTATAATTTACGTCCACACATTTTGTGGGCACAGTATTTATGTGGTATTCCATATAGATAATGTTTTTGGTATTTGAATCAAATTATGTAGAAACAAACAGTAAATATTATGAGAAAATTTGTTATACATCAGTGAAAACTGCGTTTAAATTGGTTAAGCAGTTTCTAAAATGCACAGACAACTGGATAATAATATAACACTGGACAGTTCACGCAACGCCATCTAGGCTCAAGCTATGCTTATTTTATGATTACTATACAACTGGTAGAATGTATAAATTAATTTTTCTTGGATATACATACATGCATAAAACACAAAGACCGATACAAGCAATCGTCAAGTCATGAATGCAAATGTTTAGAACGTGCGAAAAATCGAACTCGCGACCATCGAAATGCGGCGTGTTAAACTTCTAAACTACACAGGCCATCAAATATAGTAAAAACAATTATTTTACGTGACATCTAAGAAATAAAGACTGATATTTTATCTAAGACATTTTCAGTTATCCAATAAAACTATAATTTAAATTGTGAAAGAACCACTTTTCACTATTGTGTAAAGGCATTACAACATACAAGGCTTTATAAACGATAATGTTGAAAGTAGAAGATGCACTCAAGCAACAACGAAATAGTAAAATGTGAGTCAAATTTGAATGCTAAAGCTTCTATGTATATAAATAATGTAAAGAGGTTCAATTTTCATTATATGTTAATTATTTATTAAAAAATTACGTAATTTATTTACATAATCCCATATTATGCTACTAGGCGTACTCACACTGGATATATGCATAATTTAGTGTGATTAGAGCTGTATAACTTTAAAACAAAAAATGGTTATAAAATCAGACTGCAAAGTAACATTGTGAAAAGTTATTGAAATCTTCAAAAACAGTAAAAGTTCACAAATCTTCTCTTGTAATAATTATCTTCAGTATCATTACATATAATGAAATCATAAATAAATAGGGAAGCTGAAAACATTCTATTTGTATTAAGATTAAGTAAGTAAGTAAGAAGTAAAAATAGTAAAAAACATATCATTTTCACATATATTATTTAATCACTATATATGAAAATGACATGTTTTTTCCTGGGTTAATATATACAGGGTAAAGAGAGCTGAGGAAAGAACATATATGACATGCCTTTGTGGTTCAGTACACAACTTTATGGCCAAGCTCAATTCCTCACTTCATAATAGATTGTGTCTACAAATGTACACTGTTATAATCTTATGGCCACAACTAATATAAACATCATAATATATTCCTTTATCACTAATAATTTAGAGTAAACAATGTATTAAGAATAATTCAATAATTAAGTTATTTCAGATCAAAATGGTACATGTCCCTTTAACACTTTTATCTGCTAACAAATTTATGTATTCAATCATATGGATCATAAATTCCTAAACATAACTACAAGTAACAACCTTAAACTACTTAATTTTACCAATCATTTCTCAAAACCTACAGATAAGAGAACAGATATACAGATAAAAAAATGTTGTATACATTTCTTAATAGGAAAAAAACTTAGTAAGGTATATAATTTCTAATTTTAAAATTGAACTTCTAACAGTTTCTATGTAAATAAATAAATCAAGTGCAGAAAACCAAAGATGCATTACTAAATCTTTGAGAAATGCACTCGAAGGAAACATTATAATCTACCAATAATATATACAACAATCTACATTATTATCTTCACCTTTATCTTCAAACATACACAAAATAATCATCACTCAATATCTACATGTATATACTGATTTTGATAAGTTATTCTTTAAAAAAGAATTTAAAATAAGTTATGCCACTCATGCACACAAGATATACCTATGTATAGTGTAATCTGATTACATGAATGAATAATCAATTAGTAATAATGAAAAAATATTAATATGTCCATAATAAGTAAATAAATAAATAATAATCCAGGACAATTCACACAATGCATATAGTCACAAACTAAGCAGAGCTTGTATTATGGGTACTTATTTATTGATAAAAATACTTAAATACATATATTTTCTTAAACCCATACAGAAAAATAGAAAACACCCAGACCAAATAAACAACCACACTACAATGAAATCATGAAAGAACAAAACCGCTAATCACTAAAAATAAATAAATTTGAAATACACATTAAAATTTTGTGTGTTTAAAATTATACATATAGATTTTTTTACTTTAATATTTACACTGAACTATGGCTAATATGGGTACCTGATTGCTGTTAATACAAAAAATAACATTAAAGAAATCTCAATGTTTAGATCAGAATGTATACATATATATAATATACAGGATGATACTGTATATATTCTGTTAAACAGTCTACATGTGAAATATTTCAATACAACAAGTTAATGGTGACCTAAAGGATGACTTGATGATGATGATGATGATAATGGTTGACAGAAGTATCAGTTCTTCATCCACCATTATCTACCAGTCACCTGCCATTTACTTAAGCTTATTTTAAGCTAATAACAAACAATTGTTTAGAATGTGTTAATTAAATTTATTAAATATTAACATTGTACAATTTCTTTTTGAAAGATGTAAGTGATACTTTATTATAATATATCACATTGTATTAATTGCTTATCCAAAGTATTCAATAGATATATGCAAACAACAACAAACAAGATATAGATATACCATATCAAATCATAAAATATGTGTATTAAACTAATTTTACTGAATTAATAATAACAAGCATTTCCGCGGCGAATCTATAAATATCTCTAACCAATTAGACTAATAAAAGTCAGGAAAGTAGATATTTGGGTGTGGTAACTCATTACAATTCTATGTTAACGTGGTCAAAACTATACATCCATGTATGAGAATTGATCAGCAAGTCACAATATACAAATTTCACATAGCGTAACATTTCAATACACCTTCTACTACTGATTCTATCAATGTAGGTATATGATTCATACAGATTATGCAGGTATAAACTCCAACAAAACCGTACAAAGAAATACTATACTAATCATGAAATTGAACTTATACTATTAAACATTAAATAAAATGGTAACTTACCTTGTCGCATAACGTTTTTACTTGATTTTCTGTCAATTGCTTGCATTCATTTAGCTGCTCTATCCATTGATCCAATTCTTTTAACGAAGCCTTGTCCTCCATACTTTGAGTCTGTATATTTAACGTAAGACACGTTAAATGTGTAATTAAATGTCTTTAACTGTTTAATCTATACCAAATCATGCGAATTAACTATTTTTCACTTTGGCCAGAAAATTGACTACGGCGGACACTTACAAAATGGCGTACTAATTGCGTGACGTCAATTTTGCGACAAAAGCCACCAAGTGGCATTTTTAGGAACTATGCCATGATGCCATTTGTGGATACATTCATTAATTTTAAAATAATAAATTATTCAAGATCACAAAAATAAATTTTGTTATGGCTTTAGCTTTTTTAATTAAACCAATATACAAATAAATTACAATAACTGGTCACAAATATGTACCAACCTTGTTATTAAAATAACATTAAATTTATTTAGGTAACAGAAAATACATTAACAAACGGCACAGGGTACTATAAGTTATTTACATTATTATTTGATAAAAAAAATAGTTGTTAAATTATTACTTATCTGTACTTGCTAGGAGATGAAGATTAATCGATTTAAAGGATTCTAAACATAATTACTTACTTTTATAGATGCAGAAGGCGTGGTTTTTGCTTTAACCATTATTTGCGGACTTTCCACAATATAATCCATTGTGGGTACTTGCATAATGATATCTTAAACCATAAAAACTTTATCGATTAAACAAATATAATTTAAATAAATATTATAAAAATTTCAACTTATTTTCATAGGCAAAAAAAACAATCAGGTTAAAAGTTTTCTTTAGAATTTTGATAATAAGTGACATTCCTAGTTAGCTAGCTTAGTTAGCTTCTTAATTTAAATATTAATTGTCAATTTGTACTCTTTTCAGAACGCACTCTATTATGTGGTAACGCAAAATTGGTTCGTTTAACGACTATTCGTTTAAACAATTTATACGATTTTTTAATCATAAATTAAATCTAATTTAAATTTATATTTAATCGATTTTATCGATTATGTGATGCAGTAGTTATATCTCCCGTAAATAATATTGCGGTAGAATATTGAATAGTATTGCTTTTATTAATTAACCATTTAACAATTTTAGTGTATTCAGTTTTATAAAATGTACACTTCGTTGAATTAAATGACGGTTTAATTCTATTTCGGCGATAGAATAATTTATTTTAAACATAAGTTTTGTAATTGTGGTTATTGTATTATTTGTCGCATCTCATTGACAATTATTATATTGGCGATCATAAAGTTTCACAATATAGCCTATGTAAATTAAATAGATACCTACCTCAAATTCAGAATTGAATAACATTGAAACAGTCAAGCTCAAGTAAATTCATATCCAAAGCCGTAAAAGGTAAATTGTAGAAAATAAAAACCTGCCGACATCTGGCAACCCGTAATAAATTTTTACACTCTTTCTTTTCGAATTGATTGCGTTGGTGAGTCGTTGTTTCGGTAGGAATTACCAAAAATGACTGAAACTTTGAAGCTAAGGGGAACTTTATGCGGTCACAATGGCTGGGTTACGCAAATTGCGACTAATCCTAAATATCCCGACATGATTTTATCTTCATCTCGAGGTAAGGTTATAATGTTTCTATGTGTGCTGTTAGGTTTTTATTTATCCTTATACATCCTTCCAATCTTTGTTACTAAATTATTCTAAGTTCTTTCAATTATACTCTCTATTCATAAAGATCTTTGTTACGTATATATTTTAAATTTTAATGATGACAATAACTTTGCCACGCGATTCCTGAGCGGCAAGCGGATATGGGGCTGATATATGTAATGTACACGTTATCTAATTTGCTTTAGTTTGTGCAATATTTCACGTATTGAATATATTTGCAGATAAAACCCTAATCGTGTGGAAATTGACCAGGGACGAAATCAATTACGGTGTACCACAGAAACGTTTATATGGTCACTCTCATTTCATTTCTGATGTGGTACTGTCCAGCGATGGAAATTATGCTCTATCTGGTTCTTGGGATAAAACTCTGCGCCTCTGGGATCTGGCTGCCGGAAGAACCACTAGGCGTTTTGAAGACCATACTAAGGTGTGACAGAACTTTTAGTTTTTAAGAAAGTTTGTGTGAATATAATTGAAAGTGTAGTGCCTGTGCGAGGCAGAAGAGTAGTGTATTTGTGCCTTTACGAGGCAGAAGATTCCGCATGTGGAGTTACACTTTATAGATGCAAAGTTTCCTGTAAGTTCCTATTAATAAGATATTCTCCTTTTGTTTTAGGTTAATATGTACTTAGGCTTATACATAAATATGTATAATATTCTCAGTTAGTTTAAAATACAAAATTTGCTCAAAAATAGGACTGGACTGAGAAAGTCCATATCTCAGAAGAGCGAGCCATATAAAATGTTCAATTTTTAATTTCATTCTCTAATTCTAAATGTAGATTTCATGTCAACAAATACTTCTCCAATGCAGAGATAATAATGATGTCTTTATATAACTAATAACTTATTACAGGATGTCCTTTCTGTGGCCTTCTCTGTTGACAATCGTCAGATTGTCTCTGGTTCCCGTGACAAGACCATCAAGCTGTGGAACACTCTAGCCGAGTGCAAGTACACTATCCAAGATGATGGCCACACAGACTGGGTGTCATGTGTCCGATTTTCTCCTAACCATGCCAATCCCATCATTGTATCTGCTGGGTGGGACCGCACTGTTAAGGTTTGTACTGTTTTCTTTTTATGAAACTTCAATGGGAAATAAGTTGTTAGTTTATGCAGTAGTAGCACCGTAGTGGAACTGGCAACTTATATACATGTGGAACACCATGGACATCACATTGACATGTCATTTGTTAAGTGTACCATCACATTATCATTCCCAATAAATAAGGTAAAACCCTGTACTCTTGTATTTTCACTGCCATATATCACACTCTTTTACCAAAACAGCTTATAATGAAGCTGCCGAGTGCTGAATTTGTTTCAATGTTATAGATGGACTTTGTAAATTTATATTTTACTATAAATCTTTATATTATGATCATACCCAATAAAACTGATAAAATTGTACAGGTCTGGCATCTTACCAACTGCAAGCTGAAGATCAACCACCTTGGCCACTCTGGTTACCTGAACACTGTAACTGTTTCTCCTGATGGCTCACTATGTGCCTCCGGAGGCAAGGACATGAAGGCAATGCTGTGGGATCTGAATGATGGCAAGCACCTCCACACCTTGGACCATAATGATATCATCACAGCCCTTTGCTTCTCACCCAACAGATATTGGTTGTGTGCAGCATTTGGACCTTCCATTAAGATTTGGGTAAGTTAGTGATTTGTTTAGCCATACTAATATTATAAATGGAAAAATGTTTATGTATGAGTAAGGACTTAATAAGGAAGTGGATGAATGTAAAGGGAGAATCAATTTTAATATAAAAAGTTTAGGTTGAGAAAACATAATTACAAAAACTTTTTTTGCAGGATTTGGAGAGCAAGGAAATGGTTGAGGAGCTGAGACCTGAAATCATTAACCAAACTCAAACTAAGTCAGACCCTCCACAGTGCCTGTCCCTTGCATGGTCGACTGATGGTCAAACTCTGTTTGCTGGTTATTCAGATAACATCATCAGAGTCTGGCAGGTGTCTGTTTCTGCACGATAAGATACCTACCAAAAGGAGTTTCATTTATTTTTGTTCTATATTTATTGTGAGGATAAAAATAAATGGAATTGTATTCACTACTTCAGTGTTTTCATTTTGATCTCCATGTAAATTTTGTGATAAGTATTTTAATAATACAGGAAGGAGATAAGGTGTGAAGCTGTATATATTATACTCTTGTTATTATGTAAATAAAACTAGTGATTAAATCAATGTTTTATTGTCATCCAGAACAATGTAAAAGACTAAACTTTAATGGAAAACAAACCTTACTAGCTAAATAGTTTACTGCAGAGATTCTGTTATATCATGATTTCAAGAATATATTATTATATGAGAGTACCTAAGTCATTTTGACAATAAAATGTACAATGCTTAAATGTCATGTATTTAAAAAAAACACTAATCAAAATAGATCCATAATATATCCAGCAAAATACAGTTACCTACAAAACTTAATGATTCATAAAATAAATTTAAACTACTTACAACCCTATTACAAGAAAATTCATGATTTCTAATTAATAAATAACAATTTTGTATTATAGTAATTAATAAAAACACAACCAGTAATAAAAATATGTAAGGTAATATGATAATTATACTTCAAACTGTCTTTACTGGTGTTCCATCAGTTGTTAAAAGGTGTGAACCATCTTTTATTTCTGTTGGTCCTTCACCAACCTTTGTATAAATAACATATTTAATTGAATCCTTTTCTTGCACTGGAATAGATAAGCTCTTTATGAATTCATTGCTTAGTGGTTCTCTATTGCAACTCAGACCAGTTACAAAATTGTTTGAAGATGATGGAAAAATATGTTGAATCAGATATAACACTTTAGGGACATCATTTTCAACTAAATATAAACAGGCATTTGGTCCGGCATCAAAAGTGTATGCAATTTTTGCTTCCCCATTAATTTCATTATATTTATGAACCAAATCAATAATTGTATGAGAAACATTAGTTAAGTACACATAAGGTGGATAAGAATCCATACAAACTGCATGAAACTGATTACTGTCTTTCATAGTAATTTCAGCAAATTTTGCAAAGTTCCTTTCTTTTATTGCATTAGAAATCTGCTCAGTTCTCTTTGGCACACAATGTTGCACGCGGTATTCCAATAGTTCGGAAGTGTCTGCTGTTCTCTTCATTCCTATAGTGGAACTTATTTTTTTCTTACTGTCGCCAACAACGAGAATCAATGCTCTCATTTCTGGCCAATGAGAAGAGCCTGCAATTTGTGTAGCCACAGAATCTGATCCATCTGGGTTCACACCAGCATGCCATCTAACAAACCCGCCATAGACACTTCTGCATGCGCTGCCAGAGCCCAATCTAGCAATGGAACTGACATCTGAAGAGACTTTATACAGTTTTGCTAAAGCTGTCACTAAACAAGCATATCCGGCTGCAGATGAGGCCAAACCAGCGGCAGTAGGGAAGTTATTCTCTGAGCAAATATGTACTTTCCAAGATAAGAAAACATTATCAACACTCTTCTCAACAGAAGCCCTTTGTTTAATTTCCTTCAAGCAGTTTTGAAGACGTTGATTAGAGAAAGATTCTTTTTTCCCGTTAAGCCAAATTTCATCTTCTACAAAGTTGGGACTGGCGCTAACAGAAGTTTTAGCGCACATCACACTTGTATCTAAAGTAGCGCTAACGGAATCGTTTAATGGTATTATTAATTCTTCGTCCCGTTTGCCCCAGTATTTTATAACAGCTATGTTCACTGGGGCAATCACTGTTTTAATATCACTCATGGTTTATATTTTATTGTTGAATGCAACTATGGTAGATTTTAGTAAACGTAATATTTAAGTTTATAATATCAAACAAGTATATTACTTGCACGAATAAAATGAGACATTTAAATTTAATTTATTAAGTGAAACTTTACTGTAAACCAAACTGAACAAAGCCATTGAGTTTGACTGAAAAAAATATGCCATTGAAAACAAATTATACTTTCAAATTCAAATAGTTATTAGTTTCACATGCTGCAGGTATGTTAAATACCTATACATGCTTGAAATGTAAATAAACGGAAATATTTAGGGTTGCCAACATATGAAGTTTTCCCCTCAAAAATTGAATTAAGTTTCATTAAGAATGTTTTATAAATAAAATTCTCATCACTCTTTCTTAACTACCACAATTGATGAGAGATAACCGTTTATTACTAAATAAAGGATTTGAATTCACTGAAATTGTGAATAACAGAAATGTCGATATTGACAATGAAAAGGGAAGAATAACTTTAATTTAAATATGATAACGCAACATATGTCATTGCATTCTCCCCATTTGAATAATGAATCACAACAGTAATCTTGTAGGCACTGAAGAGCACGTTTAGTCCTATTGAATGTCCGAAGAATCGGATCGGATCGGATACTACGGGACCACGTCTTCATCTTCATCTGTTAACACAACTGAGACGTCTGTATCGTCTGTCACATTATGATTAGTCCATTAGTCAATGGCACCAGAGAATAATGCGAATTTAAGTACAATAACGCTACCTTTTCCTAAAATGCTATGCCTACAACCGGAATAGGCCACTACAATTTATTTTCCCTGAATACAGGGAAATAATTAACATAGGGATACCATTAAAGCGTATATGTACGTTTATGTCAAACACGTCACAGCGACGTGTCATACTACCATTCTTGATCAACAGTCATATTAAGTATGCAGTGTTGCCAATTTAAACCTTTCCGACAGGATCAGAAGTTCATTCTTGTTCCTAGTAAGTATTTGGTATTTTGTTGTGAGTTATGATAGTATGATATTAACAATTTAAAAGAACCACATGATTAAAATTTCTATTAGTTAATGAATATTTCTAATGTTGTAATTCAAGAGTCTAATAGAAGGAAGCTAGCAGTAACAAAACGTTCTCCGAAGTATGCTTCCTGGCGACAACTTTTGGAACTAATTATAATCCTACTGATTTTAGGATGTTGTTCCATGGAAGAGTTTGTTTCATTGCTCTTTACTATTAAATCTATAGAGGAAAGGAGATAGATGTGTCGTACAATAGCTCAATTTCATATTGTCAGTTTCTATACACATTTCAATTTGTAGCTGCCATTTTCGTTTTCTGCCAGTATTAGCGGTGGTCTGTTTATATATTTATTAAATTGGAAAAGAATTTCATGCAACGAAGTGTTATTAATATTCTGTATTGTATATTTTTACTCGTGAAATTTACTAGTGGCTGTGGTAATCGTGCATACTTTATCCTGTAAATCATTGACTTCCTTGGGTGGAGAGGGTGAGTACATGCAATATAACAAGAATTTTTGGCCTATTAATCCTTTTAATGGTTCGAAAATGTTATTAATTTATTATGTAGTGTTGTTAATGGATTGTGAGTGAATTTTTTGGTATAAATACATATTTTGAATTATTGGCAAGTGATTTGCCGACATTTATGTTCTGATTAGTAAAGGTTTGTCATCGTAGTTGTCACTGTGTGGTACCTGAGTTTTCTTTCCTATAGCTTTTTACCTTTCATAATGACGATTGTATTGTATTACCTCCCATATTTATGATGAGAGTTTTATATCAGATAAATAAAATTGACTTAACATCAAAAAAAGCCAAAAAATCATTGTATATCATATATATGTTTTGTTTCTTTCCAAATCGATGTTAATTTAACCGTGCGTATATTGTGTATTATTGTACACAAATGGGTGTGTATCTTTAAACATGAGCAGATATTATATAAATTTTAATAATGCTGCCATGTAAAGTGTAACATAAATCATATTAAGTTTGTGTATAAACATTATTTGAAAACTGTTAAATTTTACCCAAGTTTGACGGATTATATATATCTTACTTAACACTAAATTAATGCTATATTTTTACCCCAATTAACTATTATATTAACTGAATAAAATATTTTGATACATTATTTGGATACTGTGAATTTACCAATTGTTGTTGGTATACAACAACATTGTTGTATACCAACAACGATTGGTATATATAATTGTTTGTAATATACAATACAGTACATACTATATTGTATATTACAAACAACTATATATAAGTGTGTATATATTATACCTTCATTGGCTGCAGAGATTATAATGAACTGGTGCATCTGTCTGCGCTAACGGTATATGCTGTCGGGGACACCAATGAAGGATGATAGAATGCATGTGAAGTCAGTTTGCCCATTATGGTGAATTTACCAAAAATTTACTAACACTATAGTTTCTAAGTGGACTGCATGGAAGTTAATCTGACTGGATTACTATGCTCATTACTATCAATTGCTGTTCCCCCAGTCAGGGCTATTGAGCTGTTTCATTTGTGGACGCAATACTTGTCCTTCAACAACATGTCCTTCTTTCACTAATAAGATTTGATTCCTACTTGGCTGGAGGTGAGAGAGGTGAACAATATACTATTGATATATAATAATATACTACTACCACTGTCTTTATGATTAATTTGGTGTAATATTGACATTTCCATTACTGGAGAGTTAGCCAGAAACAAGTTGGTTACAAGCCAAATCTCCTACACAATTGGATTCAATTCACATTGGATTCGCCTTTTCATTAGCATCCATTTGGGAAAAGAATACCCCATCTGGGATATCTAATGTAATATTATTATAGGTGTGTATGTATATTCATATTACATTCATCCATCATATCCATACTATACTACTCATTACAATAAGTCTCGACATCCTCCCGCGCATGTGTGGACGGAAACGCCGCGTTGACGGTCCGAGATGCGCGTGCTCGCTACACCGTTATTTATGATCACTAAACAATAGTGTTATATTTAGTACTAGTAGCAATTGTAAAGATCGTTTAGTATACATTATTGTTAATTTAGAATTCAAGGAAATATACAACAATTGATTGTCGATCCACTTTTAATATCCTTGGACAATTAACACTACGCCCAACTCATTACATAAGTCTCAAGATAAGCAGAACCTATCTACCTTTAATATCCCTGGCCTGTGACAATTCACGCAACGTCCGCCTCATTACATAAGCTAAGCTTGTGTTATGGATATAAATACAACTGATATAAATACTTAGATACATTTATTTTAATAGAAAACACACAGGCCGATAAAAACTATCAATATCAGTAATGTCATGTCATGAATACAAATGTTCATACCGTGCGAGGAATCGAACCTGCGACTGTCGAAAGTAAAGCGGTGTGGCAAATCACTAGTGCACTGAGCCCGTCGAGGTTCTCTTAAATTTTGGGTATAGTAATTACTGTTGTAGAAGGAATCACTGAGCACATAATAATAATAATTATTATTATTATTTATTGGGTATCATCATTAATTGGGTATGAAAATGACTGCAGCGTTCCTTCAAAGATTTGTTCTATTTGTTTGACTCTACATTCTGGCATTATAATACATGTTGACTCGAATTGCTACTTCATAACAGAACTAGCGACAGGAATGCCAACCTTAAAACGCTCTTCCTCGTACGAAGAAATAAAAAATCCGATAAAATTACGTACATTATCACAATTTGGCTTTATAACCTCGTACATCACAGTTTTCTGATAGATTTTCCTAGGTCTAAATCTACTACAAACTTGTACAAGGAAGAAAATATCCGCATACCCAAGGCCAAATCTCGTATTTCTACGAGGATCCTCATACGGTTGGCATCCCTGGTAGTGAGTCACGAAACTGCCAGTAGTTTCATGCTGGCGATAAGAACACTAGTCACCGCGAATGAACGCGCGGGAACTGTTCTTTTTACAAACCTGCTTAGGCATTAAATAACAATCATTAGTAGTTAATAGTTACAAGTCAGCAGTTGTTGACGCCTTATGATGATTTAATGGGCGTTTGTTATTCTGTATTTAATTAAATCAACATTTACACGACGATTGACTCCAGTTGAAAATCGATAAACAATTGATGAGTTAAGAAAGGCATTTTGATTCTACCTTTTGATAGATTCAAAACGTTCTTTAAAGTACTTAGGATTCCTTAGTGTCAGTGTATATGACATTAGTCATTCGGCACGGATTTCATATAATAAAGAACAGTTGACCCTGCGAGTTCGTACCCGTAGTATTCGGAACAACATTTTTTTTAAACCAAACACAAAATTTTAAATGAAGGGAATTAAAATAAACACAACATTTTAAATGTAGCTCACAATGAAGAAACAGACAAAAATCTAAAAAGATTTTATTTGTTTATTCTGCCTTGATAAAGTCCCCCTGTAATAGTTTTTCTTATACATTTTCCATGTGCTTACAGCGATCAGTAAATTTTTATTATATGTATAGATGTTAGACATATAATGTATACGTAGTAAAAACTAATTAAAAACTGTCTCATTATATTGCCAGTTTTCTCAACTGATGTATGTGTATGTGCAGAGTTGACTGGCAAAAAATGTCCTATATGGTTTTCTGTTAGAGGCTTTATTTTGATTTACGTATCATTCTTTTGCACAATTTTATTTGCTTTTAATGAAAAGATTTGTGTTCCTACTTCGCTACCATATGAACAAAAACTCTGTCAGTGCTTCGTTCCTAACTAGTTAATTGTTTGGCTAGCGCTAATGTAGAGATGCGAATACATTGCAAATTGACCGAATTGGTTCGCTCTATTTCATAATGTATCAGAGCAATATCAGCATCGTACTACTCTAGAGTTTATTGTTTACAGAAATCATGCCATTGTCGGTTTTATATTGAAAGCAGCTAGGTTGATTGAGCAGATCACGGGATTTATATTGCGTGATCCAATAAACTGCATCAAAGTGACCATGACGAGATATTCCGTTGGATCGGCACGTCATTTGCGTGATTTTTTATTGTGGTGCAGTTAATATCTTTGCGATTGGTTTAACATTACTTTCAAATCACCATGTCGTATAATTTTTCTATCATATTCCATATCGTTTAGCTGATATTGCCTGATATGTCTCGGACATTGGCCCCGATCGAAACCTGTCTTTGAATCTGTCGTTGCATCATTATTTGCTAACGGATGTCTAACTATTCATATTTTCTTTACTTATTTTAATTATGACAAACGGCCCTGTTACACGGCTGCATTACTCTTTGATACCTGTCTAGAGGTTTTAAAATGGGCTAAATATATATTTTTTTATTTTATAAATTGTAAACAATAAATTAAAAAGAGAAGTCTGAAAGTAAGGATATTTTTAGATGGATTCTAGCAAGTGTTATACCATATATTTTTGGGTTGTTTGGTAAAATGACCAATTTTCTTCCGAATTAGGTACTTTACATTTAAGGCTAGAATTTATTGATTGATCGAACAAAAGTTGCGATTTGTTTCTTTTTTAAAAAAACTCTATTTTCATAATCACAGGGCGAACACTTTTTTTATTTTTCTAATAGTTGTGATGACTTGTTCTATCTCCTGCTTCTGGATTTTCTTCGTCTTTTAGGGCAATCTGTATATTTGTGCTATAGCCATTGTTTTGCATCAAATAGAACTCGAACACTAATTAGATAATTCCTTATAGCTACTTTTCAGGTTCAGTAGGTAAATGAAGTCTACTTGCCGCGGTCGTATTCATCGTTCGATCCTGTTAACCTGTTAACAGGCCATTGTGGCGGATGTGTCAAATTGGTCCCACCTACACAACTGCGGCCGAGTTATTGACACCACCCCATCTGCAGTTTTGTCACTGTCACACAACTCGTACATTTGGAAATGAGCGGACGTTCGCGGTTATTGTAAACGGATCCTAATTGGATCTTTGAGTCGACCAATAAAATGGCCTAAGGTTTGGTTGATTTTTAGCCTTAACTTTTAATTTAATTGTGACTTAGTATTGACGCCCTTATTTATAACGCAACTTTATCTGAATTTATATTTATATAAAAGAATATTTCTTTTTATTGGGAGGTTTGGGCTATATTCGGGTAGGTGTTTACATCTATATTGTGTTCGCCCTGTTTCAGAATTTGGTATTTAGTCTCGTTAGGAATAAGAATTGACGGATATTCTTAGAAACGATAGTTTTGATCTCCTCAGAGTATAAGTTTTCGGCAGTTTGGTCGTGAAATCAGACTTAATTAAGTATGGTTTATTAAAACATCCTATAAATCTCTTATGAGTATTACAGTGTTTCTTTGAAATGAAGGACAAAACAGTTAAATAATTGACATTGATTTATTAGTAATTTCATCTTTTACAAAATAATCTTTCGATATTAATAGGTTTTCATAAATCATACATTGGTTAAGCTCAGAGCGAATTAGTGAATGCAGTAA